CCCCCCCCCGGGTATGTATATTATTATATCATTTTATCATAATCGATCGTGCCCTCTTCATATCCGGCTCTATCTACTCTTCGGCCAATTCCGCCAACCGGTTGTGATCAGCCACCAGCCCTGAAGACGTGGGCTGTGACGAGCGATAACTACATACTACATGCACATAGTGGTACCAGTGCAGGTACGTACCGGTCGGTACTCCTTTAGTTCATGCAGCCGGGAGCTGCCCCTGTTGGATCCGGCCAGTTGGTTACATGCTCCTTATCCTTATACCACCTTGCTCTAAGATGAAAGGCATTTGGCAGTTCAAACTGGCCGGCTTTACTAGAGAAAGCATCGTTAATAGTCTATTAGAATAGAACTCCATTGCCCGTATACTACATGCCAATGTACCGAGGTGAATCGGGAAGCTTAGGGCAAAGGGCTAGGGTTCCGTCCGCGCGGGTCAGGCCAACTCCAAGACAGTGAGTGCATGTAGGACATGCATCTTCGTGTCTTCCTCTGCTAAAGGCAAATACATCCCTTCGATGAGCTCTACCCCGTGACACGTCTGATCAGCTCGGCTCCCGTCGGCTTTTCGCTGGAGGCCCAGAGACATAAGTTATAGCTGCGAACTACGGAGCACTGTGTACCTAGCAGATGCCGGCGAGCGTCTTGCGTCGGAGAACACCCCTCGGCCAATCACATCACGCTGATAGGCCTAGAACGGTGCATTGCCCTTCAACGACTTGCTTTTTTGCTCTTCCATTCTTCCTGCACCTCATTCTCGCTGCCTAAACGGCTGCATACTCCATAAACATCATTCTGCAGCCGCCAGATGCAAGCAGTCAGTCTACTACTCCAGTCTCCGCAACCCGCTGCGTTACTACGCTAAGCCCGATTGGCGCTGCGGCTCTGCCAACACTGCCCGAGTCTCTTGAACAATGACTCATGGAGACCAGTCCTGCTTATCTGTCCATCGGAGGTCGCCGATGAGCTATGAAGGCATTGTGAATGTTCAATAGTCACTGTTGATTATGTGCTAATGCATAGAGATCTCACAAGGACGCCAATAACTCTCGAGTATACAGTACTATCCCCCAGCCTCTATCTAATACAAACAAGTCGAAGTAAATCACGATGTTCACGTAAACAAGTCCGACCAAGGAAATAGCAGAAAGAAAGAAGAAACACAAAACATGCTCATACGGGTATAAATGCAAAATAACCCGGCCGATAAACATCATCCGCGGTGAATATCTCGAGTTGGCGACATGCTCAACCCAACGAGGGTTGAGACTGAAACCTTTCGGTTTAGCTTGGGAGTAGAAGTTGGCGAAGTTCTTTGGGCTCCGGGTGTTCCTCCACGCGGCAGGAGAGACACTGCTTGTGAGGGCAGCTCATACAAGCGTTCTGCCAAAATGGATAAGGTCCGTCGTGGCATCCACAACAGTACCATTTTTTCTCCTTCTTCGACTCGCAAGGGACGGCAACCGATCCAAGCATTGTGGTATTCGTGACGTCAAAGTTTGCCTGGCGGATATGGGCTTCGTCTCGTTTGTCTGTGGACAACAGAGCGGCTTGTAAGGGACAAGCAAAGATAGACCTGAATATCCGTACTGTTAACTCCATTGACTCGGATATCTGATTGATTAGAGGCCATAATACCTGATGCCTGTATGTAACTTTTGTAACAGAAAGAGAGAGATATATATATGTCACTTCTGAGGTAGCGAGATATATCGCCCATGAATGGAGCTGTGAGAGCACGGCCTTTTATACCTCTGGACAGCCATATACGTGCACATCTTTCACTTGGAAATCTCATTGTCATTGTGGCAATGCCAGGCATAAAACGAGCCAAGCCAAGGTGAATCTGACTGTGTATCACCCTCATAATAACATGCAGACCGGTAGAATTTCCAAGGCAGCGAGCGAGAGTACAAGAACACTGTATCATACTGTTTGATTGGCGACCAGAGGATAACCAGGGCAAAATAGGCGTCTCGCGAGGCACTGCTAGGGCAAAGTTTAGCACAAATGCCGTATATCGATTTCCGCAAAAGCATACAGCGGCGACGCATTGGGAAGCGCGTGTACCAGCTGATATATTTCCCCGGTTTGCACGACGAGATGAGAAAAACCGCCTTCCGACTGCAAAGTGAGCAGCAGATGGGGAGTTTGGCATTATGAAGGTGGAGAGGAGTAATCCCTAGGCAAAAACTCAACTAAAGGCGTTCTTGTTGGGACAAGGCTGATGCCACCGATGACTAAGCGGGTGGCTTGAGGGGGACTGTACTCAGGTATAAGTAGTCATGTTAAATGTATAATGTGTAAAGGTAGAAGGAATAGAGGAAGAAGTCACGTAAAGAGCGCGAGAGGAATTTAGGGCCTCTGGCAGAGGACTTCATCCTCATTTTATAGACAGCAACGGAACGCAGCCTTGCTAGATCTTTCAGTAATCACACGCCGAGTGACACACCAAGAAGCATGCACCTCCCTCCCCAGCTTGGATATGCACCGAAGGCCAAAGCTGATTCAGTCACGTAGATGAAGCGAAGGCAAGAAGGCTGGCAGCTGCCCCGCAGTGCGCACTGGTGGTGAGCATTTTGAGGAGGAAGAGCCGGGCCTGAGCAGTCGCGAATATGCCTCTGCCATGAGGCTCGTAGAAATCAGAGTCTTTTGATCCAAAAGACAGTGTCATCGTGTCAGTTGTCAATGGCAGTCCCGTAGCAGAGCGAGAGGGAGAGGAGACTGCGGGGAAACCGCGGAGGGAGTTGGACGCTTGACGAGACGAACCTCCGGAACAATATCCCATAAGAGGATATCTCTATAGAGTTTCAACACTCTCGCATGAAAGTTGAATTCTCGGACTTGCAGATGGTTGTGGAGAATTCAACAAAAGGGTCAATAGCTTATAAGTTATTCGATATTCGGTAAAATTGCCCTGCAATAAGAACTCGGTGAGTGTGCTTTTGAGACTGCCCTTACCGATAGTGGATTCAATATACCCTAAACTCTGCTCCACGCTGACTGTCGTTTACGGCCTATTGAAGGCTCTGCAGTAGAGTACCCGGCTACAAAAGTGCTTCATCAAAGTTCCTATCGAAAGACCCGACTCCCTATATTTATCAGAAGATAGCTAAATACAGCCCTGATGTTCAAGTTCTCAGGACGAGAGAGAGGGGGGGAAATGCGCAGGCTATGTAAAAAAAAAAAAAAAGAAAAGGATAAATAATGCGACCTGATACACATGTTTCATAAAAGCCGAAACAATTGCAATGGTACAATCCCATTAGGAAGAAAATGGCAGACGAGTGTAAAAAAAAAAAAGGTCCGACATTCTGAAGCAGACCTTCAAGCAACAGCAAAAACCGGCGGGACAGTCATGTCGTAAGAATCTGAAATGTCTAAAACTTTTTGAGACAAATGATAATCGGGTGTATGTGTTTCTTCTTTATTTCTCAGCCGTAAATCGTAAGCGTCTATCGGGAATCAGAGGTAGCAGAGCGGCCCCAGGTGGAACGTCGCCAGGTACTGCCTGTTGAATTCTTGGACGCCGCGGGCGAGGTTGGCGAGGAAGTTGAACTGTATACGTATTCGCCATCGACATATTGGGCGTCGCCATAAAATGTGCTGCGGTTCTTCCGCCGTGTGTATCGTTGCTCGAGACGATAGAGTTCAAGTTCTAAGGAAAGAGGACAAAGTCAGTTATCGGTACAAACGAACCGTCTTTGGTGGGCAGCAGTTTACTATTTTGGAGCTTTTCAATGAAACCCATGATGGGCGGCTAGACTGTCCAATAGAATATAGCCCGAGTATTCCCAGCCGAACAAGATGAGATGCGGAATGTCTTATACAATGCAATTGTATAGATATACAAACTATACTTCGACGTGCTTGCTTTGCTGAGATCAGCTGAAGGCAATCGGTTGGGTTTGAAGGAGCGAACGATGCAGAAAAGAAGCAGTCTAACAACGCGACGGCGAAAGAAAAGGAAAGCAGAGCGAACGAAGGGAAAGAATGGCGGAAGGAGTGTGGTTGTGGTTGTGGTTGTGGTTGAAGTCGAAGTTGAGATTGCACGCACGATAACAACAAACAGGAAGGTGCGCCCGCGCTCAGGGGCCGCGTGGGGGAAGGCGTCCCAGAGCGGTCTAGCCCGGACTTTTTAATATACCAACGCTGCGACTTTCTCTTCTGTTTCCCTTCCAAAGTTCCATCTCGTTTCTTTCCCTTGCAACTCACAGCTTAGCAACCAATAAGTGGCCTGTGGCTATTCTGCTCTCAGACCGCGAGACCCACACCCACGAGGTCGACTCCACCGTCGCACATGCTCGGAATCTAAGATGCTTCGCACCAGCTACGATCATACAAAGAGTGGAAACAACTGTGCTTCTGCTTGGAGAGAACACGTACACAATGGAACAAAGACAGCGCCTGGGCGGAAATTGAGACTGAATAGATTGATTGACTGTGCGCATTGCGCAATGTCAGCGGGCGGTTAGGCGCATCTCCTCCAGCGGCTATTCGCTATCTCAACTCTCTAGTGGCGCAAAATGCAACCGTTGTTTCGTCCCAAGCGCTAGACGGGTTGCGCCACTACTATCGCGAGAACTTACTCAAAGGACTTGAACTTAAATGAATCGAACCGATGCTTCCTAGTCTCAATCTTTAACGGCCTGTTATCTGCTCTGACTGAGTCAGGGCAAGAAAAAAAAAATCAAGGTCTATATACAAGGTCTGTATGTACACATGTCAAATCATCTGGAAAAGAAAAGATAATCTCAGCGTCAGATGAACGGAGTGCTATCTTCTCTTTATTTTGGAGACTGTTTTGCGTCTGTGGGCCTCACATTTTCGGCCAATTCAGACTCTGGCCCAACTTCGATATTTCTTTCCAAGTCTGCGTCCTGAGCTAGGGACAATTCTTGGGCTACTCGCAATCGTCAGATATGCATTGTGCATGGGGGCGAGAGGCAAGGATACGACTACTTACCGTGCCACAACTCTGCATATACACCTTTCTGTTCAAGTAACTGGGCATGGGTGCCACTTTCAGACACACGCCCGTCCTTGAGGACCAGAATCTGGTCGCTATCATAGATAGTGCGCAGCCGATGCGCGACAAACACGCTTGTGCGCGCCTTTTCTTTGATAATGCTATTGATGTTCTGCAGGAGCGCCTGCTCTGTATACGTATCCAAGGCCGAAGTCTGAACGATACATAGTCAAGTCAGCCGTGGTCAAAGCAGCCCCTGTCATCATATACGATACTCACCGCTTCGTCGAAGAATAGTAAGGGCGGGTCTTTCAGGATAAGCCTTGACACGGCCAGTCGCTGTTTCTCTCCGCCAGATATCATCATGCCACGCTCACCAACGGCAGTTTTGTATCCATCCGGTAACCTTTGGATAAGTTCGTGTACATGTGCTCTCTCTGCGGCTTTCTGGACTTCATCGTCGGATGCATCTATCCTGCCGTAGCGGATATTATGCTCGATGGTGTCGTTAAAAAGAGGCATATCTTGCGGTACAACCCCAATCGACTTTCGCAAGCTCTCAAGTGTTACGTCGCGCACATCTTGGCCATCGATCAAAATCCGTCCCTCTTGGACGTCGTAAAACCGGAATAAAAGCCTGAGGATAGTGGACTTTCCACACCCACTCGGCCCGACAATAGCAAACTTCGCTCCGGCAGGAATCGTGAAACTCGCGTTCTTGAGAATGGGCCGGTCGGGATGATAGCCAAATGTCACATTTTCGAACCGGATTTCACCGCCTCGCGACAAGTCCAAGAGTTTAGCATCCGGTCGCTCCTTGACAGAGACATTGACCTTCTGCAGGTTGAACAGTGTCTCCATATCAAGGAGAGACTGTCTCAGCTCACGATAGACAGATCCCAAGAAATTCAGCGGGACTGACAGTTGAAAGACTAGTTGATTGACCATTACTAGATCTCCCACGGTCAATTCTCCGGTTGCGACGCCATCGGCTGCCAGATACATCATGGCGGCAAGGGCACTGGAGAAGATCATATTTTGTCCCGAGTTCAAAAATGCCAGGGACGTCGTTACCTTGATAGACGCATCTTCATAAGCCTTTAGGGCTTTGTCGTAACGGGACACCTCGTAGGCTTCATTATTAAAGTACTTGACAGCTTCGTAGTTAATCAAAGAGTCTACAGCCACTGTCGCTCCCTTGTTATCCGCAGCGTTAGCTTGCCGTCTGAACTTTGTCCGCCACGCTGTTGTGGTGATGGTGAACGCTGTGTAGGCGATCATCGTAGCTGCTGTGATTGCTGCAAACCTAAAGCCGTACTGGTATGTCTGAACCAGAAAAGTACAGTTAGCTAGCTGTCAACCTCACACCGTTAATAGCATGACATATGGGATCAGTACCAAAATACTGCAGACCATTGAGATCTCCAATGCAGTAGGAAACACGTGAAAAACCATGGACGTCAGTAGGAAACTGATACCCTTGGTTCCTCGATCGATGGCTCTAGTTAGTCCACCGGTTTGCCTGCTCAAGTGGAAGTTCAGATCCAAGCGTAAAAGATGGTCGAAAACATTGCCTGCGACTTTGCGAATTGCTTTCTGTGCCACGCTAGCGAATACGGCATTTCTCAGCTCTTGAAACAGGGTGGCACCGATTCTCGTGGCGCCGTCTGCAGATATCAGTTAATTTGAAAGCCTTTTATTTTCGCGATAATAGAACTTGAAAAACCTCACATGCTATTAACATAGATCCTGCCACAGTCCATGCGGTACCACCCACAGTAGCGAAGTCAATATTCATCGAGTCCACGATACTTTTGAAATAGAATGGAACTTCAACGTTGAGGACCTAGGCACCCGTTGGTTAGACTTTGTGACGTTTAGGAACCACTGTGTATCTCCTTACCTTTGCTCCAATAAGAAGTGTAAGAGCTGTTCCAACACGCAACTTGGTGCCCCAATCGCCCTACGCGAACTCAGCCAAAACTTCTTCTTTCTCAACATGGATGCCCAGCCCATACCTTTGGCCATAGATATTTCACCATCTCTCTCATGATCGCCCAATCCGCTTTCCTTTGCTCTTTATTCGTAGCACTGCTTTGACTGAGGACATCGCCCTTCTTCTGATTCTTCGATTTGGCCGCTACGACCACTGTCTGCTTTGCCGACGCATCGCTCGCTTTCGCCGTCTGAGAGGCTAGCTCGGCTGTTTTCGGTTGCTGCCCTAGGTTCTCGGGGGTCTTCTGGTTATTCAGTAGTGAGCGGCTGGTAGTCAGCACACGTAGTTGACGTTGGAGAGGCACGGAAGTCTTGTGATGGGCCAGACTCGCGACCACTCGGAGACCTTGCGGTCGCTGCGGCAGACGCACGCAAGACGACCCCAAGGCTCTGGCCAACATGGTGTTGTGAGCCTAGCGAGATGCCTGAAATCCGAGTGCTTGGTGAGTGAGAAAGAATCATCTGGAGCAGCAGCAGTAGCTAGCTACCTTGTGTGCCAATTGCGCAATAATGGACGCCAGTGGGGGCATAGCACTCGCTCCGCATTCGGCGATTGCACGCTGGTCGCCGTTTTGTGCGTGTGTGTGTCGCGAGGATGCCGAAGCAAATGCTTCATCCAGCGGCGTGAGGAGCGACTAGCAGAAGAGCCCCAGCGCATTCATTGCCCTCTCTCGCGTTGGAGATGAATCAAAGTTGGGGTTCGACTGAGAGACCGCAATCGACTTCCGCTCGCCGGAGCTTGCCAATCGACGGGCCGAAATCGATTAGCGCGTCAACACGGCTGGCAACTGACGTAGGGCCAGCGAAAAAAACAGAAAAATGCCAGTCAGCGTCTTTGCCATCGCTCCAATTCTTTCTGTCACGCCCATGATTCTGCCTTTGCCATGCGCCTTACTCTAGGGAAGGGTGCCGCGGCCATCTACAGGGCGAGAGCCAGCCCTGTGTCTCTCAGTCGGCATGGCATAAGAAGCATTCAGATCAAGGCGGCGCCGTTGGGGGAGCAGACCGTTGTCAATGGAGTCAATCTGCCCATCTCGAGCACGCCTAGCAGTGCGTCTTCGGCAGGCAAGTCATGCTCTTCTTTTCTATTCTTATAAAAGTACCGCATACTAACATGATGCTACTGCAAAGACGCCAAATTCCACGTTGTCGGCGCCCCATATTCCATGCTTTCGGTTTCTTTATCCGCATCGCAGAACCTTTATACACGGAGAGGCACACTGGTGGGACTGAGCGGGAAACCAGATAATGTACTTCAGGCTGAAGGTTGGTGTTTCTGACTGTATCGCTGACGTGTGAGAACCCCTAGGTTATTTCGACGCTGAGCATCCTCGAGCCCTTCCGCAGGGCAGTTGTCGGGATTCCATTCCTCTATCAAAAGGTTGTCACATCACAATAGTACTTTGGATTCATGTGTGTCGCATCGGGCGCTAATTATGGTTAGATCTCTTCGCCGAGTCCAATCAAGGCCCTGGTTTCGGTCCAATCGCCCGTTACGTCTTTCACAGTGGTACATCTAGATGGGACAGTGGATTGGATGGTTGCTCAGAGACGAGCGTTGCTTGCGTGGACAGGACATTCCTTGAACATAAAACCCAGAATCAACACAAATTTGGTTCGTGAGCAGAACAAGACCTCTGTGGATGAATGAACGAGTCTCTAACACCGAATGTCACAGAGTGTGACGAACTGGGGAAGCTCGGAAGTCACAGGGCGTGGTCTTCTGGCCCTCGTTGGCAAAGGCCAAGTATTCTCGGTGGAATTAAAAGCTGGAGAGCAATATATAGTCCATCCTAGGTATGACTCGGCCATAATGACAGGCAACGAAAAATCGCAACTAATCAATCTAATCAGCAATATCGTTGCATACACAATTTCTTCCACGCCGCCTCAACCATACCGTTTCAGATCAACGTCATTGCGCTTCCAAATACCAGGCCTCCAAATTCCTGAACTACTCTTGAAATCACGCTATGTCCGTGATTTGACCGCTTCCGACACCTGGAAAGCGTCGATGAAGATAATTCACAACGTCCGCACGTGGGCGCGAAGGACGATTTGGGGCGACAGAGTAGGCGTTTCCCCCCCCCCCCCTCCTCCTCCTCCTCCTTTGCTTTCTTGATGACATCCAAAGGTACTAATAAAATTGGGAACCAGCTCTTCCTCCAATTCCAAGGCCCTGCAACACTTCTCGTTCAGTCCCGCGCAACGCGTGTGCGAGATATTCTGAGCGACAAGGAAATCAACGAGATAGCCGACGCGCCTGCCGGAGCCACATTCAATGCTATCAACCAGCGTCAAGATAGATTCGGTACTACCGAAGAGCAGGAAAGCAAGAACTACCAACGCGCCGCCCAAGAAGCTGTCTCAGAAGCTCCCGTACCGTCGCGAACAGTCGAGGAGCTGACACAAGAAATAAAAGGAATCAGCCAGACCATTGCCACCGTCCGCGATGGCAAGGCTGAATTTGAGAAAGTTGGCGGAGGTGGTGGTGTACAACAGTCAAGTGATGCTAAGAAACAATAAATAATGCGTGCTGAGCTAGGCGACAACTCCTTTCTTTTTGCGTTGGTATTCTCTCATTTGTGTCCTTCTGTTTTATGGATTTCACGTTTTTGGACTTCTCGTCTCGATATATCGAGAATGTAGCTAACTATCAGGCGGCTTTGGGGAATTACGGTGTACTATATATCTATCGCAATTGGATTAAATGCATACATGGGTACTACTAACCTATTTGTCTGTACCTCATTTGGCTAGCTAAAGTATGTTACTTTCAGGTTATTATAATTGTCTATCAGATTAAGTTAATCCATCCAATGATTATTAGAGATCCATTCCAGCGGTTCTAAGTGATATCTAAAAGTAGGAATACTACTAATCAATAATTGTATTGACAACATGACATCCAGTGCAATGAGGGGGAGAAAAAAAGAAAGAAAGAAAAACCGAAGATTATGTCCATCCAAGGAGCACTCCAACGCAATGCAAAATTATTGTTTCAGGACATCCAACAGAAGTATAACAAAGAAGATACTGCTCTCCCTTATTCGCTTCCTCCTATTTTATCGTGCATGCACCGATAATAACTGCTGGAGTTTTGACAGAATCCAAATCCAAAGATCCCTAGATAGCCTCCATCAGGCCTCTTTCGAAACTCATGAATTTCCTCTCCGTCATGATTCCATTAATCATACCAACAAGGTCAAGTCCAAAGTCCGCCTGGTCAACAGTGGGAGGCTCCCGGGCTGCCAATTCCCCAAGGCAACCTGTACTTTTCTTCCCCAGACGTAGGGTTTGGACCATGAGAGCTTTCAGTCATACCGGAGCCACCCTGGAATCCTTTAGGCCGTCCTGTTGTCCGATATGGGCTTGGTTTGGGTTTCGACGACGATTGTCCTAACGGGGATGGCACTGATGGTATGGTATCGATAGAGATAGTCTTGATGGAGATGGTTTTGGCCGAGGGGATCCTGATGTACTGTCTGCCATTTTTATTTGTTAGAGTTATGGGATGCAAAAACAAACAACGAGACGGGGATGCGAGAGAGTAGATAGAAGAGAGCGGGCCTACCTAGTCTTGTTAATGTTGCAGCTGTGTGTGCAAGAGCAGGAAGGAGGCACCCCGAAGGAAACCTAGGAAGGAACGTTGCGGTATGAAGAGGCAAGTCACGTTGCCGCCTAACCATGCTGTCACACACTGCTGCACCAACAACCGAGGTCAGTTTATCCCCCCAAATTCGCATTTCCAAGACTTTCAACCATATTGTCGATGGCAACCTCATTCAGGACGTTTTTAGAGAAGAAATTCTTCCGCGGTAATGCAGGCGCAGCTGCAGGTTTTCTCGGCTTGGGCTTGACTTGCTGCAGGCCACCTTTGCACAGAGAGCATCCTGCTTTAGTAGGATCGATGCTCTTGGAATGACGGCCGTATTTATGCCCGCAGTCGATGCACATCCAGACATATTTATAGTCGATCTCGTAGGAATGCTTGGTGGTAACCTCGATGGGGTAGTTCTTGTACTCAGGGTGGCTTCTAATGGCGTCAACACACTTGCGCCCCCATTCTTTGAAACTGGTGCCATGCGGTTGCGTGCGGATTCCTGACACCATGTAGTTGGCCAGGTGGCAGTATTCGTGAGCTAACGTGTTCAACAGTCGGTTTTCGTCGTCGATAACATGCTCCGCTAGCTCGATCGACGCATGATGGAGATGCTTGATCTCGGCTCCTGGTTGCTTGATTTTTTCTTGTCGCCATTTTGCTCGTCCTGCAGTGCTACGCAGTGTCTTGCTCCATGCTATTTTGATTCCCCCAGTGCTTTTGGCAAGTTGAGTGACCTGACCTCCTGATGTGGCTTCATCAAGTGCGGACAGGAAATCTTGTGCAAGGGCTGTTTTCTTGTCATCAAAGGCCTTTTTACGTGCCATTGCTTCTTTTCTTTGGGCAATTTCGGCCTTTTTGAGCGCAGTCTTACTGGGACTCTTGGTCGGGCTCGAGATGGTCACGTCTTTGATTGCTGTATTCGAGCGTTTTCTGTCTGACTCGATGTTCACTCCGTCGGCATCAGCCTCGGTGGACTCCTCATCTAGTGCAGCAAGAAGACGCTCCAGGGCTCTGCTTTTAGTCTTCTGCTTGGGAGGCGACCATTGGTCGTTCCATTGGTTGGTGACTTCTTGGCTCCAGAAGGCATCGGAGCTCTGGCGGTGCGGTGAGGGTGGAATACGGTGTGATGTTTTGGATGGAGATGGAAGTACAATCTTAGAAGGACTCGAGGGTGGGGTGTGCATCTTCTTTTCTTGCTTCCTTCTTGTGTTTTCAGGAGTCGATGATCTATGCTTCACATTAGCAATCACTTTTGAAAGTCATGGGTTAAGGCCAGGCACATACACTGAATTGATACTCTCGCGTAGTGGCCTCCTCTTTGCCTTGTTGGTTTTGGATATCTCTATTCCTTCGTCGTGCGTTCCGTTTGGTGACAAGTGTGTGAATGAGGAAGTTAGACGAGGAGGACCTTTTCGGTTTGAGGTCTTAGGAGGTGTACCTGGTCCTGCCAGGTGCGGAGAGTAGTCCTCAACTGAAACATTGAGCTCCTTTGTCTGTGCAATTATGTTGGACTCCCGTGGTTTTCGTCCTCTGATAAGCCTCCTGCGTGTCGGCTTTGGAGTTGGTGGTTTGACCTCCTCTTCTTCCTCGTCCTCTTCGTCGAGCCCATTCTCTGATTCATAATAGCTCAGGTCCTCGTCATCACTGACGATGAAATCTTGCAGCGAGTTATCTTCGTCTTCAGAGTCTGAATCTGAATTATATTCTGATGGTGAATCGTCTGATTCCTCTTTCAATTTAGACTCCCTGTATCGCATAAATTGAGGTGTTTGGGTCTCTGCACCCGACTCTTCCCTACCCTCGCCTCCTACCAGGATGCTTCCTCCCTCTAACTCGGCCAAATCACGGGAATCAGCTTCACCTTCCTCTTCTTCGGATTCATCAGATGCCTCTTCAGCTTCGTCATCGAGAAAGATATTTTCTTTGTCCGAACTCTCTTCTTCATCTAATTCACTACTAGACCGTGACTGGCTAGACAAAGATACAGAGCTCTCATGAGATGCACGCTTTGACAGGCCGGATGTGATTGAATTTGTATGCGTAAGTTTTAGGGGCCTTTTCTGAGTGATACGTGAAGGCTCGGTGAATGGGTCACGGTACGCCTCGTCAGCTGATCGTTCTTCTTTTTCGTCATCATCATCGTTGTCATCGTCTTCGAAGATTTTGAAGTCTGCGAATTCGCTCCTTATTCTTGCTTCTTGCTTGGGCTTAGGCCTTAGTGGCGATGAGATGGTGGTTCTCTGGAAAGAATGCGGTCGTGTCTTGGTAGCAGTCGAAGGACTTTGTCGCCCGTACACGACTGTTAGGTTGGATGCATTCAACCGTGCCATTTTGCTGACTGAGTGTGTTCGCTCCAGCTGCTATCGGGATTTTTGTGCAGAGGAGGTATTGTCGGTTGGTTGACTGTTCGGCTGACGTCTGTTTGGGTGCCGTGGTTGGCAGGGCAACACCAGGCCCGACATTGAATATAGATATCGGATGTCCCTAGGACCTATGTATGCCGGAAGTATTCTCGAATTTTGAAGTCATGGTCCCTAGTTGTGTTTATCTTACTTTTGGTTCTTTTTTTTTTTTCTCCTTTTTCTTTTTTCCCATATTTGTTGTCATTCCGTTCGCCTGTATGTCTGCAGCGGGTACTCACATATCAGTTACATACATATATATATATATATATATCAGTATGTTTGTGGATATGTGTATCCAACCCTGTACCTAGGTAACCAAAAGCCATGATAAACAGGTGTCAAAACTCGCATCAAAATATGTTGGCAAGTATATAGAGGCTCCGCCATTGAATCTGCATTGAGTCAAGTAGGCATTCACTAAGTGCAGTGCCGGCCTGCGTACAAAGTCGAGGTTTTATATAACACACGGAGATAGCCGCATCCACATTGTTAACGACCGAGTAGGTACCTATCTTTAATGCTCACTCAGGCACATAAGTATCTATGCTACTACATCGTTTCCATCCGCTCGCGATCCGAGATTCTGCTCGATCACATCCTTCGAGGTGCCCAACTAACTACGCACTGAGACGCGGCGCATTATTAAGCGCATAATTTTCATCCGGTGTCCGCCCTTAAATCCGAGCCCCTTTTCGAGACATGTATCATACCCTGTCAGATATATAAATGAAATATCATACATAATTTACGAGGAAAGAATCAGTGTTGACACGGTCGCGTTAGATTTATTTCACACTGTACTCCGTACTCTGTGTCCGTGATAGATCCAAGGACATACCCCGTATACACGCATAGATGTGAATAGCTCAATTAGATTAGAAGATGGCCTAGACTAGTCAGCACCAGCGATAGACATGAGATCCTGATCGGGTGGATATAAGTTAGTTATAGGCTTATAGCTAAGAACTTAACTAACGGTTCGACTCTAGTACCACAACGCGTCAACACTGGGACTAACTTCAGCCACACGGGCTGGGCAGTGGCGATCAAAATGGCATTTTCTTGATCTGATGGAGCCAATCTTCCTGACTTTTCCTGCACGCACAATCACAGTCGAATCTACTCCGTACTAGCCACGTAGTAGCTAACTCTTTCCCTGCTTGAGTTTTCAAGTTTCAAGGACAAGCACAGATTCCCGGAGTTTGTGACGATCCATCCGATCCACCGCGGCGGTCTGATTGGTGCATGGCGAGCGCTCATTCCACGGACTGCCGCATAACGACGGTCTGCCCCCTTCATTCCGCCGAGGGAGCGTTGCGAGGCCAGCGTGATCATTTATTTATTTTATATAGATAACTTTCATCAAGAGAATGCAATTGTTGTAGACGTTTACTCTCTCTCTCTCTCTATATGCAATGTCAACAGTAACACCACAAGATTATCGCCACCGCAGTTGCACGGCGGGGCGTGTCTCAGGGGCTTGCTGACCGTGAAGAGTAATAGTAAACAAGTAAATACCGATACCGTACGTGACATTGTAAACAACATAATTTCAAGGACCGGGACACTCAGGCCGCTGCCATTGGCTGCCTGGACGGGCCTACCCCTGTTCCGTTCCCCACTTGCCAGTCGGCCCCGCCAGTGGAAGACGCTCGACCAGTAATAGAGAACCAGGGGCCCCACCACACATACCGCTGTCTGTATGGTGTATCGCTGGTACGTTGTTTTTTCGCGATGTGCCCAAAATAGCCACGACTGCCTTCCCAGACAGCCCAGAACGCGCAGAACCCGCCAGCACCAGCAATTTCCCTGCGCCGCAGCCTCCACTCTCGCCCTCTCTCCCCTTCCCCTTCTGCGTGCGTCGATTTTCTCGCCAACCACGCAGAGCCTTTTTTTTTTTCCTCCTCCTTTCCCTGCAACAAACTCCCTCACACTCCCTTCACACTCTTTTCGTTAATCCTTCTTTTTGATTCTGTTTTATTGTGTATCCATCTCTTGCTTGTGCTGCATCGACGGCTTGCCAATCGTTTTCCTTCCTTCTCTTCTGCGTCCGGCTGAAGAAAGGCAGGGCCACTGGGGCTCGGTAGGTTCCTACTTTGTTCGACTGCCTGCCGCCTATCAACTGCACCGCGACGTGTTGAACAAATAAAACACAAAAAAAAAAATACTTCCTTCCATTCGCTCAAAATCATCTCAATAAACTTACTACTACTTCTATCGTCGCCACAATCAGATTCTCTTGTTCGATCGCTGACAAACGAAGATTCATCGTGCCGACTTGCCTGTCTGTATATTTCAAGAGTGACCGCCCAACAGTGTTCATGGGCACATTATAAAGTGAGTCGTCCGCTGGCTCTGCCCGTGAACCTCTTCCAATTGACAATCAACTAGGGCTTTCTATTACCCCTTTCTTGCATTATAGATAGCTAGCCATCATGTCTGGCCATTACGACGAGGGTTACGACCATCAAGGCCACGGTGATGCCTATTATCAAGATGAACAACAACATGGATACTATGATCAAAACGAGTACTCCAACTACGGCGAGGGCTATTATGACCAGAGGTACGTCGATTGGATCTCGCTTTTGACAAGCGGTGCAGTATCGTTGACTGGTGCCAATTCTATACAGTGGTTACTACGGGGATCAAGCCGGTGGCTATTATGAAGGTGGCCACGACAACTACTACAATGACCAGTACTACGATCAAGGTCATGGAGGAGCCGAAGAATACGCCCACGCTGGCGAGCCTCGTGGTCGCGGAGGCTCCGAAGAGGACTCGGAGAGTTTCAGTGACTTTACCATGAGATCCGAAACCGCCCGAGCGGCTGACATGGACTACTATGGCCGTGGTGATGAGCGTTACAATAGTTATAATGAAAGCCAAATGGGTGGTAATGGCTATGGATATCGACCACCATCCTCGCAAGTTTCATACGGAGGCAATCGTTCATCCGGTGCTTCAACTCCAGTTTACGGAATGGATTATACAAACGCTCTGCCCGCTGGCCAACGATCGCGCGAGCCGTACCCCGCTTGGACTTCCGACGCCCAGATCCCACTGTCTAAGGAAGAAATCGAGGATATCTTCATCGATTTAGTCAACAAGTTTGGTTTCCAAAGGGACAGTATGCGGAACATGTACGACCATCTCATGACTCTTCTCGACTCTCGTGCTTCGCGTATGACACCCAACCAGGCTCTGCTTTCGCTTCATGCCGACTACATCGGCGGTGACAATGCCAACTACCGTCGTTGGTACTTCGCGGCCCATCTGGATCTGGATGACGCCGTCGGATTTGCCAACATGCAGTTGGGAAAGGCGAACCGTAGAACTCGCAAAGCTCGTAAAGCTGCGAAAAAGGCGGCCAGTGAAAACCCTGAAAACGAGCAGGAGACATTGGAAGCAATGGAAGGTGACAACAGCTTGGAGGCAGCAGAATATCGCTGGAAAACACGAATGAACCGTATGTCTCAACACGAGCGCTGTCGTCAAATTGCCCTCTATCTTCTTTGCTGGGGTGAAGCCAACCAAGTGCGCTTCACACCGGAGTGTCTTTGCTTCATTTTCAAATGTGCAGATGATTACTTGAACTCTCAAGCCTGTCAGAACCGTGTAGAACCTGTTGAGGAAGGCACCTACCTGAACAATGTCATCACACCCCTATACAGTTACCTTCGTGATCAAGGCTACGAGATTTACGACGGGAAATACGTTCGCCGAGAGCGTGATCACGCCCAAATTATCGGCTACGATGACGTGAATCAACTGTTCTGGTATCCCCAAGGAATCGAGCGCATCATCCTTGAAGACAAGACTCGCCTCGTCGACATCCCCACTGAAGAGCGATGGGAGAAATTGAAGGATGTTAATTGGAAAAAGGTCTTCTTCAAGACTTATCGCGAGACCCGTTCTTGGTTCCATTTGATCACCAACTTCAACCGAATTTGGGTTATCCACCTGGGAGCCTTCTGGTTTTTCACCGCATACAATGCCAAGGTTATCTACACAAAGGACTACCAGCAACAATTAAATAATCAACCGCCTGCTGCTTATTCCTGGTCCGCCGTTGCGCTCGCTGGTACGGTTGTTTCGTTCATTAACATTCTAGCGACTCTCTTCGAGTGGGCCTATGTCCCACGTAAGTGGGCTGGTGCCGAACACTTGACTAGACGCCTGATGTTTCTTCTCCTGGTTTTTGTTATCAATATTGCGCCTAGTGTGTACGTCTTCGGGGTGTCTAAGGAGGGCACAGACATTGCCGCCAAAGTCCTCGGTATAGTTCAATTCTTCATTGCTCTGGCCACCTTTTTCTTCTTTGCTGTCATGCCACTAGGTGGCCTGTTTGGAAGCTATATGAAGAAGAACACTCGTACATACGTTGCAAGCCAGACCTTCACAGCTAGCTTCCCGTCCCTCAGCGGTAATGGCATGTGGATGTCCTACGGCATGTGGGTTTGCGTTTTCGCCGCCAAATTGGTGGAATCTTACTTCTTCCTCACTCTGTCTCTCAAAGATCCCATCCGCATTCTCAAACCAATGAAGGTCGACCATTGTCTGGGTGACGCTATCATCGGCGACACATTGTGCCACTACCAGCCCCAAATTCTTCTTGGACTGATGTGCTTTACCGACGTTACCCTGTTCTTTTTGGATAGCTATCTGTGGTACATCATTCTGAACACAGTTTTCTCTGTGGCACGGTCTTTCTATCTGGGTGTTTCTGTCTGGAGTCCTTGGCGTAACATTTTCTCGCGGTTGCCCAAGCGTATTTACTCCAAGGTTCTCGCTACAACCGACATGGAAATCAAGTACAAGCCGAAGGTCCTGATCTCACAAGTTTGGAATGCTGTTGTGATATCAATGTATCGTGAACATCTTCTGGCCATCGACCATGTGCAGAAACTTCTCTACCACCAGGTGCCTTCTGAACAGGAGGGTAAGCGAACTTTGCGCGCCCCGACATTCTTCGTCTCTCAAGAAGATCATTCGTTCCGTACCGAGTTTTTTCCCTCCCAGAGTGAAGCAGAACGCCGTATCTCATTTTTCGCACAATCCCTTTCGACGCCTATTCCGGAGCCGTTACCGGTGGACAACATGCCAACCTTTACAGTCATGATCCCTCATTACAGCGAGAAGATCCTCCTCTCTTTGCGTGAAATCATTCGAGAGGATGAGCCTTACTCCCGTGTTACGCTCCTGGAATACTTGAAGCAGCTACACCCTCATGAGTGGGATTGCTTTGTCAAGGACACCAAAATTCTTGCTGATGAGACATCTCAGTTCAACGGCGAGTATGAAAAGTCGGAAAAGGACGCCGCCCGAAGCAAAATTGACGATCTTCCCTTCTACTGTATTGGTTTTAAATCTGCTGCTCCCGAGTATACTCTCCGCACTCGTATCTGGGCCTCTCTCCGCTGTCAAACCCTCTACCGTACAATTTCTGGCTTCATGAACTACAGCCGTGCCATTAAGCTTTTGTATCGTGTCGAGAACCCGGAAGTTGTTCAGATGTTTGGTGGAAACTCCGATAAATTGGAACGAGAATTGGAACGCATGGCACGTCGAAAGTTCAAGATCTGTGTCTCCATGCAACGCTATGCCAAGTTCAACAAGGAAGAACGTGAAAACACCGAGTTCCTTCTTCGTGCCTATCCCGACCTTCAGATCGCTTATCTAGATGAGGAGGAGCCTGTTAATGAAGGAGAGGAACCAAGACTCTACTCTGCGCTTATTGATGGACATTCTGAACTGTTAGAGAATGGATTCCGCAAACCAAAGTTCCGCATTCAGCTTTCTGGCAACCCTATTCTTGGTGATGGAAAGTCCGATAACCAAAACCATGCAATCATCTTCTACCGTGGCGAGTATATTCAATTGATCGATGCCAACCAGGATAACTATCTAGAGGAATGTTTGAAAATTCGCAGTGTTCTTGCTGAATTCGAGGAATTGACGACTGAAAACGTCTCTCCATACACTCCTGGTATTCCTTCGACAGCAACTGACCCTGTTGCCATTCTTGGCGCTCGTGAATACATTTTCTCGGAAAATATTGGTATCCTTGGTGATGTTGCTGCTGGAAAGGAGCAAACATTCGGAACTCTCTTCGCCCGGACACTCGCTGAAATTGGCGGTAAACTCCACTATGGTCATCCTGATTTCCTCAACGGCATTTTCATGACCACTCGTGGTGGTGTTTCCAAAGCCCAGAAAGGTTTACATCTGAACGAGGATATCTATGCTGGTATGAACGCCATGTTACGTGGTGGCAGGATCAAACACTGCGAATACTTTCAATGTGGTAAAGGTCGTGATCAGGGATTCGGTTCTATTCTTAACTTCACAACCAAGATTGGCACTGGTATGGGCGAACAGTTTTTGTCTCGTGAATATTATTACCTTGGCACTCAACTCCCCCTTGATCGTTTCTTGTCTTTCTATTACGCCCACGGTGGTTTCCATGTCAACAATATGTTTGTCATGTTATCTGTCAACATGTTCATGATTGTTTGCATCAATCTTGGCGCCCTGCGACATGAATCGATTATCTGCCATTACAACCCCAATGTCCCCATCACCGATCCGTTGATGCCCACTGGTTGTGTCGACCTCGTGCCTATCACCAACTGGGTCAATCGCTGTGTTTTGTCTATTTTCATCGTGTTCTTCATTTCCTTCGTGCCTCTTGTTGTTCAAGAGTTGACGGAGCGCGGTGTTTGGCGTGCAGCTACCCGTCTCGCCAAACAATTCGGATCTCTCTCCTTTATGTTTGAAGTCTTCGTGTGCCAGATTTACGCCAACGCTGTTCAACAGGATGTCTCATACGGAGGTGCCAGGTACATCGGTACCGGTCGTGGTTTTGCAACCGCTCGTATACCATTTGGAGTTCTTTATTCACGTTTCGCCGGCCCCTCTATTTACCTCGGCGCCCGGAATTTGTTGATGTTGCTTTTCGCTACATCCACCATGTGGGCCGCTTCTTTGATCTGGTTCTGGGTTTCCTTGACTGCTCTATGTGTCTCGCCTTTCCTGTTCAACCCACACCAATTTTCATGGAATGACTTCTTCATCGACTACCGTGATTATCTTCGATGGCTATCCCGTGGAAACTCGAGATCGCACAACTCCTCATGGATCGCCTTCTGTCGCCTTTCTCGCACAAGAATTACTGGCTACAAGCGCAAAGTTCTCGGTGTTCCGTCTGAGAAGCTCTCAGGTGATGTCCCTCGTGCTCGGATCACTAACATCTTCTTCAGCGAGATCCTTGGGCCCCTCGTCCTGGTAGCTGCCACCGGCATTCCCTATCTCTATATTAATGCTCGAACCGGTGTCACTCAAGATAACCCGAAAGCGACCAATTCGCTCCTGCGTATTGCTATTGTCGCGTTTGCTCCGATCGCTGTCAATGCCGGTGTTGCCGGTGCAATGTTTGGTATGGCGTGCTGTATGGGTCCTCTTTTCAGCATGTGCTGCAAGAAGTTTGGAGCTGTTCTCGCCGCTATTGCCCACGCTATTGCTGTGATCATGCTGCTCGCCTTCTTCGAAGTCATGTTCTTCTTGGAGGGCTGGGATTGGCCTCGTTGCATCTCGGGCATGATTGCCATGGCTGCCATCCAGCGATTTGTCTACAAGCTCATCATCGCCACAGCATTGACCAGGGAGTTCAAGAACGATCAATCCAATATCGCTTGGTGGACTGGGAAATGGTACAACATGGGTTGGCACTCTCTGTCCCAACCCGGTCGTGAATTCCTATGTAAGATTACGGAGCTCGGTTATTTTGCTGCAGACTTTGTCATCGGCCATCTCCTGCTTTTTGCCATGCTTCCTGCACTTGCGGTACCGTATATTGACAAATTCCACTCTGTCATTCTGTTCTGGCTACGTCCTAGGTGAGTGAATTCCTCCTAATGAATAACTTCTTACTTGTCTAACAAACTTGGCAGTCGGCAAATTCGACCCCCTATTTATTCTTTGAAACAATCGAAGCTTCGACGACGCCGTGTCATCCGCTTTGCCATTCTCTATTTCGTCATGCTTGTTATCTTTATTGTACTCATCGCTGCGCCTTTGGTTGTTCGTAAACTCAACATCGACCTGCCATCAATTCCAGACTCGCTCATGCAACCTCTCGATGCTGGCGAAAAACATAACGATACTCACACATATTACACCGGTAGTGGGCTACCTGCTGGCTTCGTCGCATACTCAGGAAGTGGAAGCAGCAGCTCAAGCACTGCTGGTGCAAAGATGATGTTTATGTTCTAGACTGTACGCTGAGTTTGTTTCATTTATCGACTGCGTCGCCATATCTCAAGCTGTACCACGTGGCTGATGATTCAGGACGATGTCCCAGTTCCTGCATCTAATCTTTTGCCTCGGTTCTCATTATCTGCGCCCGTCGCAGGTATCGTTATTCTTATTGCTAGTAACGAGTTATTATATCTCCTGTTCTGGTTTTACTGTAAACGTTGATGGAGTTTGATTGGCCTTTTTCGTTTTATCTCATCACTTTCCAAACACGTAGTGTGGAACTTTGGCCTGTGTCTTTCGTTTTCATGCGATTACGCTGTCTTTGTCAACTTACAATTTTCAAACACACTATCCCCTGATAGTCTTTTTGTATCAACAAATGCAGTTCTTTGGTTCTATTCATACACACCGTCATCAGTAGAAATGTAGCTACTTTTGCCTGATTTACACGGGTTGAAATCATAATCACATCGAAGTCTACAAGTCACGTGACACCCAATGCCTTGCTGCCTGCCATCCGAAGCGTTGCCCCTTCCCCGAGTTCTTTCCGCAGCGAAACTACGAACGATCAGATTTTCCTTCTTCCACCTCTCCCAATTGCGCCCAAGCAAGGAGATGTGAAAATGGATCTTCATGAAGCACAAAAGGTCCTGACGGACTTCCTCCAAGAATTGTCCGCGCTATTTCACCGCGTTCCTGGTTCGGCAATCTTCCTCCGCTACGTTAAGTCCAGCTACCAGAATGATCCAATTCGCTCCGCTGTGGAATTGTTCCTATTTCTCTTTGCTGTTCGCTATCTTCTTGCCCCCAAATACTCCACAAAGCCGGGGATCGTCAAACTTTCGGAAGAGGAGATCGATGATTTGGTTGATGAATGGACTCCGGAGCCGCTCGTTGGTAGTCCCACGGCTTTGGAAGAAATTGAGGTTGAGAAACGGACCGTTATCGTAGGGTATGTTTCTTCTCGCCCTTTTTATTTCCGCCCCCGTTCACAGATCCAGTATGCACTAGACATTCGTGCAGAATGATTGCTAACGGAAATTGCGTGCGATGAATTAGACCGACCGGGCCTAAAGTCAAGTTGTCGAATGGACGAACCGTCGTGAATTTGGCGTCTTATAACTTTTTCAACTTTACATCAAATGAATCGCTGAAAGAAAAGGCTATCCAGACGCTTCGGACTTATGGTGTTGGACCTTGTGGTCCCCCCGGCTTTTACGGTACTCAGGATGTGCATATGAAAACTGAAGCAGATGTCGCCGCGTTTCTGGGCACCGCGGCGTGTATTATCTATTCCCAGGCGTTTTCTACGATTTCAAGCGTCATACCGGCCTTTTCGAAGCGCGGAGATATCATCGTGGCCGACAAGGGTGTGAGCTTCGCTATTCGCAAGGGAATTCAGATTTCTCGAAGCACAGTACGGTGGTATGAACATAATGATATGGAGGATCTTCAGCGTGTATTGGAGAAGGTGACTCGGGAGCAAGCACGCAAGCCGTTAACTCGACGCTTCATCATTACTGAAGGTCTCTTTGAGTCCATTGGCGATGTTGTTGACCTTCCCAAAATTGTGAGTACAGGGCATATCCTGAGATGGGTCTGATTTATAGATTGCTCATGATTGTTTCATTATAGGTTGAATTGAAGTTCAAGTACAAGTTCCGTCTGATCTTGGACGAGACCTGGTCTTTTGGTGTTCTCGGTCGGAACGGGCGAGGTGTCACAGAACACCAAAATGTTGACGCGACTGAAATTGATATGATAGTTGGCTCCCTTGCCGGTCCAATCATTGCTGGAGGTGGTTTCTGTGCAGGATCCGAAGAAATTGTACATCACCAGCGTATATCAGCATCTGCGTACACATTCTCTGCTGCTCTCCCTGCCTTGTTGTCGACCACCGCAAGTGAGACGATCAATTTGATGCAGACCAACCCGGACCTTTTTACACAGCTCAGATCTAATATTAAGACGATGTGGGCACAGCTTGATCCACGCAGTGACTGGATGTACTGCACGAGTGTACCAGAAAACCCCATAATGATTCTAGCCATCAAGCCCAATGTTGTTTCGTCACGAAAGTTATCTATCGAAGATCAACAGTTTTTGTTGCAAGACATAGTCGATGAGGTGAGTCCTAGATTGTACTCAAAATTTCAAATGGCGCCATTGCTGACTTTCTTTCTTCCCGGGTAGACATTGGCAAACGGTGTGCTTATAACCCGCTTGAAGACTTTGCCTGACGCAGTCACGCCCAAACAGCAAGTGCTTCCATCTCTCAAGGTGTGCCTGACAATAGGCCTCACAAAGCGCGAAGTTGAAAAGGCAGGCACTATCATTCGGCATGCGATCACAAAAGTGCTAAGCAAGAAAAGATAAGATACTAGTTTCCTTATGCTTTTCTCTCCTACGACTCCTCTTTCTTTTTCTCTGCGGGATTGTATACATATATATTTGTTTTAATTTCTATTATACGCAGCTAAGCATGCGGTTGCTTGTAACCGATTATCACGCTCTGGTAGGTAGCCTTTGTGTTGAACCAGCATCCTGACGGGCTTTTCTTTCCTGACGAATCATGTTATTTATAGAGTACATACATATTTTAATCTTGGTGGTTGAAGGACGAAATGAATACATTCTCTCTGCATATAAACATACAATCCATCAGAGCGTATACATTAGGTACACTAACTAGACACAGTTGATTGACCTCGTACCTTCCTGTTGGCAAACTAGGGTATGAAGACGAGCATTCCTAAAAACATTCGTTACATTACCTAGCTGCCCAGGCCCTAGCATGTTCATTACGCAGGTAGCCCTAATAGTGAACTAGTTACATTCTTGACAATCACCACCCCATAACTTAAGACCAACATATATGTAACTACCAGGTATTGAAATTAGTCAATGTAACTGGCGAAGAATCTGACGGATCCTTGTTTACGAATTTCCTTTTTGGGGCAAATATCTCTCTTTGGGACAGGAGGAGTTATTACTTCCCCCCCCCCAGCTGGGTAGTTATGTACCTAGCTTCGGATTGCCGGTCTTTGAACCTTTGTCTTGGATTGCTTCGTTATAATAACCGAATCTGTGCTCTTGTCCCATGCACGACCTGAGCCCTAAAGTCGGAAATTAGAAAGATATCTTTCTGATTATTACTCCTAGCTGTTCAAATAAACTGGACTAGTTGATGCGAGAACCCTGAGATTTGGAGGATTCAAGGGCCAGACATGAGGAAATATTGCGTCTTGGGCATTGCTGCCCTGGCGTTTCTACATCCTGCAGAGAGCCATATACATAGTAAGAAAGAAACAAACGAAAGATGTGACTGAGCCTGAAATTGACAATTAGCTATAGATCATAATAAGAGAGGTGGCCAGCTCACTAGACATGAAATGAACATTCGTCAAGAACAACGATGCTCGAAGGAGCCTCCAACGACCACTACCTTAACCATCCATGTCGACGAATTCGGGCATACGTTAGACGCAAGCCCTTCAACGACGTCGGTAATCGCTGTTTCTGTCAGTACTTGACCCTTGTGCAAAGATCTAGTAAGAGTAATATTAACGTCGGAACTTGGCGTGGCAGAATGAACGAGAAACAACTCCATCGTCCATACTGTCAGTAACAGCAGCAGCAACCTCGTTCTCCTTAATATCAACGACATCCCTATTGCAACCGCTGCCATCATTGTCATCGCCATCGTCTTCATCGCCTTCACGGGCCTCGAAAAGGATGCAGCCAGACCGTTATGTAGCGCCCCCAGCAATAGATATTAGCCACCGTTCAACAAATTCTGATCCTCTAGCCCCAGATCTCATCTCAGGTATATCCAACAGCCTTTTTGGACACGGCAAATATGGCATCTCGTACACAGCATACAACGACGACGGCACCTGCAAAACCCAAGACCAAGTAGACAGCGACATGGCACAACTCCGGCAATTTGCGTTTGTGCGATTCTACGGTGTCGACTGCAACCAGGCGCAAACCATCAGCAAAGCTGCGCGGGGAAACAATATGCAAGTCTTTGCGGGTGTTTTCGATATCCAAAATATGAACAATGATCTCCAGAAGATTATTGACGCTGCAGACGGCGACTGGTCGACTTTCCACACCGTTTCGGTGGGGAACGAGCTTGTTAACAGAGGACAAAGCTCGCCTGCAGAGGTGATTGGCGCAGTGAACTCTGCGCGTAACAGACTTCGTCAAGCAGGATATCAGGGCCCTGTGGTTACGGTGGATACGTTCAATCAGATTATTGCCCACCCTGAGCTGTGTGATGCCTCCGACTACTGCGCGGCGAATTGCCATGCGTTTTTTGATTCCAATCAAACTGCCGAAAACGCAGGACCGTATGTCCTCGAACAGGCGCGTCAGGTTTCCCAGGCTATGAAGGATGGAAACAAGGGGGTCATTATCACAGAAACAGGCTGGCCATCTGCAGGTGAAGCGAATGGTGCGGCTGTGCCTTCAAGACACAATCAAATTGTTGCGTTGAAGAGCTTGAAGCAGAGTTTCCCCGACGGAGGCGTCGTTTTCTTCAGCGCTTTTAATGAGAAGTGGAAACAGGATAATGCATGGACTTTTGGCACCGAGAAGAACTGGGGGCTGTTCGACTTTTCAGACACGAAGGACGCAATTTCAGAAATTTTGAATCCATTGAAGGGTAATGGTGTGTAGACATTATCTAGTTTTAGTAGCATTAGTAGTGGAAGCTGCCAGCCAGAATCGTTTGTCAGTTAATAACATTTTCTGAGGATTTTGTCTTTCAATGCCATGGGTAAGATTCAGTAGATTCATTGTCCATCTTACGAGATGCAACTGATTAATTACATGATAATAAGACTGAAACTGTAGGAGGATTCTAAGTATCGTTTATGGTGTAAGAATCACCTGAGCTCCTCTGAGGGGAAGGAGAAGAAGCGGTCTCGTCCACCCCCTCGTCCAAAGGTGGCTCCGTAGATGGCTTCGGACCATGTCGCCATCGACGCGTTTTTGGAGGTTCGGGCTTGGTGCTAGATTTGGTAGTTGATGATGGATGCTGAGACCTTCGAGGCGGCGGCACAGCTGGTCTTGGTCTCGATGTAGACCTGGAGATAGATGTTTCCGGCGCTTGTAATATCGTTCCAACTGGGCCGGGGCTGTCTGTCGATATCGGCGCGGTCTCGGTCCGGTCCGCGGGTCTCCCGCGTCCATCGTCATGATCTCCTTTGCCATGGGGTTTGGGGTATGTGCGTCTCGGGTTGGGGGGCTGTGGCCTTGGTCTCACCTTGCCAACAGACACAATGGGCTGCTGTGATGCTTTATTTTTAAGGCTTGGGGTCACAATGCCCGGTATCTCACTCTGTCTTGCTACTTCTAGCATGCTGAGCTTGGATGAAGTAGCTGACCCTAAGTGCACCCCAAGAGTCTCCGTGGACTTTTCGTCCCCACTAGAGAAAGCACTAGGCGGTTCTGATTCAGGCCTGGTGGGCGAAGTTGTTGCATCTGAATCCTGTGAAATTGGTGACTCAGAGAGGGTTGCGGGAGGCATGCCAGATGAGATAGAAATGGCCATAACTTCTTCCGAGAGCTGTAATTCTGCGGTGCCGTGTAGTTGTGGCCCAGCATCCCGTAGCCATTCCACTTGGCTACACCGAGAGACAAGCCTTTTGGTTGTTTCGTCAGCCTCTGCAAAATGCATGATTCTTTCACAAACAGAGTCAGAGCCTTCGATCTGGCTATGAACCAGGATACTCAGTGTTTTCCTTATTTCGTCACATTTGTAATGAGGGGGATTTTTCAGCTGAGTATGGGCCAGAAGGGGATATAGAACCCTTAGATACGTGTGCCTTAGAGCTATGGCTTCTCCTGGAAGGTCCAAAAGGTTTCGGATCAATATATCAACGAGGACTCGTAGATCATTTGTATAGAAGTACTCATAGGTAGACGGAGTCGTAAAGATGAGATAGAGTAACTTGAGCGTAAGTAATTGCAATGATGTTTCGCCTAAAGAAAAAGAACGACCATTAGAACAACATTGTACATCACAGGATCAAGATGCAGACCTTCTCGATTGAGTAATAGGATGATGTTTTCACCAAACGTTTTATAGATATTGCCATGTACGGAAAGAACCTTCATCACTTTATTTGTGAGAGGGCTAGATGATAGCCCTGAAGCAGGGTCGTGTGCTGAAACCATAAACTGCTCGTTCAATACTAGCTGTATAAGAAAGGTTATAAGTTTTCACTGTTCAGTATGTAGATCATAGATTTCTGACAGAGGAGCACAAACCAAAACGCGAATCACGGGATAGTGATAGGGGTCATGAGCGTCATCAGAAACACCCTCAATGATTTCGAAAAGATATTTGACAAAGTCATCGTCAACGCAAACTAGACATGAGAGTTCGTGAATGAGCCATAGGAGAAATATAGACGCTTAACGAGGAAACTCGAGGTTCATGACTCACATAGATCCTCTATCTTTATTTTCTGTATTCTAGACATCTCATAAAGAAGATCCATCAATAGACGATGCAGACCAGCACCGTTGTCGAGATTGATACCCGGGGAGCGAATGAGTTCCAGAAGCTTTGGAAAACAACCTTCCTCATTCATGAGCTGAAAAGTGCCGTCATTCTGCAATCCATCAAAGAGCAGAAATGACACAATGAAATGTAGAATATTTAGATCATCTTCCTATTCAGAATTATTTCCCATACACGTGGGGGCCCCAATTAGCTTAACTCATGAATACTTAGATGGTACAGGATTATCGGAATAGATAAAATGTACCTGGAGTAAACTATATATTATCTGTCTTCGAATGTAGTCTGCGTGCTGAGCGAAGAGGCTTGACGAGAAGAGCTTGTATGAGCAACAGGATATATCATATTCGCTGACGAGAAATTCGCCTGTTCAAACAAGGTATCAGCCAATGTGTCCCTCCAACGCTTGTCAACTTGGTGTGAATGCGTACCCTTAAACTTGGCGCCGAAATCAAGATACGTGCGAAGGGCATTGTCAATGAGGGCATGCGAGTCGCATTGCTTCGACACTATTTCTTCCAGTTCTATATTGAGATAACGAGAATAATTAGCTGGCCAGACTCAGAGGAGTAGCAAGTAAATGAATGAGTGAGTGAGTGTTTGAAGACTGGGCGTGGGTTAATCTTCTTGCGTTCGGCTTGATGCTAACCTGCCCAGAATTGCTTCTCATCCTCCAGGTCGTAGGAGACTTCTTCCAGGTCCATGTCCTGCATAACAACAACAAATCCGCTCCACTTGATTGCACACTCATCCCGTCGCGTGCCTGCTGGGCCAATTCTGGGGGTTTGTTGCAGAGGGGTAACTAACGTGCGTACCTCGAGTAGCGGACGCCCTGAATGCAAGGCATGCCATGCCGCCTTCACCGCCCGCCTTGTCAGACACAAACACGTACGTCATGCTAAATTGCCATTTGTCTCGATAAGATGGAGTACATTTTCGAAAATGAAGAATAGGTACTGATGGATCTTCTGAGAAGCGAGAAGATACGAGAGCTTTGATTTTAATCCTCTGCCATACGTACGTAGTATCTTTGATTGAATCTACAGTGTTCTTAGGGTTTAAGTAGGCCTGCCCCTAGAGAAAACAAAGAAATTCAAAAAGAAAGGCCATGAGCTATGCTGTACATGAAAACTAAGAACGTATGAAATAATCCGAATCGCAATCTGTGGTACAGCGGTTGTCACCGAAGAACAACGCAGAGAAGAGGGTTATAATCAATTATGACACTGGCCGTTTGAACGGATGTGCCTCAGTATTGCTACACATCATCGCGTTAGCAAAAACGAATAGTAGACCGGCCTACAGAAAGTGGAGGTAATACTTACAGAACATATTCGTCGAGACTAACAACGCTGGGATCGCTGAACAATAGATAGAAGTATTTCAAAGTCTCCGCTAACCAGAAAGACTCCATCTCATCGAGGAGCTCGGGTGCTTTGCTAGTGACGTCTGAAATAGCAGAGTCTGCAAGTTCTGTCCGGCAATGCCGTGCAATCGCTTCGAACATTTTCCATCCCTTTTCTCTCCAAATGTTATCGCCCGTAAGTCGGTACATGATGAAAACGGACTCGATGGCTTCGGGTCGGAGAATATACTTTCGAGACTGGATTTTGGTATAGCCGAGAGGAATACGCTCTTCCTGCAACCGGGCAGCAACATAATCCTCATGAGAGAGAACCGTAGGCTTGGGAGGAGCTACAAAGTTCGGATCGTCGACATCTGGAAGCAATTTCGATGCTTCTTCCTGGACCACCTTGGAATTTGAAGTAGAAAGATGTGCATGTTCATCATAATCATCCAAGCCACGAGGGTTGATATCACGTTTAGCGATAGTATCGCTTTCTTCGACTACAGAATTCCGAACCGGGGAGACAATATTAGGTTTCTTTTCCTGGGAAGGCTGCGTTTCATGAGATATCCCATAATAGGCCTCCTTTGCGCGTAGCAACTGGCGTTCATACGACTTCTCTGCTTGGATAATGCGAGACTTCTCATGGGGATCCATTGTGTCCATGTACCTAGTTGCGTTCCACGGACATGCCAAAGGGTCGTCGCAAGGGAGGATTTCAAATCCCTCTGGCATGATGCCGGTATTGGTGGATTCATACGCCCAAACACAACCGTCAGTAAGTTTAGCTGCAATATTCATATCACCCTCAAGGCCAAATAATTTAGCCCCCACAGCAAACATGCCGCCGGCAAAACAGGTCAGATGAGTGCCTTCATAGGTGTACTTGGTGTTCTTTTCTCCGGTTCCGTCTTTCAAGTTGTCGGAAACTTGCACAGTTGCGACAAATCGTATATCCCTTTCTTCATCCGGAAGCATGGGCCGGTAGATGAGATTATCGCGCACCGGTTCCATAGATATCTCGTAAAGGCTGCGATATTGATCACTAAGACCTCCGAGAAGCATATGTTCTTTCGGCAAATACTCGTAAGTTGAATCAGACTGTCCACCCAAACCAAATCTGTCAAAGGCAGTTCTAGGGGGAGATGCTAGCCCTTGCTTTGTACAGTCCTGCTTTGAGGCTGGGATAGATGTCAATGGAGTGGTTGCTTTCGTTCCAGTTTCATAATCTGCAGGCTCCGCATCAGATTCTAGCCCAGGATCTCGTTTCTCCATGTCCTTGGGGATAGGGAGATGCTTTTCCAGCACCATTGTAGGCGAGGATTTCGCTATTCCTAGCCCGCTAGATTTGTTTATTACAACACCAGACTTTTCGGTGCGAGTCGGATGCTCAAGGGAAGAGCTGCTAAGCGGAGCGCACCCAGAAGCATCCACCACAAGCGGCCACATTCCAGGAAGTCTAGTGTTGTTCTGCATCTTCTCAAGTTCGTCCGTAATGCGAGCTATTGCGTCATAATATTTATGCTCCATAGTCAACTGAGCCAAGCGGGTGAACTCCATAGACAAGGATCCCAATTCAGCCAAAACGACACGAGTACCAGCACGATGAGGCTGAGCCACGGCGGCACTAATGAGTGTATTAGAGATAGGAACAGTGTAATGGGATATAGTAACAACTCACGGAGCCCAATTGTAGTATGTGACTGGCATTCTATTCGGCGTGTCAAATGCACCCATCAATATTTCAGCCAGTTCCACTGCCTTGTCCAACAGAACCGAGTATTTCTGACCAGAAATGTCGTACGCACCAAGGAGACCGCCTAAGTAGCGAATCACCGTTTCAAAGAGAGGGATATCCCGCCGAATGGAAGTGGTGAAATCAATCTTCCTCACCTCTTCTACGGCGGCGGCGAATTCATCTTTCAAGTCCATGATCCACAGGGTGTCTAGCGCATCAACGAGTGTGGCGCCCCAGCCCGCAAAGGGATCTCGGTATTGCCCGGTGACAGGCCGTATCTCATCGTGTCCTAGTGCATATTCTGTATAGCCATCCCATGCATGTTCGAATTCTTCTCTGATAGCCGCGAGTCTCTGTGTGCGTAGAAGCTTTTCTGTATTAGACTCGTCTTTAAACGTGGACTGAAGCTTGGGCAGCGATGTAGGCCGGCCGGTGGGGAGCTTAATGAGATCATATTCATTAACAGGGAAGTGTTCGGGAAGCTTCTCCCAATGCTGCTTGATTGTGTTTGTTGGAAGCTGATTCGATGTCCCAACCCGGTCCGACTGTTTCTTGGTACCCGACTGTTCCGTAACTTCGCTCTGAGGTTTGTCACCGAAAATTTTCAGACTTGATTCCTCCACTGACGGCGGATCGAGTGCGTCTGAATAATCAGTCGGGGAATAGGTGGTCTCTGTGCTCCAGGTTTCATCGTCGACGAGTTCTTTCTGTTTTCCAGTCTCTCGATCCTTGGGTAGTTCTTTATTCTTCAAAGGCAGTTCTTCTGGAGCAGATGGTCTCTCGCCTGCAGGGCCTGACTTGAACTTTATCTCCGTTGCTGGCTCAGGAGGAGATACGGGGGAATCGTGGTTGATAGCTGTTGGGGGGGCTTGAAGATCCTTTGTCCCGGGCCAGTCGTCGGACCATTCGCGCGACCTCAGGAAATGGACGAAAGCAAGGCCAAAAATGATGCTAAAAACGACAAAGGAGCGATATCTGCGACTGCGCGGCATTGCGTCGGGCGGGGATCCTTTTTCTTATATAATATAACCAAAAACGAAGGTAGTCAAAGATCTACAGCGTGATCCAGCCATCCGCTGTAGCTGAAGTATAATGCAATCGGAACGAAGGATCGAGGAGGGTGACCCTCATGAGAATGCAGCACGCCGGGGATGCATTCGAGTCACTGGAGCAGAGCAGAGCAGCCAGCAAAGGAAGAAGCAGAGAGCAGAAGGGATGGGGAAGGCGCAGAGCACATAGACTGGGCCCGAAAGTGGGCTAGTGGCTTAAACCTCGGGTGGGGATGCCTAAATTGCGTCCTGAGGGCCTGAGGCTGCTTGTCCCAACGCCACGGCGCATAATCACACCCTCGGTTGCGACAATGATAGGGAAAACAGCCCCCTTCTGCTACGATATCGCCTCCAGGTGCCTCGGAGTCATTGTTCTTCTGCGGCTTCTCAATGCAGTAGCTATAGTACCTATTGCGAATGAGAGTATATACTCCGTCGTCCCGACCTTTGTTCCTTCGGCCCGAATGCCAATGCACATTGCCAAGTTCTCACTCGCAAACTAGTAGCAATAATTACGGAGTAACTAGTTAACTAACAGTTACAGTCAGCTAATTGCGGTAACGGTGGTACTAGTAGTTGATAGGTGGCCCGCTTCGTACTATAAATACGAGAGAGCTCTAACTCTTAAGCCTAACCAGAGATCTAGATCGCTGCTATTGCCGCCCCCGCGTTTCCGCTCAGCCAGCCAATAGCAGCGCCGTCTGGCTTTCTGGTTCTCCGGGCAGCAGCCGAGCATTTTGAAAGGACCAAGAGGCCAGCCTTGGATAATCGTATGATTCTCAATTTAATAAGCCTAAAAATTTCTTTGCGACGTTGTTACATTCCTAGTATTTTCCTAGACAGCACTGTGGCGTCGAGTGTGCGGTTACTTCCGATGGTATGTCTCCACTACGGACGACGTTGATTATTCATCCCAAGCTAGAAAACCAAGTGCCATTGGCGCATATCTCTCTACAGAGCATATAGTATATAGAATATGCTCATATGCCAACTGTGCCACCTCTGGCTCTGCCTTCGTTGTTGGCCTTTTGGAATTGCTGGATTAGACCGAGTACACCGCCAGGACCATTGACGATTGCTTCCACCTCTTCGCCCTCTTCTATCCCATCGCTGTCATCTGCATCTCCTGCTAGATTGACGCGCCACGAGCCCTCCAAATTATTATCACTGGTAGCCACTGCCCCGGTAGAATCGTCGCCTACTCGACTCGACTGCTGAGCCACAGGAGTCCTGCTTGAGGTGTCGCCATCAGAGAGCTCTTTTACCTCGTCCATTCCATCACTAACAGGCCGAGCCGCCCGGAAACGAGATTGGGCCGCCGTTCTATGTGTCGATCGTAGTCCTGAAGCGGAGGGCTGATGGTGCGGGTCCAGGAGCATCGAGTGAACCGGCGAATTGAGAGCCGCCGGCCCACCGCCAAACCGAGACCCGCGCATCGTGGCGTGGTGCGCCTGGGGTCCTAACAGAGGGGACTGTCGTCCCGCCATTTGATCCCAACGGTCCGCACGGGGAGTTGCATCGGCCGGATGAGCAATCCCAAGAGCAGGGAAAGCGGGAGGAGGGTGAAATCTTCGTCGGGGTCCAGGAGCGGCACCGGCTCGCGGATTTGGACCGTAACTATCCAGAAAGCCGTAATACGAAGCAAGCATTTTTCCATCCTTGGTTGAGAAATAGTCATCTCGCAAGTCTCCCGCAGGCCCACTCTGGTTAGACGTGCGGCCTTGAGGATTAGACCGGGTATCCTTCTTAAAATCAAAGACGGCAAAAGAACACACGTAGCCCAACCCATCTACGTGGACAGTGAATTCGCGGAAAAAATCAATCAGACGGTCACTGCATTTAGGAAGGCTGAACCACAGCACAAATGGGGTGAAAATCATGCTCAGGATCTCCTCCAGGAAAATCATAATCTTCATTTGGTAGAGCATCGCGAACTCTTGTCTTACCTGATCGCTGTGCAAACGCCCAGTCCAATGATCTGGTCGATAGTGGGTAAAATTAGTCACTTCCAGGAGCGCGAATTCAGGGTCAAAGACATCGGTCTCTTCCGGTACCAATCCACGAGCAAGGGCCCAGACGCTACCAAACAATCCAAGATAGAAAAGTACTGTGCGATCCGGAGTAACTTCAAATCCCAGGAACAGCTCTGGGTCTAAAAGTGAAGCCAACGCTAGAACTGAGGCGAGAGCCCCTGCGATAAAAGCCACAAAACGTGAGAGTTGCACTGTCTTGTCTTTGGGAAATTGGTCGACGTAGCGATTGGCAAAGGGATATGACATGTTAATACGACGCTGAAAAAGATGCCAAAGTTCGTTAAATTCGCGAAACTTCCATTCCGCAAGAGGTGTATACTGGCGTGAGCCAATTTGCGATGGGTTTTTTTGGTACTCATTGAAGTACCGAAAGAAGTAATGCATCATAAAGTAAACAACGATAAACGGGGCGACGAAGATATTCATTATGCCGGCAAAAACAAAACGCCTTCGTAGACCCTCGCTCAAAGCTCGTCGGTGGGTATCTCTTAGAAAGAGAGGTCGTACCTGGCCCTGCTCATTAAAGACGTAGTCTAGAATACACAAGTTCAAATTCCATTCTAACGTGCGAGAGAACAACTGACGATTTCGGAGAAAGGGAACAGGCAAAGTGAGGTCAAGTATATCCTTGTTAAACAGAGCTATGAGGTAGTTTTCCTTCCGCATCAGTCGGTTGGCGATGTCATGGGCATCCATTCGCTGCTTCGACTGGCTGCCCATGAACCTGCGATGTTTGGCAGAAATAGCAGCCGCTGTGGATGGATTGGCATCTCTTAGAGTCATCAATCGGCTCACAACTTGTTGCCACGATATAGTCTGTATCTCTGGGTCGGAGATATCTAGCAAATAGTGATAAAAATCATGCATGTGTCGGAGTCTTCGAATATCAAGTACGTACTGGACGAGTTTACCGATCCAGAAAAAGGTGAAGAGCCACAAGAGGAGTGTGGTAGACGTTGAAACCTTGGTCATGCATTTCGGTACAAGAATTTCCTGTAAAGACTTGCTGTTGCGGACCAAGTTGTAGTTGACGCAGCTTGATAGAAAAGCCGTGAAGCCCACCACAAAACCGAGAGTTCTAAAATGGTTAGTAACTATCTCAAGAATTCATGGGGTAGATGTTAGTCCATACAATAAGTTGAGTGCTCGGCTCATCAATATACACCAGATCCCATTTCCCAGGTAATAGATGTATACGTCTTTTAAAAAATTGTCGAGATTCTCGACATTCGCCCACCTCCACATGGCCTTATCTTTGGGACTGGCAGACGCTAGACCAGAAAATCCACCCAGCCGCTCTGTTTTATGAACAATCGAAGCTGGTAGAAGCCGATGAGGCTTCCTACGGCCTTGCGGTGTTTCCCAGCGGTCCCTCGGTCTGCGAGATGATGGGCTGAAGTCTGGGTACGCATCATGGCGGTCATCAACACCGTAAGATGGAGGAGCAGGCGGTCTGGGCATATCGTCAACATCGTGGCCTTCTATCAGCAAAGAGGCCGGCACGTCGTCATGGTCGCCTTCATCGGCTTCGGCTACGCGGGGAGATAATTGCTGCAGCCATCGAGGTCGTGTTGATCTGGTCCTATTTCGATGGTTATCCGATAGCTTTCCGGGCCGTCTTTGGCCTAAGAACGCGGTACTCTGTGTAGTAACCTGGCTGTCGGCAGCGTCATCAGGGTCGAAATTGTGAAGCGATCTCTCCAGGTTCTCCTCGTCCAAAGCCATCGCGGCACGCTCTTCAACGTCGGAGTTTGCAGACGCCTCGTCGTCATTTCTGATAGCTTCGTAGATAGAGGGAGAGCCGGCGGGAGGCAGTATCCGCGACAAGATATTTGAGCTCATCATGGTTGCGGTTGTGGTTCAAGTTCCCTTCACTTCATGACTTGAGCACTGAGCATAGCTGTGGTTTCGGCACAGGGAACTTTCTTTCACGGAGACGGACCCATAAGCACGACAAGCCGAGCAGGTGACGATGGCATATAGGCTTTTGCGGTGTTTGTGACCCTGTGATACACAGACATCCCAGGCAGGAACGGCTTATCTGCGCGAGACTCATGACGCAGGCTTGGCACGTATCAGCACGTGATCCCGCCGTCCCTCGCTCACTCGCCCAGGCCAGCCAGTCAGTCTTAGTTCGATAGATAGACTCGATATAACATGCCACTACGTACTATCAAAACAACTAAAGAAACCTGGGAAGGCGGCGTTGATGGCAAGCCACAAACCACACACCGCCCCTGCGAGCTTTTCTGGCATGCATGAATCGTGATGCTTCGCCGGTTCGTTGGCTAGGGGATTATTAATCCGTTATAACCCAGGAATAGTTAGTTAGTTAGTTAACCAACTGCGTAGTTAGCAACGAAACTATGAGCAAGGGCTATCAATCGCCGCAACAACTTGACAACTCCGTCGGCCTGCCGTGGCCGTTCAAGGAGCTGCCAGCATTGCTTATCGACGAATAAGTGGATGGGACAGTTCGCGAACTGGTCTCGCCGCTGTCACTATGCAAAAGAATCGGCCATATTATTATTAATAAGACGGATGGATTGCTCCCTAACTAGTTAACTAACTCATCTAAAAAGTTAAGCAATGCTCCGTAGTCAAGCTCGGCTTAGATGGGAATGGCTGCAAACCCAACAAACTGCCAAGAAGACTCCACAAAGCGTCTCCTTCCGTAGACTCTCTCGCTCTCTCGAGACGGTCAGTCATTTACACCACCACCACCGCACCGCGTCGCCTCCCAACCACTTGTCCACACGCCTCTCAATTGACCTCCTGAGAATACACCGGTCGCTGCAACCGCGCTTCCTCGTATCCTTTGGCCCCTTCCCGTGCGAAGGGCATCGCTTTTCGCCCATCCTCAACACGCGAGGCCGGAAGCCACACCCCCTCCCCTCCCCGCGCAAACAGGTATGCTTCCATAGCCCATCAAGCTGTGTATCCCAAGTCATTTCTTATTCCTCATTGGTTGGGCCGAGTGCTTGTTGCTGTCAATGCTTCTTATTCTGTCGCCTTCGAAATGTCGCAAATCATGCTTTGACTGATGTGAAAGTGCGGGTTACTAGATATTGATCGAATTGGACCACGAGCGCAATCCAGAAGAGCCTGACTGGGTCGCGGAACCCCTCGACATCTTCGCAAGCGTACTCTGTCAAGCATATTTCACGCGCACCGACCCGGACCAATGTGTCGCATTTCACTCCATGCGTCCCGTTGACAACCTTCCACTGTTAGGGCACGGCGAGTAGCATAGACTGGCCATCCAGTGGGTATATCTTGTGGAGTTAAAAAAGGATCCAGCTTGAAGAAAGAGTTGGGAGAATGGAACAAGAACGCTCCAATGGGTTCCGGCGAAACTCGCTTCAACATGGGATCCATAGCCGCCCTGTTGAGCGACGACCAAGTAAGAAATCGTCATCAAAGGATCGACACGGGATAGTCTACCCGGACAACTTTCAGCAAGGAAGTATAAGAACTGTTACACCGGATTCTGCGTCTGATGTCGGTAACCAGTCATCTCTTTCTGAGTCCGACTACTTGTCCACCAACCCTAGTGTCTCTCCGCGCTCCACCGCTCGGTCAAGGAACACACATTGGGAGCGCCGTCGGGAGTTTAGTCCCTATCTTTCTGCTATCGAAACAGATGACCTATCAAGTGATCTGAGAAACCAGCGAGCTCGATCAAGGACGACTACTTTGGAGGAACAAAGGAGCGAAATATCGCCACAATTTTTGTCTAGGGCGAGAAATAGGATTGGCTCGCTGAACACTACAGCGGCTTCCACAGACCCGAAAGTTTCTGAGGAATCCGTAGGGTCTATAGGCTACCCCTCGGTCGTACAATCCCCAACCAATTCAGGCCAAATCAGTACTCGACAACGCTCATCCAAAGCACCCTCGGGTGGGCCTGCGATGATCACGGGGGTTTCTAGGAACCCGGCTGCATTCGTATCCCCATTATCTAATGCTGATTCTGCCAAAATCCTTCAATTGATGAAGACAACATGCGGACGAATGCATGGTATTCTATCCTTCCGAACTGCCACAAGTACTCAATGGACTTCTGGCTACTGTGCAATAAACGTTGCCACCGGTAGCTTGATCTATCAAGCTAAGGGGGAAGTGGCCATGGCAAAGACCTTGATTCCTGATCTTCGGGGATGTCATGTCCAGACACAGTTTGACACCGAGCTTCAATCCACATATCTTAGCGTTTCGACATTTTCATCAGGGTTGGGTATCCAACTTAAGCCTCATGTCAACGAAACATTCGACTCGTGGCTAGCAGCATTATTATGCTGGCAGCCTATACGCCCGAAAGGCGTGCAGAATAAGAGAACAAAGCCTCAGTCGGTGGCAATCGGCGACCGCCGCTTTTCTGAGCGGCGACGAAACTCCGAGAGCACAGTACAAAAGGAGGCAGCTATAATCAAAGTTGGAAAAATGCACCTCTGGGAAAAACCAAGCGCTTCTGGAGCGCGTCCTGAATCTGGTTGGCAACCATCTGCTGCATACAGACAACAAAAATCCTATTCCTCAGCATGGCAGAGGGTGAGCTGTACATTACAGGAAAATGGCCATTTCAAGCTATTCACAGAAACAGATGTGTCGCTATTGGCAGTCATTCATCTTTCGCAATTATCTCGATGTGCTATTCAACAACTGGAACCATCTGTTTTGGGTGATGAATATTGCATTGCTATATATCCTCAATATGCTGCGCTATCTGTATCAGAAACTGTCTCGCGACCAGTTTTCCTTTCCCTGGAGAGCAGGGTCTTATTTGAGGTGTGGTTTGTCCTCTTGCGCGCGTTTACCATACCGGAGTTGTACGGACCTGAGACCGCTACTGGCGACGATCCGAATCGATCACAGAACCTGGTCAACCCTGCAACCACGTCAACAACTGATATGTTTCGGATCGAGAGAACGCTGTCACTTCGTATCACCGAAGCAAGGCTGACGGGCAAGCACAGTGGCAACGACGATTCGCCGAAAAACAAAAAACCTACAAATCCTACCAATAAGGCTTATGTTAGTGATTACTACACCGAGGTCCTTTTGGATGGGGAAACAAGAGCCAAAACGGCAGTTAAACAGAGGACATCAAACCCCTTTTGGAGAGAAGAGTTTTCCTTCTACGATTTACCTCCGATTCTCTCTAATGCATCTATTCATTTGAAAACCTTAAACCCCGCACAAAAGGACTGGACGATTATTGCTCATGGTCCTTACAATCTCGATGCTCAGGCGAATTCTTTGAGTGTTCTTGATGATCTCGAGTTGGCGTCGCATGACGCAACCTCCGGTCGAGTTGATCTACGCCTAGATGACCTCGAAGTAGGAGTTGACCATGAGAAGTGGTGGGCAATCATCGACGACAGGGATCAGGTTTTGGGGGATATGTACATGAAAATCCGAGTAGAGGAGATGATTGTCTTGATGTCTCATGAATACGAGCCTATGTCAGAGCTTCTTCATACGTTTCCGAACAACCTTACGATAAACATGATTCAACTCGTGCCAACAGAACTTAGCCGCATGTCTGAAATCCTCCTTAACATTTTCCAGGTATCCGGCCAAGCCGCAGATTGGATTTCAGCCCTCGTAGAGGATGAAATCGATGGGCTTGATAGAGATACCAGTACAACCGTTCATAATCGGTTCCGGTATGCCACAAGGCTACATTCGAACGACTCAAAGGAGTCTGGACAGGACCGCGAGGCTATTCTGAGAGACCTTGGGCGCTCTGCGACTGTCGAAGCCAACCTGCTATTTCGAGGGAACTCTCTACTGACCAAGGCTGTCGACATGCATATGAGGCGCTTAGGGAAGGACTATCTTGAGGAAACGATTGGGGAACGAATCCGTGACCTTGATGAAAGTGACCCAGATTGCGAGGTGGATCCTGTCAAGCTTCGTTTGAACCGGACAGATGATTTGGAACGCAACTGGCGGAACCTTATTGGGCTCACCAGCCTATTTTGGAAATCAATTGCGGCCTCGGCTTCAAGATGTCCTCCGGAGCTTCGACGTATTTTCCGACATGTGAGAGCCTGTGCGGAGGACCGTTATGGCGATTTCTTACGCTCAGTTACTTACAGCAGCGTCTCGGGGTTCCTGTTCCTTCGATTTTTCTGTCCCGCCATCCTGAATCCTAAACTGTTTGGTTTATTGAAAGGTAAAATTTATACCTCCCGCTTCAAAGAGTTCTTTTTCCACCTAACAAATATGAATAGATCACCCACGACCTCGTGCTCAACGCACTTTGACACTTATTGCCAAGGCTCTTCAAGGGTTAGCAAATATGACAACCTTTGGTAGCAAAGAACCGTGGATGGAACCCATGAATAAATTTCTACTTTCAAACCGTTCCGCTTTCAAGGAGTTCGTGGATGCCATCTGTGCGATCCCAGCAGAGAGACCGGCGCAAATAGTTACGCCACAATATGCCACACCCATTCAGATCTTAGGCCGGTTACCTGCGACATCTCGTGAAGGGTTTCCAAGTCTTCCTTTCCTTATTGATCACGCTAGAAGTTTTGCGGCACTTACCAAATTATGGCTACAAAAAGCTCCTGAAAAGCTACATGAATTGGAGGATGTTGATCCAAGTGTAGCCAAGTTCCATGCGCTCGCTCTAGAGCTTCAGTCACGGACGAAGGAATGCTTTGGCAAGGCAGAGCAAGCCGAACGGCCAAGCGGAAATCTTGAAATGAAATGGGAGGAATTAGTGGAATCGATGGACCGATCCATAACTTTCTATGACGACAACTCAAAGCCGACCACCCCCGCTACCGAGACACCACTAACAGCTCCTGCAATCGTCTCCAACCATCGCAACTCTATTGGCTACTTTCCGTCGAGACCATCACTTCCACGCCGGTCAACCGACACTGCTGGAGACGGTGATGAAGACACACCACCGAGCTCTTCGTCCGCAACTTGGGAGCATTATCGTCTGCCGTTCGCAGTGGGTAGGTCTTCGGAACCTCGTGAGAGTGTTACCAGCTCTAGGAATTCATCACAGTATTCGTTGGAATACTCAGAAAACCCGAAGAGCCGAGGAAAGGAGTCGTCAAACAAGCTACGGATTCTCGACCTTGTCCCAGGGCCATCGAGACGTAAGAACAAGGATTTGTTAAACAATGCATAACTGAGTTCAAACACGTCCTTTCAATGTTAAACCCACCCGAGAACTAATCAGATGTCTCGTGGGTACTAAAACGAGTTCACAGGTGAGTTTGCTTTTTATGATTTTCTTTCACACGAATTCTAATCGAATATATTTTATAGTCTATGGGGTTTTATTTTGCGCACTTTTCTCTCCCCGTCTCGAGAGCACCATACATATACTTGCACGATTTTAATGCATATTCCTTTTCTTTTATGATATTTCCATATTTTCATCTCTCAAAGCATCTATGTTCATTTGGATACCCTTACCTATCTTGCCATTTCTTTTCCCCTTTGAATATCAAGGTGGACTTTTTTCTTTTTCTTCGTTTAAATGATTTCCTTCTCTCCATCATAGGCCATGTTGTTAGTAATAAAAACCCCTCTTTTTTTTTTTTTTTTTTTTTTTCAAAAGGAATTTTGGGTTGTAACAAATATTGGCTGTTTGGTGTTTTTATCAAGATTGGTTTCGCACTATGGCATCAAAAGACAGAAGAATCATCTCTTTTCACATGCTAAGTACATATGTTAGTCCAACGATTTACAACAATTGCGCCCACGCGGTATTTTGTTTTCAAACAATTAGACACTCAAGTACAGTAGACAGGTATGATGTTTAGGATACGAAGTGATAAATCGATAACTGACGATTACTTTTTCACATCCACAAGCAGACCTTCCCACTTGCGGTCCCTCCAGCAACCCAGTTCTTACTTCTGTGAAAGACCGCAACTGCAGGGACAGCAGTTATGTCATCGCCACCTAGCTGTGCCAATTGGTCGCCATTCGACGTATATATGTCGACGAAACGGTTCATGTTGGCAATGCAAAAGCGCTGTATTGGGGATTGCGGATTCTGTTGCCAATGTGGTCGGAGACTGTAGATGGGTATGTTAGTCGAATCAAAGGAAGAAAGGAAGAAGGGGGAGGGATAAGCATAACGTACATGGTGACCCAGCGTCCTGTCTGGCAATTATGCCTCACTACCGTATCAGGTTTCATTTCTGTGGTTTCATTGAGTTTATGACCCGGTTTCCAGGACGCAATGCCCCTTTTCCCAAAATCGTATAACTTGATGGAATCATCATAAGACGAGGTGGCAATTTGCCCGACGCTGTTGAAAGCTGCATGCGATACAGACAGTCGACTTTCATGCTCGCCTATCGACTCAGGGTTCGAATGAGACAGTTTCCTTATATCCCATAATCGCATTGTGCGATCTAGACTTGCGGTTGCAAAGAAATGCGGATGGGATGGAAATAAGGAAAAGCCACCGATCTTCTTTTCAGAAAGCTGCCATTCTTCCACTGACATGGGCTTATTAGGAGAACGAAGGTCGTACCGGTTAAAAAGTCCACTGAGTGTTGTCCAGTAAAGACAGTTAGGATCGTCAGATGCCATATCAATGCCCGATATGGGCTCATCAATAGATCTTGATTCTGGTGCATATTTCTCCTCGGACGTCATCTTCTCAAGATCCATTTCGCGAATCGAGCTATCGTAACTTGCCGTGTAGAGGTGAGTGAGCTTATGCGGCTGTATGACCATTGAACTAATTGTGCGAGTATGCGGTTTGAGGGTTGTAATTGCTGGGTCGGGCTCATCGTATTCGTCTTCCTCGTCTACAGCAATCTCTGGCCGTTTCTGTGATGCGTCGAGCACACCCAAATGTCCCATTTTATCTCCAGCAAATATCAGGGGTTTCGCTTCAGATGGGTGGAAAGCCATTGTATAGATCCGCTCTGGGGTGATTTTGATACCTACAAATATATATTGATCGTGTTAGCCATATTAGATGTTCTTCCCCTTTGACTCTGGCATGTAGCAACGTACGACCTGGTGTCCATTGATCCCATAACTCCAAGGAACTCATTTCTTCTCTAAGAACCTTAAGATCCTTATCCGTCGTCTTTCTAACATCATCATCGCTAAATGTACGCTCATAGGGTTTCGCAACACCCTTAGTGACCACATCAATGCCAATAAGCGCATCACCGGTCAGCTTCTGACCAGAAACCAGCATGTTGTCAAGCGTGAAGAAATCAGACTTGCGCAATCGTTTCTCCCGTTCAACTCTTTGCGACTCCTCAAATGCTTCATCCGCCTTTCGTTTTGCGACCTCGCTATCTGCCGTGAGACCCCGTAGGCGAGATGACATGCGGCGTACGATTGGTGCCTCATTTTCTTCCTTCTTCACGCGAGGTGCAGGTTTCTTTTTCGGTCTAGAGACGGTGCTACTGTCTCTGTTTCCGGGCTTGGGTGACGGTTTTGAGAAGAGGCCTGTCGACTGTGCTTCAAGTGTGAGTTTTTTGAGGAGAGCATCGCGCTCCGCGATATTGGCGAGCCGTTGTTTTTCGAATTGGGAAAGTTCCTCTGTCTGAGGGCGCGGCATGATGAATGTATGATTCTTGCGTCTACAGCAAGGATTCAGTGCAGGATGGACAATTGCAATCAAGGCCTTCCTGTTCCTTTTGCCGCAGACGCTGAGGTAAACGCGTAAAATCAAACGGCGAGAGGCGCGTACCCACGTGACCTATTAAATCTCATTTTCTTGCATCGTGACATCACAATTCGAATTATAAATGCATAGATACGCCCTGAACATGTCGGCTTTTGTTCAAATAAAGACTCTAGCTTGATCAGAATTACCATTGTTAGTACAACTGATCGATAGTATGGAGCGATTCTCCATATGTCAAAATGTGCCCTCGTGGTATTAATCTATCAAACATACATAAAGCTATAGGCCAATACAAAACCAAGACACCTTGTAGACTGAGGAGAGAAATACGACCGAAAGAATAAAGACAGAAATTTCTTAGATCTTGAGTCCCCAGCTTCTACCTAGACCGACAGCAGTTCCAGCCATAAACCCAAAGTACGATTTCACATCTCCAAGTTTTCCCCCAATTGTCGCGTTATCTCGAATGCGTCGCTCAACAAAATCCTCCGTATGCGTAAAATCAGGAGTCGAATCCTTGGTCATGATCATTTCGGCGCTGACATAAGTTGTCGATAGCGAGAGACGTCTGGTGTACCAGGAGCTGTCTACGGAGGCGTCGCCGGCCAGATATAGGATATCGGATGAAAGAGCGTGCAACTCGGAAAGCGAAATAGGGATATTCGACGGAAACGACATGAGAGCAAGTGCCTATGAATAAGATGCGCTATCAGTATGACGAACAATCATCGGACGACAGCCAAAGAATTGTATGAATGAACCTACATTCTGCCAATGATGAATGATCTCGCTATTCATTCTCAGTCGCTCAAGCACAAGGGTCTTGATTTTCTCGTCCACACTCTTTTGCTGTCCTTCAAATAAACCGTTCTGCACTTTCGCCCGCAGCAATCCACGCCTGCTTGCCAGCCAGTAGAGCACGAGATCCATTTCTTGCCTTGAGAACAGTTGTATCGAGACATCGAGAAATCCCACATCGCGAGCACCCAGTATCAATGCGTCCTTTGTAAAACCATGTTCGGAAATATGCTCCAGGGCGGCCGATAGAATCGCTGTTTGAGAATTGGTGTACTCGTGAGTCGGTAGCGGCGCGTGGAGGCTCGAATGGTAAGGTCGGGTTTGAGGGGGGAGTGATGCTGCTGGTGAGCGCAGCACCTGACAACGGGTTTGTCGAGATGTAGATGCATATTTTTGAGTGCTCATGAATCTGCGTGATGGCTGGAAAGCCACGGTTTTTGGCAGTGATTTCCATGAAGCCTGCGCAGCAATGATCGTGTTGGCACCTGGCCGGCAATTACACAAGGAAGCCATGTTGACGCACTACCTTCCCCGCAATACAGGACAAAGGATATTGTTCTCGCGTATGCCAAAGATAATTCAATTGCAATTCAAGCTGGTGAGATTGGCGGTTGTCCTGACGTTTGACGGGTGGAAAAGGTTAGAGCGCCATGATTGGCCGCGTTCCGTAGGTTGTCCGGTGGATCCTCAGGCTGCCAATATCAAAACAGCAAGATAAATCAAGAACTCTGCTCTTTTCTCTTAACTCCTAAGACAATTCTTCTCCAGCACGATGATTCTGTCCTTGCTATTCATGACTCTTAGGTAAATGAAGTTAGTTTTGACCTAGTAGATAGGACTACCTTCCAAAGATGATGTTCCTCGTAGACTAATCTATTACTATGCAGATGCCTAAGCTCTTTGACATCTTAGGTGCTGTCACAAGCTTGGTCATGTTGATGGCGTTATTGACGATGCAAAATCTTGCTAGAAGAGCAGTCCTGCTATATGCCAGTTTTTTGGAATTCTTTATCAGGAGAAGCATAATCCATCCAGAAAGGTCCCAAAGTCCATAAGTTTCGGTGCGCGAATGCTAATCCTACCTAATAACTAGTACGTAATCCTCTCGCAAGAGACGAAGTACTCCGTGGCCGTATGTTTTGACCTCCACTGCAAGTACAAAACGATAAAATCCCCGCAATTTCGCTATAAGCATACGTAAATTCCCTACATGAGCGGCGACAGACCTTCTCTGCATGACATGCGCATCTATCTCAGCACATACCGAGTCATGCAGACTTCTGATACGTTTCAACATATGCACACATGCACGGACGCATTAGTATATCATGCGCAGCAAAAAAGGATGATAGATGTGGCAATTATATGGGTCGAAGTGACTCAGGACTACACTCTGTAGGCAAGAAGGCGGTTTTTCTCCCATAGGTTGGGCAGCAATCAACAACACACTCCTTGCTACTGAGAGCTTTGTCAACCAGGGCATATCGATCGTATCACCGTCACCACATTGGTCTTGTACGTTGCTCGCAATAGAAACAGAAGTAGGCCAATAATCTGACGCCGGAAAACTAACTGCGTGCTGTCAGGATACACTTTGACAAGGGGCCAAATGGCAAGGATCTTTGGGGTTTCACCAACCACCGGCCATCTATTGCCATAGTTCGAACATGAGTGCAAGACCTATTTTAACGGCGAGAATGCGGAAAAGTGGATCAAATTCTGAACCGGGATTCCCGAAGAGGCCATGGAGAAATTCCTGGACGAGACTAGACAGGGGTTGGATTGCTATTTCATGCATGCGGCATAATTTGGAAGGATTTGCTTTCTCCCTAGCGCGGCTGCAGCGGGTTTCTGAGACAATGGGTCTGGGAGGCTCTCACTGGTTCTTCCATAGCTATATCGCGTTGGTCGAGTGACGACGGACCAGGGTGTATACACCGAGACGTCGTAGTGGCTCAAGGCCAAGATTGGGCCCGTAGACGTGAACACGTACTCAGAAGGCAACAAATAGAGAACCTGCTCGGTTCTATGTAGCGACACACTGTGGCTGGCTAACAGCCACATGAAAAGATAATGCTTGAAAATTAATGACAATTTGAAATGTGCTTTATGTTTCGATCCCTGATTTGGTCTAGTTGTCATTACTTTGGTCGTTTCTTTTTCCTGTTTGTGCTATTTGCTGTAACCGTTAGCTGGAATTGTGTGAGAGATAGTGGAGGGCTTATCTGTAATGATATGTTGCACTGACCATTTCACATTTAGACATCACATATTCGTAAGGTATCGAGCATGCTACAAAGAAACGTTTAACGGCATGACTTGAACTACCTCGAAAACAAATCGGTCACGACTTACCACGACATACTCCATAGGAAATCTAAATTCCTCTCAAGGCAAGCAAATGAACGTCGATCGGGAGGCTTCCTAGAGCACTTACAGGGCAACATCTTCGATCCAGTGGTCGTTGACTACGCAATCACACCCGGGCGGCGCATGTAGCAGACAGGAAATTGTAAGAAAATCGATTTCGTTGCCAGACCTTGCCTGAAACGTATGGTACCAAAGGCTTTGATTCGTCGACATAGCGTGTCGGAGTAAAGTAAGTATTTCAGCTAGGGATGCATGACCGACCAAAACCTTTCGTTGGGTTGTAATTAGGGTGTGCCAGAGTTGCCCCGATGACGGAGAGATACCAATTTAGTCGCTCGGCGAAGCAGGGTTTGCGGGTCACAGGCATTCTGAATCTTCCAAGGCTGAAGGGGACATCCACCAGGTAATCGATAGGCTAGCTGTAACCCTTCGAAGGTCAAAAAGCCGTAGAAGCATGTGTCATTGGACAGACGACTACATGCATGACCGGTCTATCTACCAGCACATCTGCCACAAAATAATACCAGGCCGCTTTGGTAGAGCTGGGCGCTGAAGATACTGATTGGATGCTTCCAAAAGTGCTGCGGTGAAGGACGGTAGTACGATTGAATGCAAGACTTTGTCTTCACGAAGGCCTCCACGCTCGGGTTCAGAGGCCCTAGAGGCTGGAAACATTCTGGAATTTTGACGTGAGTATGTAGCTAGCCCTCTAGTCCATGGGCGAAGTTCAGTCGCTCAAGCAATTCTGTTCGTTTCTCAAAACCGGTACACAACGAAGGCTAGGAGGGTATAATGAATGAAGCATTTGATATCGCAGATTCCGACGAGGTGCGCTGCTTCGCACGAGGAACTGAAGTTGAAGTTGAAGTTGCATGGAACGACATCGAAGTAACGCGAGGCCGTGAGGATGAAGCAGGTACCCCAATATATGTTGATACCAAACGGGCAAGAGGCCTTCCCCATCACGGAAAGGCCGCTGCGGAGGAAGTGCGGAAGAAGTTCCGGGTGGGGCATGCGTACGGAGCACAGTGCCGTATCCGAATGTATTTTACTAGCGGCTATGCATTAATTATGCTTGTGCTGTAAATTCATAAACCACTGGCTATTAGTATTTATCTGCGTGGGTCTCGAGGTCGCAGCAAACAAAGGGCATAATCAATAATGGCATTCAGGCTTAATGCATGAGTGTTAGCTTTACAGGAGAACTGACGGTCAAACAACACAGACCAAGACTCTACACGGAGCGGGAGAGACTGCGCTTTTTCAGCCAGCCATGGCGAGAAGAAGCATGCAACTGATAGTGCATGTTATCATTTCATGACAAATTAGTAACTAGGCTCGGGGCCAATCAGCTGCCGTGGAGACCTGGTACGGTATTGATACCGCTGGTGGGCAGCCTAAGCAGTAAGGACCCAAGGCCACAAGGAAGGAAGGCACGCCCCACCTGGCACCTGCCCGTAAAAGCTCGCTAGCGACAGGGCGTCGGCGAAACTCGTCGCCGAGGCCGCCGCTGCTGATCTCATTAATTCTCCTCAATTAACCAACCTTGGAAGTTAACCGGTTATTGTCGTTGCTGGACCGCCACAACGCCTGCTATTCGACTGACGACTGACTCTTGGCCGGAACGCGATCGAGCAGGGGAGGGAACACAACAGAAAAACAAAGAAAGCAAGGAACTTTCAGAAATTCAGGTCAGTGGGTGCATCATATGTTGTTTCGTCGCCCTTTTTGGCCCAGACAGACCTCTCGGATGTCGCTGCGAGGTGAAACAGACTTGCTACGCGTCAACCACACGCGCAGCTGTACAGCCTAGCTTAATGGCTTTGCTTTCTTTTTTTCCGCCTGATTCCACACAAGCCCCCTCTTGTCGCTCCCACAAGGAAACAGATCCTCGCCAATCGGCCGAAGCCTGCAGTGCAGGAGATTCTAGCCCATCTGGCAGCGGCAGCTAATTGCTCCCAAAGGCGTCTTGTCTCTCTCTGCTGTGATTGATTGCATACCCCCCTCGTTGCTTATTCTTCGTTTTATGTACACTGTACGCCTGGCCCATACTAAAGGAATCTGCCGTCCCGCCGCTGTACCTTGGTAGCGCGCGCGTTCCCACTGTCATACTTGTATCGGTTTACTGACACACAACTTCCAGCCCTGTTACAGGTCGAAGCTCGCTAGACCCCAATTCGCCTGAGATCCCTGTCCACAGGGACCGTTCCTTGACGTCTAGGACGTACAAGCGCTCTGCGGGCTGCTTGTGTCGCCCACTCAAGTGCCTTCCTCTATCATCTGCTCACTCCCAACGTGCAGCGCAGCCTCTACCATTTCCCACCTTTCCTTTTCTAACTCAGACCTGAACGGAGGGAGCGCCGCAAGCTCTTGTATCCATTTTCGGCACAAATAATAATCATGGGTGCGTTAATTTTTTTACTTCCACACTCGACTGTTTTTTCCCCTTGTCTTTCACACATTCCTTTTCTTCTTCATTCATTGCTCTTCAAGATATTGGAGTAGTTGTGCTTTCTTCACTTTGATTTTCTAGCATTGCTGTCCTGTCTTCCATACAGGTAAAATCCCTCAGACTGTTCGTTCATGGTCACCCAAGTCCGCCCTTCGCCCCCCCTTCTCTTCTCTCTCCCCTCCACCCCCCTCCCATATAGTGGGCTGGTCTAGCCCACCACCCACTCTCCCTGTCTCGGCTTCGGTACATGCAGTTGAGAAAACACCAAGGTGATCCTTCTACTACCTGCTGTCTGTGTCTGGGAAGTGACGCCCATCTGAATGACTCGTTTGATTTACTCCCTGACCTTTATTCAAATCATCATCTGCCTGCACTTGTCTGCATTCTATTAGGTCTCCGTTGGTCGTTTATACTCTTGTCAACGAATTACTGACGCTTTATTTTGAATATCACAGCTGACGTTTATCGGCCAAACCAAGTAAGTGGCTATTGCTTTCTTAATACAACTTTGGCGTTCTTTCCCCCTTCAGCCCAGAACCTCGGACGGATGGAAAGAAATGCTTGCTCGTCTCATCGGGAGGATTCATGAATCTTCTCTTCGCAACTTGCCACCTTAAGCCTGCAATCGGCCCGACTTGCAAGGCCTGATTTCACCACATGCGCCTCTTGCATCGCTGAAGGTTCTAGGTGCCCCAATATGTCATCACACGATAAACACGGACCATACTGTCAGCGAATGTAGCGCATAGTTATCCCTTGTCGCGCTGGAGAGACTGGCAATGGCGCCTTCCTTTGGCTGCCTTTCTATCAAATGCGCTCGTCGCCCTTTTTTGGATGTTGTTTAAATATTTATATTCTTGACAAAAATTACTAACCGTACGCAGCGCGAGAGGTCTCGTTCTCCACGTGGTGATCGTGGTCGCCGGTCGCGAAGCCCTCGTCGATCTCGTCGTTCATACTCTCGCAGTCGCTCTCGCAGTCGTGACGATTATCGCCGTAGCGAGCGTAGATCTAGATCGCCCATGAGTGGTGTAGGTGGACCTTCTGGAGGACACTCGGGCTCTGTTTACGGTGGGCGCGGTGCTCCGCCATCAGGTAGATCGTTTGAAGATCGTTCAGTGGCACGAGAGCAAATGATGCAGACCGTCCGAGACTCTTCTCAGCAAGACCGCCGTGTCTATGTCGGCAATCTATCTTACGATGTAAAATGGCATCATCTGAAAGATTTTATGAGACAGGGTGAGCACTTCCCCATCTTTTCCCTCGATACCATTGCTAACTGCACCCATTTGCAATGGTCTATAGCTGGAGAAGTCCTCTTTGCCGATGTTTTGCTACTTCCGAATGGAATGTCCAAGGTGGGCGCCAACGTGTAGATGTGGCTGGTTTTCTTTTTTGGTTACTTTGATGGACTGTTGGGTTGACGGGTTGGGACATGGCTGTCCGGAATTTGTAGGGCTGCGGGTAAGCCATCACCGAGACCCTCGAAAATCACCGTTTTTGGACTACGTAACTAAAATGCTTTGCGTTTAGCATTGTGGAATATGCAACGAGGGAGCAAGCTCAGCATGCAGTGAATACACTCAGCAATCAGAACCTCATGGGACGTCTAGTCTATGTTCGCGAGGTAATTGCTGCCAAAAATTGGTCACGTGGATGGAAGGAAGAGCTAAATTTTACACCACATTTGTAGGATCGCGAAGCTGAGCCTCGTTTTGCTGGACCACCTTCAAGAGATGCTGGTGCTGGCAGAGGTGGTCCGCCTGGCGCTGGGGGGCGACAAATTTACGTTTCAAATGTTCGTCTCCTTCCTTTCCCGTGACAACATTCCAGATTTACCGTTTCAGCATTGATTACAGTGCTTTGGCATGTGTTAACTAAATATAGCTTCCTTTCAACGTCGGCTGGCAAGATCTGAAGGATCTCTTCCGTCAAGCTGGTAAGTGTAGACTGTTTAACGTTCCTGGTATATGTCAAATCAGAATTGACCAGAAGAATCTTGTAGCCCAACAAGGTGGCGTCATTCGCGCAGACGTTTTGAGCGACCCAAGCGGCCGTCCAAAGGGTTCTGGTATCGTCGTCTTCGAGTCCGCTGATGATGCTAGAGTGGCTATCCAGCAGTTCAACGGCTATGATTGGCAAGGAAGAATCCTTGAAGTTCGCGAAGACCGCTACGCTGGTGGCGGCGCTCCTGGTGGCTTTGGGGGTGGTTTTGGTGGCCGTGGCGGCTTCGGTGGTGGGTTTGGCGGCCGCGGTGGCTTCGGTGGTCGCGGTGGCTTTGGTGGCCGTGGTGGCTTTGGAGGGGGTTACGGACGTGGTGGTTTTGGTGGCTACGATGCTGGTGCTGGTGCTGCTGTTGCCCCTCCGCCTGGACCACCAAACCCTTTCACTGACTACGCTACCTCGGGAGGTGACAAGAGCGCGACCATCTATGTCCGCAATGTGAGTATCATGGCTGAACCCAATGCATGGAGGTGGGCTGCTAACAAAGTTATAACAGCTTCCCTGGTCGACTTGCAATGAAGATTTAGTAGATCTTTTCACCACTATTGGCAAGGTTGAACGGGCAGAGATCCAGTACGAGAGTAATGGTCGTTCTCGCGGGACTGGTGTTGTTGAATTTGATAATGCCGAAACTGCAGAAACCGCAATTTGTAGGTGTAGCCCCTCCGCGGCTCGGCTCTCTTTTAACAGACTTGCTAATTTGTCTAGCCAAATTCACCGGTTACCAATATGGTGGTCGTCCTTTGGGAATCACATTTGTCAGATATATCCATCCATCGGGCCCTGCAGATGCTGGAGATGTTGCGGATGAATCCGCTGCCATGACACAGGATCAGATGATGTAATCTTAAAACATGGCAGGTTATGTTGGCTCGATTCTGTTACTCTCTTCATACTTTCCACTCTTTTTCAGGGGTGCGCGTGAGCTAATCGTATTTTTCCATGCTACCTCCTCTGGCTAGGGCAAAAAAAGAAAGAATTGACGTTCTGGCCACGCCCAACACCTATTTCGGCCGTACCTTTGTTGCTATTTTCCTAGCTCTCTTCTTTCCTTTTTTCTTCTTTTTCTTAAAGCTTTGGATTTGCTCTCCGTCAAAAAAGGTTTCCAAGGTCGCAATGTAAAAGGTCACGGTGTATTTGTGTACGATTACCCCAGAGTATGCCTGAATTTGGCTTATTTGTTCTTTGTGATTGAGATCTTGTATTGTTGTTAGGGGGCCACAAAAAGAAAGTTTGAAAGAAAAGAAATTTTATATATATATATATATACATATACACCTATCTATCTTATCATCTCTACCTAAATACCTATTCTTTTCATTCTTACGTTAAGGTATTCGTAGCTCTGAATCCGAGCCTGGAGTCGATTCTTGAGGTCGTCAACATAGCAGTGAATCAATTCATGTCGTGAAGCCAGAGGGCTATATACAAAAATCATCATCATGAAGGAAAAGAAGGATAGCTAGGTACTAAGCAGTGAAGAAACAGAAGAGATTGCTATATATGAGAAAAGAGGGATAAGTCCAAGCAAGCCCATTCAATAGGCGGACATGTAGTAGAAATAATTGGAATCCGGATATGTTACACATTGTTCCAATCAGGGAAAGGGAGTTGTGGAGATAGGAAGGTGAACTTGACAAGTGTGTCGAATGGCTGTCCGGCAAGTGTAGCAATTGCGTGAAGCTCGGCAGCGCACACTACAAGAAGCATTTGAAATCCGAACAAATTATAGACGAAGGCACGTATGCGTATACGTACACGGATGATATATATAAAATTCAACGGCCAGCCCGCAAAAGATGCTCATTCCTTAGCTTGCCGCAGGGCGAGGGTAGTCTCCGGGCATCTTGAGCAAGCCAAGTGTCGACTCGCTTTCTTTGGGTTTTGGGGTAGGACGTGTCGCCGTGGTCGCAGCAGTGTTCTCGGATAGTGGAGAAGTTGCCTCCGAGGTTGGGATCGAAGCAGTCATTGAATGTGTAGAATAAGTTTCTCGTGATCGTTGAGACTCCTGTCTCCTGGTTGATGATATATCTTCATCGAGTATGTGTCCGCCAGCGGCATATATTGAAGTTTGTGCAGGATCTAGGGTATCAACATCGGCATAGTGCTCGTTTTTTGCTTCGCTATTTGTGGCAATAGGGGGCTGAGAAGATGCCGCAGGTTGTTGCCGATAGAGTTGCTCCTGCTGGGAAAGATGGTCGGGCTCTTGATCTGTTCCACTCCAGGTTCCGTAAAATTCGTTATACTCTCCATCGGCCGGTCGGTATGCCAACTGGCCATGGGAGGGGACTGTAGCATCGCCCATATCCTGATTATGTTCATCGGATGTGTGTGGTACGTCAGACCCAGGGAGGGCAGCGGTATTGACTATAACTTCTCGAGCACCGGAGCTCTCTCCACTAGAAAGCGACATGGTAGCTTGTAAGTGTCGGTCGATTTGTACATCACTTGGGAAACGCCCACCTGGTCGCGGGCGCTGTGCCGGCTCTCCTTTAACTGAAGAAGCCCTTTGAAGGACAGCCGACTGGCTAGAATAAGGAGTTTGATCGGCTTCGTCTTCGTCCATAACCCCATCACTGCTTATCGAACTTGCTCGAAAACTATTTCCGCTCAGACTTCGAATGTGACGCCTTACAAATGCATTCCGATCTTCGCCGGTCTTCTCGATAAGGTTCTCAATATCATTAAACCATGCCATCATTGTGTCATAAGACTCTGCTCGAAATACCCAAGCATGGCCACGGTGCATCGCACCGGTTTGCCTTCCTTTAAGCATGAACTTATGGGATGAAGAACCAGGCTGCGAGTGTGAACCTAGTTTCTGTTCCGGAAGGTAAAGCGACATGATTGGTGTCTGGGAAGCTATCCGGTCTGCAGACTTGAATTCGTGTAGATGGGTTGGCGATAACACGTACCTGTTTATAAAGCCGCAAACTGAGGTTAGCCAAAAACAATCGCGGAGATGTAGGTTGGAAGAAGGTAGGACGGACCATCCAGGAGTATAACTTTTAAGATACTTGCTCTTGCGTTCGAGCATACCGGATCGAACCTCAGCTGCTGCCGGGTGATCCTTTCCGGGATAGGTGATGTTCTCAACGTTGCGGACGGGTATTCTAGGATCAACGAGCTGCTCGCTGTTTGTGATGAAGTTGTTCCATTCATGGTCTTTGGGCATAGAGATGGGGCCAGCTCGAAGTTTTTCGACAGCATCCAGGGCCACGTCCGATTCGCGCTTCAGGATACTAGCATAGGCATTATAAGCCTTCTGTATCTCGCCAACAACTATCGATTCCAGTTCACGACCGGAATTTTCCAGATTCAAGTATGCCTAAATCTTTTTAGCCAACATTTCCAATCAATACATGACAACCGGAACATACTCTGTGAAGATAGTTTTCTTCCTCGATTTGTTTGTCGACTAGCTTATCAACCTGTAACCTGAGGATAAATGGGTCATGTCTGCCAGATGATGCAGAAGGATCAACATCAACGAGGCCTAAACTTTCCTGCAGATTGCGGACTGCCTTTCGCGTACCGTCCACTTCCTTGTCCACAGTGTTTTTGAAATCTCCGGACAAGCTTTTGATTTCCTTGGTCTTTTGTTGAAGGTCACTCCTGAGACCAGTCAATTGAAGGATGACCTCGTTTTCAACTTCTTTAGCTTTATTGGCTTCTGCAAGGCCTTGTTTGTGATAATCACGCAAAATTTCTGCGGCATCTCCCAATCCACCAGACTCGAGAAAAGTAGGCGACAGAGATGTGTTGTTTATAATATTACCAGCTGAGAGTAGTAACTTTGCTCTTGTCTCATACGACTTTTGTATCTCCTTGAAGAAGACAATGAGGTCCTTGAGTAACTTGCGCCAAGCTAAAACACAAGTCAGCGACTGTCTTAACATTGAAGAAAGCGGGAGGGCAAGCGAGGAAGTAAGTACCTTGAAAGCGATTTGCAAGTTCTTCTGTCGGACTGCCACTTGTTGGTATGGGGACGTAGAAAGCGCTGTTACCGTCTTCGGGGACATATTTTTCCTTTTCTCCCAGATTGAGGCTCCTTACACTGCCGGCGCGAAGGCTGCGCCTGCTGCCACTTCGTCCCAGGCTAGCCTTCCTGCCCAAGGATGGTTTCTTCTTCAGTGTGCCACCCCTTGACGGCGTCGCGCTGTTATGAGACATTTGCGATTCGCTTCTTTGCAAGCCAGCGCCTCCAGACGCACCGTCGGTTGTAAGAAAACTCCCTCGTTGGGACATGTCGATTTCCTCGTTGAAGCGCGATGGATAAGCTGATTGTGAGTGATTCATGGGATTTGTGGGTTGCACAACCGCGAAGTCAGAGGGCACAATCGAATTGGCAAGGTAAGAATTTGGTCGAGACTCTCCGGAAAACCCATAGCCGCGGTCTAGATGTGCTGGGTTACTGGGGAATGGCACGGGGCCGTAACCCTCATGGGACGGTGACTGTGGCATGGCCATGGTGAGAGAAGAAAATGACAGAAACAATCGAGCGCTGATTGTAGGGATCAACAGGAGAACAGAACAATGGCCTGCTGCGTGAGCAAGATGTGGTGATTGTGGGGTGTGTCAATCAGGCTGACTGCATGGATCGGCCCGCCGTGAGAACTCGCATCAGTTACACGTTCGTTGCTCTTGGGATAGGCATAGAAAGAATATGAAGGAGCCAGAAGGGGGACGCAAGGGTGAAGGCTTGGACAGGAGGAGAGTATGGAGTAATGCTCCGATAGTTAAGGAAGGAAGAAATCATCAGTTGCACGGGTGACGGATGCGGATGACGTCTACGCTCGTCGCTCGTCGCCCGTCGCCCAAGCAGGAGCGACCGCTAGCCCTCTCGATCGCGCCTTCCTTCCCCACCCTCGCTGGATGCTCCTTCTTCGTTTTCTTTCGTTCTCCTAAGGACCCCTCCTTCTCCTTCTTGTTCTTCCTTTCGTTCCTTGATGGCTACGCTTATCGACGGTCGGCGCCTCGGTGGTCCGTTGCTCCTTTTGACTTCGATCACGGTGTGATACCAACGCATATCGACAACACTCGGGGGGCGTTCGCAGCTTGGTTGTGGCGCAGCACGAAGCCAAGATTTGCTGTCGATCGTGGGCGTCTTAGAACGTAACATGCTTAGTATACACTCGCTTGCTTCCACGGATTCGCTGGGTCCGATGATCGCGACGACCTCATTTGCTACCAAGTCCTACCACTGACTGTACAAGAGACGGATATTTCATTTCGTATCTCTCCAGCTGTAAACCCGGCGAATTCGAGAGTGTGTACCTCTTTAGCTCAACACAGCCACATCTGGGAAGCCAGCCCCTTAAAAACAACCCCACCTCCCTAACATACGAAACGTAGGAATATCCTCATCACCCATGGAAAGGCCTAGGAGCGTGTTGTCCCCATAACCAGGATTTTTGTTGCGGCGCCAGACGGTCGATGTCATAAAGACCATTTTGTGTCCCAGACGTCATCCACTGCCGGAACGTGCGGATGCTATCTCTGTCCCTTGCCTGTGATTGGCTGCTCCCTGCATTCCCATCTTTCGATCTGTGTCCAGTTATGCCTGTCTTCATAAAATGACATAAATGAATGAATGCATGTGATATAACTTTTAGGAGTAAAATTTATAATAACTACAGCGCTAGAGGATGACTTCAATCCACTGTTAACTATTTAAAGGAATTAAAAGACCGCAATTCTGATTGCCTAGGTTGCTGAGACTCCTTGCCTCAAAACTATTGCTCAAACAACGAGTCGTAAGGGCAAATTACTTGTTCTTGTTTATTTTTTCGGTTTTGAGAAGAAAGAGAAAGAAAGGAGGAGGAAAAGATGGTGAGAAAGAGAGCTGGTCGTGCGCGCGCTAATAGCAGTAAAGTACTTGCACTTCGGCGGTGATTTGTGATCCATGAAAGATAATGCTTAACGAAGCTCCTAGTGAGCGCGATATCACTCAATGAGGCAGGAATAATAATAATCTACATGAAGAGTCATTGCTCCATTCACGACGCCGGCGGTGGTGTTGCTGGAACGTCAATGCCATATGCTTCCTTGATCCGCTCGCGTCGACGCTCGGCATAGCCAGGGCCATAGATACCTATGTAAGTGTGAATTAGAATTCTAGCAGTATAATGGAATGCCGTGTCTCTCTGGGAATACAAAGCGATACATACCTCGTCCCTCGCCCAGTTGTGCGATCGTCTCCTCGGCCGGAGTACGGTAATTCTTTCGTAACTTTTCTAGTTGTTCATATTTGTCCAGGTTCTGATCCTTGTTCTTTCCCCACAATGTGCCTCCGGTATATTCAAATGCAGCCAAAGTCACGGCCAGAGCAGTTCCGTATCCAAACACAGAAGGAAATGTTCGTGCTGTTGGGACCATCAGCGAACCCGCCATCGGACTATCATTCGAAAGTAAAGGATATGATAACTAACCTCGCAATCCGAGGATTGAACCAGCAAAGAATCCACCCAATGCTGTGTTCCATGTGTCATCCTGCTCTCGAAGGTTTGCCGACGCCGTTCGCACGAAGGAATATGTACCGCCCATTGCCGCTAAAAGAACAAAGTCAGCGTGATGTTGAGATAGGACCCCCTCCCCAAAAGGACAGTCATGTCATCTAGGTATCATACCAAAGGCAGCAATTGTCCCTCCGCTCCGAGTGAGGATACCTAAGGGTCCGACATTCTGCTTTGCAAGAGTGTTTTGAACGGCCGAGGCAAACAGGCCAAATCCTCCTGTAAGAGCAGTGCTCTTGAATGCGGCATCGATTGCATCTTGGGGATGATATGTCTTCTCTTCCGCTTGTTGCGAAGCCATTGTGGTCAACAGCACACCGGTTATGCGCTGATTTGGGTGATGGGACGTCGGCGCATCAATGATGGACGTTAACTTTGGCTGTTCGGATTCTGCCACCGCCTTTCAAAATGGGACTAGTCTCACAGTATCAGCCTGGGGGTTCTGAATGATGTCTCTCTCAACTCGCAAGAAACAAATTTGAGTTATTTTGTTTTTGTTTTTTCCAAATGAAGAAAATTTCAGCCTTGAAGCTTCCTTAGCCAATTTATGTAGCAAACACCAAGTTTCCCCTACTTTGTGGGTTAATGTGAGTTACACATAGCGACGCGGATGTCAGGTCTTGGCACTGATGGATAGCTCCGACAGGCAGCATCATCGTGCAGCCTCAAACTGTCTACAGCTCCGTCTCCCTTTTCGTCTTCTTTTCTTTTCTATATCTCTTTTTGCGTTTTGCGCGTGAAATGTGCCCCGGTATTGCTGTGGTCTATCAATGAACAATCCGACCTTGGTTGGTAGTGCTTCTCACTCGTGGGAGAGACAAAGCCAGCATACACCTAGGTGTGTTTGCCCCTCAACTGACCTCGACTTCTGTGATCTCGCTTACTCGCGTCGTGTAACAAATCATGCGGTAACTGACGTTATTCAAATAGCATGAGCTTCCGTTCTTAAACCAAAAAAAAAAAGTGAGTCGCCCTCTCCTTCGAGGCGATTCACGCCCATTTGTCCACGAACACCGGCAATTTCGCTAGACGCTACGATCCGTGAGCTTACCCCGGAATCGTTGACGACCTTCGACTTTGCGCTACACTGAGGAACTCCCGATTCGATTCTATTTCGAAATGACGTTCTCATCTACAAGAGCAGGTTAGTGCGTGGTAACATCATCTAGGTAACCCCGATCTAACCAGGCGCCTTGAAAAGGCAAGACTGCTCCGCGATTTCTCCAGGATCTAGATCTGTATGATCCGATCCATCCTCCATCCTCGGGTCGCAACTTACTCGTCGACATCCCCCCTGTATTTCCAGACGAATATGATGGCACACCGGAATGGCTGTCACCCTTGGCCTGCAAACATACCTACACGACGAAGCCGAACCAGACATTTGTTATACCACCGGAACAAAGGCGAGGCCGGGGAGCCTTCTCTAAAGTTTCCGCGGTATGTTCAAAATGCAGATTGCATACACAGGTAGCGGTCAACTATCCAGGTCATGCGACGCCGATGCCCAGCCATCTACACCATCTTGTCTATCAATCTGCTAGCCCCGCGAATGGCTCAGCTACGTCGAAGGGACAGCGCATTGAAACCTTATACTATCGCTGCTCTTACCTGACATGTGGCATTACTGTCTCGGTCCAGATTCTGTCTCCCCTTCTACGCCACGATTATTTACAGTTGTTGACGGATGTGGAATTGATCAATAAACGGGCAGATGAAGCTATAGCGGCTCACCCCGAGCGCTTAGAAGGAATTGCCCGACCTCAGCCTATAACTATCCTTGACAACCTACGTACCTATCTTCGCAATTCGCTCTATGACTCGCAGCGCAGCAAACCTATCTCTGCTATCAATAAACGATTCTTGGTTTGCTTCGGTGTTGGCGGAAGTCCGTGCAAGGGTTTGCTGGAGTTTTTAGGGTTCTCGTCTCAAAATGAGGGCTTTTGGGATCCCCCGTTCCCGAATGCATCCGAAGAGATACCCTTTCAGAGTGAATTTAATATCTTCATTGACGACGCCATACATGAACTATCCATATTGATCGAACAGCGGCCCATATCGGAGAAGAAGACGCCTTATACATTGAATTCGTCACTGCCAGCTAGCAGCGACTTTTTGCATGCTCTTGAAGCCTTTGATTATCCAAAATCATCGAGGCTCATTGAATTTGAGATGCCAGGACAGCCCTGCTATGAGGATCTTGGCGTTGTCGAAGACATGTCATCTGATCTGATAATTGAGGCATACCACCGACAGGTTTCAGTTGACCCGACAAGAGGGCCGCACTATCTCCAGTGTCTGAATTTTATTGCTAATTGGCGAGGGGGTCCTGATCGTGATACAATTAACGAAGCTATAATGACCGCGTATAGCAAAGGCGCCTACACAACGCAGGATGTTTATAAAGCTTACGAGTACTTCGGGTTGGACGCAAATGACAAAATTCTTACAGAAGAGGTCATCATTGGCAGATTCCACGCATATCTCAGTTCCACCACACGGGAAACCGAAGCTCGACAACAACTGTGGCGAATAGGCGATGTTAGAAAGAGCGAGCAAATCAAGTCCGCCGCTGAAGACAGAGTTTCTAATGCCGAGCAGGCTCTTGTATATCTTGGGGTTGAAGAAAACACGCCTGATGATTTTGTCATCACAATGTTCACGACGAAGGTGAACGACAGCCCTAGTAGCAAGGATATTGCGCAGAAAGCTCTTTCGCTTATAGCGGAAAAACGCAATTCAGAGACTCTGAGGCATTTCCTTATGACGGGCGAAACTGGAGCGGGCGAAATGGACGTTGGGGATGCCTATCGACTGCTTCAAATACCCGATCGCACAGTTGGTGATGATGCTATTCTCGCAGCATATACTATCTGTGTGGACGAAGCTCCGGGCCAGATAGAAACCTATACACGTGCCTTGGGTATCATTGCCAAAGAGAAGGATAGCCCAATGTTAAGCAGCTTTGTCTCGGGATCAGTAACACAAAGCGATCGAAATCTATCTGACTGGCCCGTTGGCCTTCAGAACATTGGCAACACGTGCTACCTTAATAGTCTACTCCAGTTCTACTTTACAGTCCGCCCCTACCGAGAAATGGTTTTGGATTTCGAGAACAACAAAACTGATTTGGATGAGAGCTCTCTAGGCCAGAAGAAGGTCGGATCCCGCAAAGTATCAAAACTTGAGGTTGAGCGGTCTCAGAAATGTGAGTCTCGTAACCCTATATCATTGACTGGCTGCTGACCACTAACACAGTTCTCCGCGAACTGCGTGGCTTGTTCCACGATATGATCACGACTCCCAGGGCGTCTGTTCGACCTGAGCAGGAATTGGCCAGATTAACCTTAATTAGCTCTACAAATGAGGCGGAAATTCGCCGGAGATCCACTGTCTCGGGGATTAGGCCTTTCGGTCTCGGTGAGATCAATGGCTTGCCAGTGGCAGGGCCGTTAGGACCGCCTCAGACGGTGGAATTTGACAAGCATGACGATACTACCGGTGAAAAAGCCACGCCGCCGGAAGAGACTTTCTCAAAGGATGCCCTAGCTGGCGACATCGATAGCGAAACTACTCTCGTCTCTGAAACGTCACAATCATCCATCCATCAATCTTCGATTGAACATAAGGAGAACAAAGAGATGGTGCCGGCGCCTGACACCTTGAAAGACGTGGGCAATGTTAGTGGTGCTACCTTCGAAAAGGAGGCAGTGCAAACTGTCGACCCGCCAAAACGACCACCCCCAGAGCCACCGCGTCCTGTGGAAACAGAACGCAAGAAACAATTAATTGACGAGGTTGAATTAGGAGCTCAGCAAGATGTCACCGAAGTGATCAACAATGTCTTGTTTCAGAGCGAGTGTGCCATTAAGCCAAGAGGCATTGCTCCGGATGGGGAGCAGCTAGACCAAATCAAAGAGTAAGATACCAGAAATTACATGACGATAACTGATTGTGCATGGCTGAACATTGTACTTTACCTTAATAGTTTGTTCTACGGCAAGACAAAGTCGTACATCTCGGCAGAAACTGGGACCCGTTCAAAAGAGGAGATCTGGTCCGACATCAAGGTAGATGTTGCAACGGGCTCACGGGATATCTATTCCGCTATTGATGGTGCCTTTGACATGCAAGAAGTCTTCGTGGATGATGCTGTCGCAGAGCAGTTTGGTTCCATTAGCAAGTTACCCCCAATCTTGCAAATCCAGGTGCAGAGGGTTCAATTTGATTCAGTCAAGAAGACGTCATTTAAGTCCACGCATCATTTGGAACTGAAAGAGACGATATTCATGGACCGTTACATGGATACGCAGAAAGAAGACATTGTCAAACGACGCAGGGATTGCTGGGGTTGGAAGCGAAAACTAAATGCATTGCAGAGCCGGAAGACTGAGTTGCTGCGATTGAATGTTAGTAGCGGGCCACACATATACATACACAGCGAAGCACACTAATCCATTGTCCAGGAAAACGACGGGCAAAACATATCTGCATTATTCAAAAATGCCTCAAACCTTCTAACAGAGCTTTCATCCCAAAATCCTACTGACGAGGGAGCTGGCGACTCGCTCGATATCAACCCTGAACTTATCGCTAAGATGGAGAATCTGTCCCGGATTGCAGAAACTGAGCTATCCCGTGAGTTTCTCAGCGCGTATAGTGATGTATATACTTATTGCATGTATCTTAACTATAACCAAACAGATATCGAACAAGAATCCAGGCATACCGAGTCCATGATTGCTAGCCAATTCAATGAGTACACGAGACTGTCATATCGTCTATACGCAGTTTTCATGCACCAAGGGTCGGTGGAATTCGGCCATTATTACATTTATATCTACGACTTTGCGAAGGAGGTTTGGCGTAAATACAACGACAATGATATCACTGAAGTTCAAGATACGTCGGAAATATTTGGAAAGCCTAGTCGCGTAAATCCGCCGACGCCATATTTCTTGGTCTATGTGAACGCCGCGATGAAAGATCGTCTGGTGGAGCCTGTGTGCCGCGAGATCGTTTCAGAAACTACACCTCCTCCTCCTCCTACTACTAATTCCACAGTGGAAAGTGCCACGGCTACTACTGTTGGTCACAGTTCCGATGGGCCTATGGATGTGGACACAAAACCACCGGCATACAGCGATGTGTGGTCCAAACGCGGGCCGGAAGGTGCGCAAATGATTCTCTCTCCGGGCTCTTCTTCTTTGTTTGCAAAGGCCAGCAACAGTGTTGTGGATGAGAACAAGTGGCCTGTCGTTCACGCTGATGAGGTGTTTTTTGATTGATAAAATGCGTAGCTACACCAAAGTCGGATTCTCCTACGTCTCCGCTCTCGCCGACTGCCATTCCGCTGAAACGAAAGGGATCTGAGAACCACATGGGCATCTCTACGAGTGCTCATATCGGAGCATCTTAGGCTTGCTCAGATAGACATTATTATTTCTTCTTCATCCTCCGTTTTGCGCGGCCTCCCTCATCGTCATCATAGACGGATGCGATTATAATATTATCTCAGGTCTTTGAATGATGTCAATATCTTTCCCCCCTTGTTCTCTCTAGTTTCGGAAATGCATTTGTTACGTGTCAAGCCATATACTAGAATCAAATCGATCGGGGAAGCAGATTACACATGTACCTCAGGTCAATTGATGGATAGTGGCGTTCTCGTTGCTGTTTCTTGATCCTCATATATTTCTTTCTGCATGGATATATATGTTTATTTCGTCTTGTCCAAGACATGTACATACTCCTTCGTTTCATGTTTACGCGTCACGATGCATGCATACTTCCATTTATCTCAGGTAAAATATTCTCCTCAGCTACGTATGCAATACCTGTATTTTAATTTGTGGCCGTGTTATCGCGTATCCACCTGGTTGCCAGCTGAAAGTGCCGGATGAGATAGGTATAAAAAGCCCGATCATCCGCAAAGATCGCATTGAAAACTGTCAATTAACACAGAAAACAAAATGTCCAAGCCAAGCCTGATCTTCTGCCCTGGCGCCTGGTACCCAACCTCAGCCTTCAACCCGCTGATTGAGAGACTGCCAGGATACACTTCGCACACGGTAGCATTCCCCTCCATCCACGAGGCAACGACGGTCAGGGATCTCCAGCCCGACATCGAAGCCGTGCGTAGCCTCGTCCAGCGCGAATCCGACCAGGGCCGTGAAGTGGTCATTATCTCGCACAGCTGGTCCGGACTGCCCGTCAGCAGTGCGCTTGACGGACTAAGCCGGGCGCAACGTGAGAAAGCAGGGCAAAAGGGCGGCGTCGTCAAGCTGATCTTCCTCTCTGCGTTTATCCCGGACGTTGGCCAGAGTTTGCTGCAGGCGTTTGGGGGCACGGCGCCTGACTGGTATATCCGCGATGTATGTGATCTTACTTGTCAAGCCGGGGCAATTTTTGCTCATCATAAGAGAATAGGAACCTAATGGCACCGTATCGGCCCATGATCCATACACGCTCTTCTTCCATGATGCCCCCGACGGAAAAGCATGGGCGCAGACGCTGCGTCCGCATGCATGGGCGACCAAGGTTTCGCCTGCGACTAGTGCGTCGTACCTGCAGAATCCCTGCGCTTACTTGTACTGCGAAGGCGATCGAGCAATCCCACTGTTTGTGCAGGAGTTGATGGTGGACAAAGCACGGTCCCAGGGTGCGACCATCGAGACGGAAAAAGTGAAAACAGGGCATACGCCTTGGTTGGCGAAGCCGGATGAGGTGGCTGCTTTTATAAGGAAACATATTTGAATAGATAAATACAGTATATACTTATATTCTAATCCTGGAATACCCATATATATATGTATCTTGTTACGGCTTTTGCCATTCGGTTTTTAGTATCTCATATATAATCCCCTCAGGAACTAGGCTGGAGCTCCCTTGAATCGTTCCAGCGATGATGCATAGTCCCGTAGCGGCAGCTCCGGCCATCCACTTGACGGCATTTGAGAGGCATACCTTGTCAGCTCAGGCATAATCGCCGCGTGCTTCGCTTCGGAGCCAGGGGGCAGATGATCTGCTCGGTCTCCTCTGCAGTGGTCGGCAGTCACGCTATCGGCACTTCCCAGATACGTTTCCTCGTTGTTCAACGCATCAAAGATGATCTGGTGACTCGCTGGCTCCCAGAGTAATGAGTCGTGGCTCACTATATGCGGCAATCCTCCTTGTCTGAGCACCTTGGCAGCACAAAGCTTGAATAGGTCGATATTCCGAGCCTGTGGTCCCTCCAATCGCCAGCTATCTGTAAAGCCAGGCCAAGCTTCACCGTAGAACCCTGGCTGGACTATAAGATCAGTGCTCGATCCAATGCTCGTCGTGGGGACCAGCGCCCTGTTCCCACCAAAACGAGCCAGAGCTGTGACGAAATTGGCCCAGGGCACCTGTTGCACCACCGCCTCGGTGAACATGTTGAAGTAAAGAAGCGGGATCATGGACCATGAACCGTGGAAGTCCGGACCGAGGGCGATATGCCTCCTGACCTTGGAACGGGTCTCCGGGTAGAAAGTCAATGTCCATTGCGTGGCCAGTGCTCCAGCCGACCATGAGACTACCGAGATCTGGCTTTCATTTGCGAGCTTTTTGATCGCGTAACTGATGTATTCAGCGCTAGTTTGGGCATCAAGAAGAAGCCTTTGTGGTACAGCCACGTAGCAAGGCCTAAAGCCGTCGTGGATGAGCGGGGGCACCAATGTGTATTCCCAGTTGATCTGAGGACTGCCATGATATAGGAATGTTAAGTCAACGTAAGTAACCTTGGTGGTGTAACAGAGGATGGAATCTCACGTCATTCCAGTGCCATGAACTAATAGCACTGTCTCCTTTGCTTGTGGCGTCGACGGCACAGGGCAGAAAACAGCTTGACTCAACTCTTTCTCGTCCTCTAGGAACGCCGGGTCCGGTCCCGTCACTGTGACATTGTTGTTGAGCCCTTCGTAGTCAGACTTTTTCTCTGTAAGTGCCCACAGGATAGCAGCAAAGGCAATGAGTACTGTAGACAAAAGCCGCCAGGATGCCATCGTTTGCATGGGCTGTGAAGTGGTGGGAAGTTCAGCTTTGCCCGGCGAATTTTCTTCGCTTTTTAGCTCGGAGCTAATCAGCCAAGTACGTTCACATATCGTCCATGTGCATTCTCGAATATTGTTTATTCACTGGCTAACAAACGCCTAACTATGTACAAGTGATGGTCCTTCGAATACTACGTCCTTTATCGCACGTAGCAGAAACACGAAAGGAGAAGAACAAGCTGGTATGCTGGCAATAATATGATCTCATGGAGAGTACCTAGATAAGAAAGAACTATCATCATTGAGGGCGATTTATATAACTTTGGTATAAGAAGGAATGATGTCCACGCCTCGGCTCTTTCAGTGCATTTATTCTTTTTGAGATATACAGTTTCCCCCTTCCAAAAAGAAAATATAGAGACCAATCCGGGGAGGTTAAAAAGTTTTTTGAATGAAAAAGGGAAAAAAAAAAAAAGTAATAATAATAAACAAACAAATAAAAAAAGAGCCACCTCTGTTAATGTGCAAAGTCACTACCTCGCTGGAGTGATGCCTCGAGGTCGTTCTGACCTGCACCGGGAAGAGGTGCTTCTTGTGGCCGGGGCTCATCTTGTTTCCATGTGCCTTGGCTGTGCTCTGGAATAGGGACATTCTGTGCAACTTGCTGTTGCTGTTGGTTTTGATAGGCGGCTTGCTGTTGTTGGCGAACAAGGGCGCGGAAGTTGACAACCTCGTCGAGGATCATCTTGCGCATCTCGCCGACATCGTCGACAACTTCAAAGTGGAAGTCGAAAGTGGTTGGGCACGAAGGCTCATCGGACGCGTCGTGCCAGATGTTGAGGTAGCGATGCTCTAGGGCGTCCTCGACGGTTACACGTTGAGAAGGGTCGAATGCAAGCATGCGGTCAAGGAGGTCGAGGGCGTCCGGGTTGGCGTTGGGGAAGAGGCGCTGGAATGGAACCTTTGGCATAAATGGTAGGTTCCGAACGTATTCCTGGGCACGAGGCGATCCAATTCGAGACAGGGTATCTTCAGCAGGGGTACCGAGGTAATGAAGGATTTGGTTGAGTTGGTCGACATAGTCGCGGCCCTTGAAGAATGGACGACCACCCAACAGCTCGGCGAGAATACAGCCCACAGACCAGACATCGACTGTATATATGTCAGAATCGAAAGAAGAAGAAGAAGGCAAAAAAAAAAGCAGGGGAAATACGTACTGGCTTTTGTGTAGCTCTGGAAGCTCAGCATAATCTCGGGAGCACGATACCACCGTGTAGCGACGTATTCGGTCATATAGCCGGCATTCTCCTCGGGATCAATCGAGAAACCTCGAGCCAGACCAAAGTCACAGATTTTAAGTTCGCAGTCCGCGTTCACGAGCAGATTCCCAGGTTTCAGGTCTCGATGTAAAACGTTGGCCGAGTGAATGTACTTTAAACCACATAGGATTTGGTAGATGAAAGACTGGAAATGGGCGTCCGTCAAGGGCTGGCCGGAGCGGATAATAGCAGCCAAATCACACTCCATCAACTCTGATTGAAGAGAAAGAAGAAGAAAAAAAAAGTTGCAAATCAGCCATGCGAACGGCGACCTCAGTCAGCTATAGGGATTCACAAACCCTCGTAGATATAAGTCTCGTTGAAGTTATCTGGCCTGGGGATGTCCATATCATATAAACAAGCAATCTACCACACCGCATACATACATCCTGTTAGCCATACTTCCGCATCAAGACTCAGGCAGGCACGGGGGAAAACGCACATTGCGATGGCCTCGGAAGTGCTGGAGTAATTTGATTTCCCGCAAAGCACGTTTTGCGAGGATCTTCTTGCTGAACACATTTGTCACCTTCTTGATGGCAACGCCTTCGTTTGTCTGCGCATTCACAGCGGCGCTGTACAGGAAGCATGCCGAGTCAGCTTCTGATAGTCAGATGTGCCGCCTCCACGTACCAAACGATGCCGTAGGCTCCCTGACCCAGCTCCTTGGTCACATTGTACCGTTCATCAACGACAAAGTCCTGGTTGAAGACCTTGAAGACCTTGCGCCCATGGAGGTCCGACATGGCGACAGCCTTGCTTTGTGGCTTGACGTTTCGTTATAAGAGTCGTGTGCGAGGGGCGACGTCGAGAGATGCGGAGCGGCGGACGAGGACAAGGACGAGGGCGGCTCTCCAGGAGTCGTGAGCTGCGAGATAAAGCGCGAAGAGAAGGAAGGATTGATGATGCTGACGGGAAGAGCTGGCGGTGTTTTGTCGTACACAAAGAAGGCCCCGCACTCCGCGGCGGTGGAGATCCGATAAGCAGCAGCCCGTGGCGAGCGGAAGACGGAGAGAAAAGGCCAAAAAAAAATAAATAATAATAAATAAATAAATAAATTGAGAGTAATTTACGAGGGCCAAGGGAAATAGAGAGGAAGGAAAAAAAAAAAAATAAAGACGTGGCCCGGCTTACTGTGGGTTTCTCTTTCGCTCAGCTCGAAAAGGAGGCCGAGAGGGGGAAACGAGGGGTTGGCACGATGCAACGTTTGCGCGCGCTATTGATGTGATGGGATTGCTAGCTAAGCATGTCAGATTGGATCGCAAGACGTGTATGTACATGTACATAAATCCGCTGCATTAAAATCTAGTAGTTCCTGGCAGAGGGCTCGTAGCTGGTGCGCCACCAAACCCCCATCGACGCCGCAACCACCAGGTCGAGCATCTTGATGCCCTCGTCCAAGATGACCAGCTTGCCCAGTTTCGCGCTTTTCCCACTCATCCCGCCACCGCCAGCCTCTCGGGCGAGCGACAGATCCAAGCGATCCTCGTCAGCAGCAGCAGAATGTGCTCGGGCACGTTGTTGCACCTTTTCGAGGTTGGCTGTGATCAGCTGCCCCAGCGCTGCACGCTTTCCCTTCTCCTTGCCGCCATCCAGACTCGCCATCGAAGAAGGTCGCGATGTCTGTTCAAGCGGGAACGGGATGTTGTATCGCAGCTCGGAAACGGTCACTTCGTCGCTGTGCCCGCGCCCGTCCATGCTCATTGCCGGGCCGGGAATGACATGCTTGCATTTGAGACCGCCCCCGTTGATACTGGCGACGAAAGAGCACGTCCCGTTCCATGGCGACTGGAATGAGTAGTAACCCCGACTCATCTTAGCAGATATCGCATTCGCCAGCTTCGAAGTGTCTGGGCTTCGATTGAACAAGGACCCCGATGAGGAATGATTATGACGGTGGTGATGTTTGATTGGAACGACATCTCGGAGGAACGCTCTTTTCCCCGCGGCATCGTTGTCCTCCTCATGCTGGACTTTTTGCGCCAACTGCTGCAAGATTTCGGCCGCACTTTGGCCCGTGGTAGCCGTAGAAAGAGGCAGCGCATTACCGATGAATTTTCCGTAGCCAGGATTCGAGATCTCAATATGAATCACACCTTGATCTGCACTGGAGCTGGATATGGTGCCGACGTTCCATTGGTTGCCAGACGCCGTATCGCGACGGATGAGAGTGACGCGAAAAGATGGAGGCGCTGCGCTCGTCTGGGACGATTTCGTAGTCTCGGAGTGATTTGACCAGGATCTCTCAGGAAGCAAATGTTGCTGCGTCCGATGGTTTGCGTCGTCGTAGGAGAATCTCTGGCTGCTAATGTGCGACATGTTCGCTGTGGTAGGAGAACTCCCCGAGGACGAGACAGGGCGTCTGGGTATGGTAAACTGGCCGTCCCGTCTAAGACGGGCCAGGGGTGAGCTAGGATCATGATGATCATGGGTCGATTGTTGCAGTCCTCCTCTGACACCAGAATTGGCTACGCCGTCTCGATGCGGTGGTGGCGGTGGAGGTGGAGGAAGACCAGAGTCCTCGCCGCCAACGGGCTTTCGGTGGAAGTCATTCAACCGGGATATAGTCTCGCTTGGGAGGCCTGACGCACCGGGCCCATCTGGAGTCTGTTGCTCTAGTTCGGACTCTATCGATCGCAAGACATTCTCGTCCTCTTCAGTTGCGGCGTGCAAGTAGTACAGCGACGAATTGATGGCCTCGATTGACACGTTTGACTTGGTCGGAGGTTTGAGCGGAGTTAGCACGACGTCTAGAACCAAACCACACCTGTGCTGTCAAAACCATGGCCATCTCGACGAAGAAGAAAGGAAAGAAAGAAATACAACACGCCTAACCTTTACTGCCCGGCACTCTCACAATATATAGCTGGATTCGATCAAGCTGCGCCTGGGAGATGTTTCGCGGGTAAGCGGGGGGATTCGAAGCTATCGACGTGATGAAGGATAGAGATCGAGCTTCGACTGGCGCTGAATTGGAAGATGCAATGTCTGCCATGGAAGTTCAAATACGATGGAGATCGACCGAGTCGCCAGATGCTGCATAGTGTTGTTGACTTGTGTGTAGTTCAAGAGGAATGCCCAAGTCTGAGCCACGCAACAACAAAAAAAGAACGCAACCCTAACCGTTACCCTAACGTAACCCTCTGTCCTACGCTCGCCACACTCACAGTATTGTAGGACTATTTGGAATAAACTTTTTTTCTTCTTTTGTTTTTGGATAGAAAAAGGCAGAAACAAAAACGTATTGCTAATGTATATATGTGGTATCTTCCAGAATAAGTACAGTGCCGAGGATAGCAGCTGCTCTTCTCAGCGAAAAAGTGCCAATAAGATAGGGCAGGAATTTTTTTAGAGCATGGAAGCGAAAAGGCAAAGGCCATAGAGAAAGCAAACGCCTGGGCACCATCATCAGGTATGCGCATTGTATTAATTAATCATCTTAAACAACATTCTCCGAAGTCTCGCCTTCAGCAATGACAGGCACACCGAGGCCTCGGTCTGGGCTCTGCAGAACGAGCTGTTCATGTTTACGCGCTCGAAGGAAGTCGCTGACAGATCGAATCAAGATAAACCATCCAACAATCATCAAGATATATGATATCCATTCACTGGTTGTAATCGTAGAGACGGCACTACCTCCTCCTCCTTGGCCTTGGCCCCCACCGGTATTGTCGCCGATAGAATTGGGGTCAAAGTCGTGACTATTGGGATCTGGCGGGGAGGTATAAGAGTCTGTGTCGCTATCTGGGGTCGAGGTGCTGCTGCCCTTCATATAAAAGCCATATTGTACAAGAGTAAGGCCAAGGCCGGCCTTGCTGCCATTTTTGGCCGCGTGGGTCGTGTGAAGGAGATATGTGAGAAGGAATCCAACGAGCTGGAATGACATTGAAATCATGCCATTCCAAGCAAAGGAGAAGACAGAGCCGACCGGTAGGCCATCCACATAAACTTCGTCCGACGACATCCCCGGGGCCATTATAGTCGTCTCCCAGTAAGGAGGCGTGGCATCAGCAGCCGCTTGTTCATAAGTCTAGAGAATGTTAGAAAGGCCAAACAGTGGCATGCACTATTGCATGTCATGTTATGGGTCACATACTGGAGGCAGGTCTTCTTGATGCTTCTCAGCTCTCTCGGGTTTGGCATTCAGGTTGGCAAACACACCATCATTCGACGAGCCTGTCCCTACTAATCGCGAGTTTGCCGGTGACGAGAAAGTTGGTAGCATAGTATATCTTCTTTGTGTTGCAGAGGGTTGAGAGTCTTCAGCATTAGACTCTGGTGATATAACAGTTCCCGTATTGGCTGCAGTCGGGTCTCCTCTCATTAAGCGCTGCCGATCGTCGGCCTCATCGTCATCATCTGAGCCGTTGCCGTCATCAAAAGCATCCTCCAGTGCATTATCAGGGCCGTCGCGTAAAGGATCATCGTGAAGGAGGCGATGCGAGGAGGGTGAAGGTGATCGAGAGTGGAAAGAAGGCGGAGGCGAGGTAGGAATGGGAGCGGTCAGATTCGGGGCATCTGGAAAGGCTTCAAGTTGGCCATTGTCATCCTCATCATGGGTGTTGACCTAGAGACAATAGGCGAGTTAGTAACATGTCTCTCGATACGGCAAGTTCAAAAGAGGATCAGTTTCTCGTACCCGATGATACGCCTGGGAGGCCATGGCGAGCCGAATATGCCGGGGCGGACAACTTAAGAGATGCTGGAGCAGAGGTAGAATACAAAAGGAAACTGACAGGCGTAACAAAACGAAGTTAACGCAGAGAACAAAAGGAAAAAAAAAAAGATATAATGATTGGAGGTAGACGACGAGAGATGCGAGCGAAGGCAATGGAAGGGAAGGGGGTGCGTCAGTCAGCAGTGGCGGAGTACTTAACGATTGTGGCAGCCTGACATTGACACCTGAACGCTCAGGCACAGACTAAGCCTGAAGGCGGAATCACCGCCAAGACATCAACACCGACTTCGTTCTTCCAAGCAGCGAGCGACACAACAAGCCCATAATATTCATATTCGAAAAGAGAGACGTCTGATACAAATAATCAGTCACAATCGCAATGTCCAAATCACCGGTACGTCCACCCTTGCAAGGACACCAGCTCTATGCATCCACATGACTCCAGCATCTGCGAAAAAAAAGAAGAGTCCGTACTGACCAGCACAAGCAAACCCTCAATACGCGCATCGCGCACCTACTCAAGCATTGGCCTACCGACCCTGTGCGGCCCGCCTCAGTTTCAGTGCAAACTTACCTGCAAAGCCGTCTTCCCAAGCCAGATTCGTCGTCACCGTCAATCTCACAATCGTCTCTTAATGCGCTCACATCTCTCCTCGATAATCGCTACAGTACCCAATATCCTTTGCCACGGAAGCTACGCTACCCAGCTAGTCATTCAAGTCACTACGATGATGTGGTGAGAGAGTTTGCAGAGGCGCCAAATAGGAATTGGCTTGGGAGGATTCAGAAGAGACTGGGAGGGATGTTGCGGCTGAAATAATTCGAATCATCTCTCCTTTCTTTGTTAGACAGTGGAGTCTCATCGGGCGTGTCATGTACAGTAAGTATCTACGTTTTGTAGCTTAATGCTTTTTGGAGTCGGGGTTCTTTTTTGGGGTATTGTACGATATTGAGTTACAGGGCGCAGTGCTATTATTACATCTATGTACTATATGAGATGGTTTTAGAGTGTATATTACTGAACGGTGCTCCGAATCCGCATATAGAATGGATATTCTTTAATCATTCACGAGTGTCAGCTGAAAGGATATGCAGACCAATATGTCAAACAGACTACTCGCAGCATCAGTTTCAAGTCGTTAGCAACTTGAAACGGAGCTCCGGTTTTGGCCTTGATCTCGTCCATAGTGACTCCTTGAACCACCTGTATCTCTCCTCTCCGACAAACTGCTTGCATTCTCGTCACTTCCAAGCGAAGCTGCAACCTGTGCACTCCATTTTTCAATCGATTCCATAGACGCCGGCGACTCTCCATCATCGCACAGTATAGCCTGCCGCATCCCAGTTTTGAATGCATAGTCTTTACTGGCATCTTTCTCCGCTTCATAATGCTCCTCAACTTCGTTGTCACCATCATCAGTGCTATCGTCATCCGAACTAGCTGATGAGAAAAATCCGCACGTAGCGGGCGGTAAAGAAGACGAGTTTAGGTTTTCGTGGGTACCTGATATGACGCATGATTTGAATGCATTCTTGCTCTGATCATTCAATCTACTACCCGCGGACTTGTTCAAAAGATGATTCAAGAAGCCTTGTGATGTTATAAGACTGTTGTGGCCCCTTCCCTCTATCTCCTTGGTACTGTTCCCAATTTGCTTGTCTGGATCAGTGGTAATATTAACCGGAGCATGTTCAACCATGACGTGTATTGCAAAGTTATCATCAGGAACCACGCCTCCAACACCCGAAGCCTCAAATTCTCTCGGAATTGTTTTGTACCCATCTGTTACAGATGTTAATGGCTTCTCAGTGTGGGACAGAATCGGCGAACTGCTTTCACTGAGATTCTTCGGTGAATCTTTCTCATTAGCATAAGAACTGAATCGGTCCGCTGTTGCATTCGCTGTTTGCCGTGTATGTTCATCATGTGTAAGCTCAAGGCTTCCTTGACGCTTTCGCTTCCTTTTCAATCCTTTTAGACGTGACGAGGCTTCTTGTTCTTGCGAGCTCACGATGCCAAAGCTTTCACCGGAGTAATCAATGTAGAAGGATGTGTCCTTGTAATAAGTCACCCTGCCTTGTGAATCATGTGATGACGGGGCCTGAGCCTCTAGTTGAGAGATTGAGGTACGTCCGCGGACGCTGCTTACAGATGCTTGTCCTGTAAGTGCAGAACTGCTGCTTATCATAGATACAGCATCACCGTCATCGGCTTCGCTATCGCGTGTTGAGAATGTATACGGTACGTAGAAGGAAGCTTTGTGCCTAGATTTGGAGTTGATGTTTTCTTGACCCAGTGGAATCTGTTGACATGGCAAACTTTCAGTTGCTTTTTGGTAGCTGGACGTGTTCTGGGATTCGTTGGCTTGCAGTCTCACACAATAACCGTCTGTAGAAAGTTCAAGGGTCGTGCTGTATCGCTTCAAAGCTTTGCGCCCAAAGTCAATATCAACATTGTTGATTATTTGTTTAATTATACCCAGTATATCTTTCAAGTTATACCAAGAAGAAGGAAGAGGTTTCGCGTTTAAAGGATACTGGTGGGCGACTTTGATAGCAGAAGAGCACAGAAGCTGCTCAAAAAGCATGGCCACGAGTGCCATACGAGTATCCTCGTCTGGCAAGCTCGTCATGGCAATCACATGGTTGCTTTTTCGAAGAGGCTGTCGTCGTCGATTTCTTGCAAACTGCGGGCTGACTGAGATATCATCGGCGAAACGCTGGAGAATCTTTTCCAAGTGTCGTTTCCTTCGACTTGAAAGACCATAAGTGCGAACATCGAACAGCTTGTCTCCTCGTAGTTGAGGGGGGTCTTTCTCTTTGTATCTCCGGATTTTTCGCTTTAATCGTTTTATATCTAGTGTTAAATCGTCGATGATGCTACGGAGTTCTTCATTCTCTCTTTGACTGTCATTCGTGTGCATATAAGACAGAATTGGGTCCTCCAAGGGGACAGAGCTGGATCGATTGTCGCCTGATTGAACCGCCGCCTCGGTATCATTTAAGAAAAAGGGTGCATCATCTATGTAATCAGTCAGCAAAATGAACGGGCTACTGCATAAGCTTATATTTCTCGTATTTACCTCCTAATCCGACCACTTGTGAAGTAACCCGACGATTTGCCTCGTCAAACCACAGCTCAGACTCGGCATTCCTCTGGTCTTCTTCAGCAGAAGGACCCAATGATCTATGGGGAATCTGGATAGCTACTCTGTCCCCTGGTAGATTAGTATCGGTGCCTGCGTCCGTTGGTAGCAAATTGCTACCGCGAGACTTGACAGTGCTTGGAGCTTGTGGTGTCGACATTTGCCGGCTGGAACCGTGGTTGCCAGGATACTAATAACCGGCCCAATGTCTAGCCGAGAATATGTAGGACGCAAAAAGGAACAGCGTGCGAGAGAGAGAGAGACAAGATTTGTCTTGATCAATCCCGTCGGGTGCAAGGCCATTCAAGACCTTTGAAGTTCAATAGATGAAATGCTCGCCGTCTCCTCTGCAGCAATATGAGAAACAAGGGTCAGCAATGCTCGAGAAAAACACAGCGATTCATATACTGATTTATAGAGAAATAGCTGGCTTCGTAAAAAGGCCACGATCGCGATGCCCCAACATCATCTGCCGCTGACTCGCTGGAGCCCTGATCCGGAGCATCCAGGAGCAGCCCGGCGGACATGATAGGAAGCTTAGTGTTCAGCATTCGCGCGCAGTGATTGAAGGATATCGCGAGCTGGTCGTTCCACGGCGCAGGGCAGTATGAAGAGGAAGTTGCGGCGATCACGGCGAGCAGGCGCGATCTGACAATTTGGATGGGGGCAGCAAACCGCTTGAGATCGGGCCAATGGGACGGCGCTCTGCTTTGGGGGTTGATCGCGATCGCGGCTGGTTTGGGACTAGCCGCATATGTATGGCTCTGACAGTTGAACGACGGAGTAACGTACTAAATACGGTATGCAAGTTACAGTTATGGCAGAGAAGTCATCTGTAGCACTAATCATTACTATATCGCAGGAGAATTCCCAAGACTTTGCACATGGCTTGTACTAATACAAATACAGACAAACATAACGCCGTGCTACAATAAAACCAATGTTCCCAGTCGTGGATCCTCTGCTGCTCTAGCATCCACGAGAGCCGGCCCCTGATCTTCAGTCCCGTAGGTACTATCAGCGGCATTCAAGCGTCACCAGTTTAGTTAATTCCCCGAGTAGGTTCGTCACAGTGTTTCCAAGCACAAGAAAACAATATTTACAGATCCTCGCATCCATCACTCCAGACAAAAAAAAAAAAAAAAAAAAAAAAAAAAAAAAGAAGAAAAGAGAAAGCGAAAGTAAGCCAAGGCACCGTCAAGCGAGAAACTGTGGGCAAGAGTCGTAATTCAGAAAAAGTCGCGCCATGTGTGGTATTCAAAGAGAGTTGTGGGCGTATGGGCATGAAATGAGTGTATGTGTATGCTGCTAAAAGACGGAAAGAAAAGATGAACGAGAGCGAGAAGTCACGGAGGTAAGACGCTCCGTATGGTCTAGCACTGGTGCAGACATTAGAAATGTGTATAGACGGCAACGTCGATTTCGAAGTTATTTTCAGCGATCAGGGTTGGTAACCTAGATTGTTGGCTGTTAGTAACTGCATGCCTGCTTATGTTATTTTTGTAGTCAGCGCTGAGCTCACCTGGAGGATTCGCCGTGAAAAGTCCTGGTCATCAGCAATGCTGCCATTGCTTTGGCGTCGTTGAGCCATGTAGTCGCTATCCCACCGTGCATCCGAGCTGACCGACGATGGTTTTTGAGCAAATGCATTGATTTCTGCATTTCGTCTATATTCGTCTTCAACCCGTTGTTTTTGTCGGCGTCGGAGAAAGAAGATGGCGGCGCCAATTATGGCAGACGCACCGACGATGCCCACGACAATACCGGCAGCAATGCCGGCGGTGTCGGAGTGACCCGAGGATTTTGCAGCAGCACTGGTAGCGGAGCTGGACGCTGTCACGACGATCGTCTCTCCCGCTTGGGTAATAACCGTCACGCCGTTTGTGGTGGAGGAGGAGGAGGCGGAGGTGGAGGTAGTGGAGGAGGAGGAGGTAGAAGAGCTCTCCGACATGATAGAAACGTCCGATGTCAAACCAGTGAGAAAGACACCATATACATCAGTACCACCGCCTAAAAAATGTCAGTCATGTATAATTGATTGGCGAGTCAGATCTGGGAATTCTCACAATCATCCTGGCCAAATCCCTGACATGGAGTATCACAGCCACTGGTCTGGGTTGAGTTGGGGGGAAGTTCATCGCCGCAGTAGCAACTCTTCCCATCTAACAAGGCCATTACAGAGTAGCCCATGGGTACACATTGTTCTTGGCACCACCCTGTGCTTTGATATGTGTACGTGCCATTGTCTATGAAGCCAGGAACCGATTTGTAACAGTCGACATATGTAGTGGCATTATAGTTAATTGCGGCCACACGAGGAGCCCATAGTATCAATGAAGAGGCCGTTATGGCAATATTGGACGTTGAGAATCTCATCTTGTCGGTTTTTATGTTGTGTTTTCTCCCTAATTATTTTTCTAGATTGGTCGACACCTTTCGTAACAAAGAACGATCGAATACCGAATCGAAAGGCTAAAGAGCGTGAGGATGCAGAATGACGAGTTGCAAGGGACGGCCTGCGTAGCCCTCGATCGACCACACACTAATATCCTGTGTTTTGTTTTGCTAGTGATTCAACCCCCTCAATTGCTCTCACTTAGCACAGGTCCTCCTGGCACGAGACCTCGAAGCTTCCCTAAGTTGGGGATGGACTTGCGGGGAAACGGGCGTGTTGAAGATTGACTGAGAAACGAGGCACGAATTGACGAGTACCAGAAAAGCCAAATTCTAAACGACGAGTTGCAGGAATGGAATAAATGGAATAAATGGACGAAGAATTCAAGGTGGTGTCAGAGCACGGCGCCTGCTGGCGACGTGCAGTCTGCCCCTGATTTTTTACCACACAAAGAAATCGGTACGGATTGCGTGTCTTGTTATTTCGATTCGAGTTGAGAATAAGAGGTAGCGGATGGCGAACACGAAGAAAGAGAGATGAGAATCGAGTGCTGAGGCGGTTGTTAAACGAGAGAATGGAAGCAAATGAAGTGGTGACCAAGCCCGGCACCAACAGTGTGTGCGTGGGTAGTAAGGATCGTGAGTCTGGAGAAGGGTAAGGCAGGACGCGGGTTGATGGGAAACGGCACCTCCTGGAAATGGAATGAACGGATCGCGGCGCTAGGCCTGTTCGGGCGGGCAGAAACATGGCTGCAGCCCGCGTCAAGTTAGGATCCTTTAGCGGGCCGCTAGTGAGCCATCTCGGCGCTTCCATTGGGTGCGCCGCCCATTCCAGTGCAAGGCTGCATGATGATTGGCCGGTGCCTGGAGTGCGGGAAAATGTTCTCCACATGCGCTTTATTAGCGTATAATTGGAATTGATGATTACGCTGTCGATACCACTTCTGGCACTCCAGACTTTTTCATATTTATTGTTGGTTGATTTATGCATCTTCGACGCCCAGCGTGCTGGTAGTAACTTAGGGCCCAGCATCGCCATCATTCGCTTTATGGCCATATGCAGGTCAAGAGATAGCCTCAGGAAGCTTGGGCTGCCGCCCCTGCTTTTGACGTGTCACATGATACGTGTAATCACAACGTACCTATCTGTAAGATTAATACCTATAAATTATACACTCCATCGAGTTTGCCACACTCCTGGAGCTCTAAGTTACAATAAGTACGTAACGACGCCGTATCGTTATCGCATCGCAGGACAGAGTACATCCTATGTACTACATATAACTATCACAATTGATGACTCGCTTTAATCGTACACAGATTCGGAGTCCGTACTACTGCTCTGAGCATGCATAAAAACATGGAATATTATTGACTGCCAAGGCTAATGCATGCACGGCGGTGTGGCGCATAATGGCAGGCACCGATAGGCCCGATGGCTGACGTCTGCGGTGGAGCCTAACAGCCTAGCAGAGTCTGAGAGCGCTTACGCCTCTTTTGGCTGATAATTCGCTGTCAAGTTGGTTCTAGTTGTCTTCTTGCTTCTCCTTAGTGTACACCGAGCGAGCCGGGCAACGTTGCTTGTTTACATAGTAAGTGTGCATGAATGTTGATTGCTGCAGGGCTCCTTTTCTATCCGTGGCATTGAAGGATCGATCAATTTACCTTAGTACGTACTACGTACCCCCTGCTGGGCCCCATTCATAGAAATGCACAAGATTAGCACTCCGTTGTGTGCATAACTGCCTAAACAGTACAGAGTAGTCTAGACTCCGTAATACCAATGTTATTAAAGCTTCGGATTTTTTCAACCTCAGAAAATACTTTCTGCCCAGATATGGATAACAAAACAAAAGCAAGTCAAGTTTAGGGGTACAGAAGAATTTTCATTTCGGTGATCTTGATCTGTCGCTGTCTCATATCTCGTATTTCAGACGAGGTCTGGAACATGGGCATTGACCAAGAGGCCTCCACAGCAAAAAAACAACAAGGCTTAGTTAATGAAAATGTCATTATCGATTAGTTAAGTTAGTTAATCTCTATTTTATAACTAGTTAACTAACTAAGTAAGTACTAAACAATATTCTACCAAAGTCTAGACTCTTGGTTGACTGTCTAGGAAATTCTAGCTAGCCAATGCTCGAAGTTGTAGAATTATGGTTAATGTTGTGTACACATGTACCTAGGTAGGCAATGGCATATACCATTTAGAGGTTGCTTCATTTATAGTAAGTACTTAGGTGCCTGACAGAGGACGAAAGTAACGTAGATACATACAGCGATCCCGTATGAAACTATGAAACTACTACCAATCAATCGAAAGACAGCCCACTAATATTGAAACCCTCATATACTAACTAACTTTTATAGAGTGCGGCCTCTTGACCAATCTGGCCATGTGACATGTATCTATCTCTATGTAGATTCCTAACCACAGGATTAATCATCGAGACTGAGATCCATCAAGGCTTGGGTATATGCAACGTCTTGCTAACCATAAGACAGCCCCAGAGAACAAACAACAGTACTGCAGGATGAAATTCAAAAATGGTGTCTTGGGCAACCGTTCCCCACGGCAAATTTTCATGAATCCAACCCTGAGACACCCAGTAAGCCATGAGACTCGCAATCAACAGGGAGGTAGGTATCGGGGTGCCTTCGAAGTATTTCGATTTTCCTGTCTTGTCCTTCGGAAGAACAGCAGCGGTAACGTTAAAGCGTGCCAATCTCGTTAGCCCACAAAGCACGAAGAAGCTGAGGAAGATGTGGTCTGCTGCAGTGCGAATGCCGATCGCAAAAGCTGCCGACGCTGGTGCGACGCCGAAGGAAATCTAGCCCACGAGTAAAATTGGTTATCAGTCTTGGCTCAGCTTGAATTGAATCACGACTGGTATCCAGATATGCATACCAAGTCTGCCAGAGAGTCCAGCTCTTGACCCATTAGAGACGACTTCTTGCGCCATCTCGCAACTCGCCCATCCATAAAGTCGAAGAAAAGTCCGAAAGGCATGAACCCAAGCGCTAACCATATAGAATTGGTGCTCTCAGGGTCCGACAGGTATCGCATTGACGACAGAACCGACATAACTGTCAATATGTGTTTAGTAACTTAGTAACAAGTGTGTTTGTTCCATAAGCTCGAATGTCGCCAGTGAGTCTTACATCCGCAGAAGCCTTGAATCAAATCAGTCAGTAAGTCATACCTCATAAAGTTAAGCCATCATGTTACATACCATTCAGCTCCGTAATAAGATCCGCAAGATGGAGCGTCCTGTTGAAGAATATTAAAACACGCATCTTCCTAGTTTAACTGACAGGAGAATCCACGAACCTGACCATGCTGAAATGCCCCGCTTCAGCCTGCAGAAGCCTTTTCTGCTTTTCTTGACTCCCTAAGGTAAGATGAGCCAGAGGTCTTCAAACTGCTTGGGTAAGACATACCTTCTCCTCCACCGCTAGTCTCCGAGCTCACGGCGTGGTTGAGGTTTCGACGGGACATGATACTTCGAAAATGTGAATAGCAACTCTGCGCCTGAGATATATTATACTGGTGCAAAAAATTGAGAGCGGTTGATGAAAAAATCTTAGTGATTGTTGTGTGCGGCGGGCATTGAATCTACGTTTGCGAGAAACAAACTCTCACGTTGGCGCAGCAGCACCGAGACGTCATTGTTTGATCAGTTTGCACCGCCTTAGCCACAACACTAAAAAAATTTCGAAGAACGGCTAAATTCCTGTGGCTAGTGCATAATATGGATTGAAGCTCCAAATCTGTTTAGAAAAGATAATAATTTACAGTCTTCTTTTTATCAGACAAGAGCAAATTTTTGATGCTCGCGACAGCCGTAGAAAACGAAAAGGATCCGTATCCGATTCCCCCAACGCCAGATAGAAAAAACGAGACGAGAAACACGAGTTGGTCAATATCTTTTTGGAGAATAAACCCTAACCACGTCCTCGGAAGCCCCCTCGAGGACCTCCACGACCGCCTGGTCCTCCTCTTGAAAAGCCACCACGACCCCGGGGTGCTCCAGCGCCACCACGCCCACGGAAGCCACCAGGTGCTCCGCGGCCACCCCGAGCACCACCACGGGGTCCTCCTCTTGCTCCACGACCTCCACGAGCGGCTCCCCTGGCACCAGCTGGTTTCTTGACTTTGGGACCTGAGTGAAGTTAGTTATTTTGACGGTGCATTGACGCTGAAGGGGTATCGAGTGGTACCTGGAGGGGCCTTTGGCTTTGGTAGGAATCTACAAACAAAAATAGGTTAGCGATCTCTTGGCTACGCAACGACGTGAAGAAGTAGAGCCGATAGAAGGCAAATCTCATGCTATGAAAGAAGATATACTTTTCCAAAGGTAGCAATTTATCTCCTCCGATATAGAACTTATCTCCGGCCTTGAAAGAGCCCGCAACAATTCCTTCTTGGGGTTTGATTGTGAAGTAAACTTGGTTGATCGGACCAAGCACTTCGTCGACCTTTCCAACGGGTGTCTAACAAAAGTAAATATCAATGTCTTTGTTTCTTTCGAGCTTCTCCCCCTAATGTGACGACATGCAGGCAGCGTACCTTGTTCTCTAGGTAGATCGGAGCATTGAAATACGGGATCTTGGGATTGATCGACTCGCAGACCATCTCGCCCTCGCAAGCGTGCATGAAAGTTCCCATTTCTGTGTCTATCAGCAATGAAGGTCGCACAAATTTGAATCGTGGTGGAAGAATACCTAAAACCTGAGCAGGAGGACCGAATGACTGTTGGAAACCTCCACGACCTGTGTAATAAAGCCAACCATCAGCACCGTGAATTGGGACTTTGAAAAGTGAAAGACGATGCTCACCTCCTCTATTCGCGCCTGTGGCAAAGCCACGGCCTCGTCCACCGCCGCGGAAAGACATGATTGTTGCTGTGAATTATCGACTTGTCAGGGTAGAAAATGTTCGCTGATCCCGAAGTTTTTTTGCTGTGGGAGCTTGAAACGGTAAAGCGCATCCACTCACGTGACACACCGCCTTCCTCATGCTTCCCCTCCAGCCCACCAAAAGAGTAATTTTCGATGTGACTCAACCCCCGCGTTTTGCGAGTTTGATTCTCTTCTGATCACCATTTCCACTGCACAATGGCTTCGGAAGGACAGAAAGACCTTCCTGTTCGCTCTGCTGAGGGTGCTAAGATGGGCAATCAACCGAGTCCGTTGCCTGACGTGTTGATTGAGCGAAACAAACTTTTCGAAGAACTATGGCAGGAACACCTGAAGGAGCTAGCTGAGAAGCCTCGGTCAGACATTACTGTAACGCTCGACATTGGAGATGGAAATCCTTCTACAGTCGTTGCCAAATCTTGGGAGTCCACGCCTGGCTCTTTCTTGAAGGATCTCCCTAAAGATTTCACCGCCAATGTTGTAATCGCGAAGATAGACGGAAAAGAGCTTTGGGATCTGAACCGCCCATTGGAGAGAGACTGCAAGGTTTCTTATCTGCCTTTTGATCACCCAGAGGGGAGAGAGGTTTTTTGGCACTCGAGCGCCCACTGTCTTGGAGAAGCTTGTGAAGTTGAGTTCGGGTGTCTTCTATCGCACGGTCCGCCCACAGCGCAAGGTTTCTTCTACGACATGGCTATGCCGGATGGGTAAATACCACTGAAGACTGTAGTACACTGAGCCGCTTGCTGATTTCTTTCGTATTCTAGGCGTGTCGTGCGAGAGACGGATTGGGCACCCCTGGATAAGAAGGCAACTCAGATCTTCAAAGAACGCCAGAGCTTCGATCGATTGGAAGTTACGAAAGAGAACCTGAAGAAGATGTTTGCGTACAGCAAATACAAGCTGCACTACATCAATCACCTTGTAGAGGGAGAGAAAAGCACAGTTTATCGTTGCGGTACTTTGGTCGATCTCTGCCGAGGACCTCATATTCAGAATACCAACAAAATTAAGACGTTCAAAATAATGCAAAACTCCTCTGCGTATTTCCTCGGTGACCAGACAAACGACTCTTTACAACGAATCAGGGGTGTTGCTTTCCCTGATAAAAATGGAATGAAAGAGCATCTTAAGTTCCTCGAGGAGGCCGAGAAACGAAATCATCAAAAAATCGGCAAAGAACAGGAGCTTTTCTTCTTCGATGATGTCTCCCCCGGATGTCCCTTCCTTCTCCCTAATGGCACAAAAATTTTCAATTCTTTGCAAAAGCTCTTGCGGTCGGAGTACCGCAAGCGTGGATATCAGGAGGTGCAGACACCCAACATGTATGATGTGAGCATCTGGAAGACATCAGGCCATTGGGCACACTATAAGGATGATATGTTCAAGTTGGATGTTGAGAAGAGGGAATGGGCCCTTAAGCCCATGAATTGTCCTGGTCACTTCATGCTCTTTGGCCACCGTGATAGGAGTTATCGGGAGCTTCCTCTGAGGATTGCTGACTTTGGAGTGCTCCATAGAAATGAGGCATCTGGCGCCCTCAGTGGTCTCACTCGCGTGCGTAAATTTCAACAGGATGACACTCATATTTTCTGTACTGCAGAACAGGTATGTCCCATTCTCCTTGTTCAGCTGCTCCTTCATGAAGTCTAACCCACATATCACAAGATAACCTCTGAGATCGAAGGACTGTTCGATTTCTTGAAAGCCATCTACGGTCTCTTTGGGTTTACCTTCAAGTTGAAACTTTCTACTCGACCAGAAAACTACATGGGTGAGCTAGAAGCTTGGAATTTCGCAGAAGATCAACTACGTCAAGCATTGAACAATTTCAAGGGAGACGACTGGGAATTAAATGAAGGCGACGGTGCTTTCTACGGGCCCAAGATTGATATTACGATCTCAGATGCCCTCAAGCGAGACTTCCAGTGTGCTACAATCCAGCTCGACTACCAGGCACCGATCAATTTTAAGTTGGAATACATTACCGCCGAAAAGACATCCGCCGCTGGTGAAAAAGCGAAGCAGGATGGTGCGGACAAAGCCAAGGAGGCAGCGACAGGTCGAGCTCGACCAGTTGTTATCCACCGCGCGATCATTGGTAGTTTTGAGCGATTCCTCGGTATTTTGACAGAGCACTTCGGGGGTAAATGGCCGTTTTGGATCAGCCCTCGTCAGATCCTGATTGTGCCTGTCATGCCGGCACTCAATGATTACGCAAAGGAGCTACAACAAATTCTGCATGCTGATAAGTTGAACGTTGACATTGATATTAGCGGCAACACCCTGCAGAAGAAGATCCGCACGGGTCAGTTGGCTCAGTACAACTTCATATTCGGTAAGTTTCCATGGAATTCATTGAGTTAACGGTCTTCGAAAGACTGACGGCGAAATAGTTGTGGGCGCACAAGAGAAGGAAAGTAGAACGGTGAATATTCGCAACCGTGACGACCCATCCTCTCAGGCGAAGGGCGAGCTGGTTCCTCTCGAGGAAGCACGCGTTAAATTGAGGGCACTGCGCAAAGAGCGCAGACTTCTCAACGCACTTTGATTGCAAACTTGGGTTTCGGACAAGTTAGTGGTATCGAGTCTATGAATGGGAAATATCCAGCAACATGAAAAAGCCTGTTTATTCAGAAACAAAGGTCATCCCACTTCATTAATATCGAAATTACTGCCTGTGTCCTATGTTTGCGATTGTATCAGTTGTTAATATTGCCGTATAGCTTGTGTCTTCAGAATCATTCCTCCGATAATACACGTTGACCAAGAACAGTATGCGTAGAACAATCATTACTAGAATAATATGTTGCTCGCAATACTAGTTTCGAAATATAAACACTGCCAAACACTGCCATTATCTGTATTCTTTAAACTAAGGTCTTTTGAAAAGATGATATTGCCAGCCAAGCTCCGTAGATTAATGACAAAATTCCAAGGTTGCATACATATGCAATGAAAACACCCAAATATTAACAAGGCTGTTATGGATCCCCCCTTCCTTTATCCTGCAGGCCTGAATAGTGCAGATATCGAGAAGCGAAAATGCGTCGAAGTGCCTTTCCATATCGCAGAAAGACGACAAACACCATCAGGATGGCAACTGCAATCACCAGGATAGTGATGAACGTGTTCTCGAGACCAACCTTGTCAATCCATGGCGTGAGTGCAAAGATAAAAGCGGCGCTGAACGCATTGCGAGTAAATGTAACTCCTACTAATGCATCTCCAATTATCTACATGGGGCGTGAGATTGTGGCCTCTGAAGTACTTCGGGGTTCGGCGTGAACTTACATCTTTATATGAATCAGTCAAGTAGGTGATTGTTAGCGTATTTATTGGAGTGACACCGATGTTGTACAACACCAAGCCGACGGCAATAACGGGCCATGATTGATGGCCATTAAGTCCGATACCAAATAGAAGAGCACCTGCCACGACAAAAGGCAGGAAGGGAATCATGCACCATAGACGCATCTCCGGTTCGTAAATTCCGTTACGTCGGCGAGAGAGAAAGATGATCCACCAGTCGCTAAATGGGCCAACAACCAGTGCACCGATAGTCACTCCAATCACCCTTGGTAGGCTCATGAGGCCAACCTCGTATGTAGAGAAGTTATAAGGAGGTTCGGGCAGGTAGGCTGACATAGTGGTGGACATGACATCTCCCAGTGCCACCAAGATGCCATAAACCAGTGACGTCCAAGATACTGCGGGAATTGTCACGAGTATAAGAAGAGGTTGGTAAATGTGTTGAAAGAAAGACTCGTTCACAGCAGTAGACGATGGGGTGGTAGTTAGTAAAGCGAGTCTTTGCCAATATCCCTTCAAGGGAATATTGGGGTTGATCTCGACCGCACTGACGCCATGAGATACTATTTCATCCCCTGGTTTAATCGAGGCTATGTCTATGGCTGTCTGGTCCCCATATATTTGCTTTGTTTCGACTGACTGCTCGTTCTCTGGGTCGCCTTTGTTGACAATCCGGTCTTGAAGGTTGCCCGGAGTTTGCACACTCATCGAAGTCAGAGACACCGGTGGACAGTACTTAGTCTCTTCGAACGCGAAGCCGACAACAAAGATTGCCACACCGAAAACAATAGCATTCAACCACCATATCCATCTCCATCCTAAACCACTGGCAACAAAACCGGCAATCAATATACCCAGGTAACTAGAAAGAAGCCACGTCCAAACATAAAGAGCATTCATTCTTCCTCTCTGATGCACGAAAAAGAGATCCGCAATAGTCATCTGGACGATGACCTCGGCTAGACTCCCGAAGAAACATTGTATGACATTGATCCCCATAAGGTCTCCCACAGTTTGCATCTTGGCAGACCAAATGCTGACAGCAAACTGGACTACTGTGCTAACCACATACAGCGGTCGGCGGCCATACTTGAGTGCAAAAGGAATCAAGATAACGGAGCCTACTGCTAAAGCAGCGCAACCAGCAGCATAACTGTCATTCAATATCTCGTCGGTAAAACCGAGCTGTGTCTCCATGGGATCCCATGTTGGCGTATTGGCGTTGATAAACTCGGCAGCCATAGCAACATAAAAGCAGGCCAAGCCCATGTTCACATATTTACGCCATGGGCTCCAATTGAGAGGGTCATTAGGATCATCTGAGGGTCGCGGCTGCAGAATGACCGTTTCCCCGCCGGACGCATTTACATCAGCAAGGCGAATTGTACCAGGAGGCCACATTGTAGCGCTAGCGTCCGGAAGGGTCGAAGGCATTGTCAAAAGCTGAGTGTAACAGCAGAAGATAGACTAGGTGCATTCGAAAGCCTAGGGGTTGGCCGAGTAATCACCACCAGAGTCAGAAGCAGGGCATACTGCGAATATAAAGTGTCATGGCGAGCCATAAGTGACCGCAGAGAGGAGATCCATGTCATGCCTCAGAGGGTTTATCTGATAGAAGACAGTGATTCCATTGCCTCTTTCTAACGTTTGCAGAATAATTTTATCTTATCTTATCAGTATGCATCGTTGCAATTGGCGGGATGTTCCAAGTGGGTCAGGGGTCGGCAGTGTTCGCTGTTCCTACTGGTGGGAACTCCCGCCCTTGTGGAGAGTGAGACTTTCCTTCTTTGGTAAGTCTCAATGTACTCTTGCCTAAGGCACCAAGGTATCCCCAAGAGGCATAAGACGTTGACAAAATGAGAAGCAAAATACTTTCTTTACGATCTGCCAACGCCGATTCTTGCTACCTTGGCAATTCACGTAGCCAAACAACCAGGGAAATGGGGAACTATGATCCATTCGCAAACTTCGGTTTCCCAAAAAGGGACAACTACTCCATCTCCCACTGGCTACAATCGGTGCAGGGTGATCCTTTACTGGATCATCGGACAACACCAGACCTGCCGACGTCTACAGATATTGTGATCATTGGATCAGGAGTGAGTGACTTCAGAAACTGCTGGGCGAGCAGAGACTAACAATGGAAAATAGATGTCGGGAACAGTGGTTGCCAAAGGCGTTTCGGAAACCTGGCCAGAAAAGAAAGTAGTCGTTGTTGAGGCCCGTTTGTTCTGCTCCGGTGCTACTGGTCGCAATGCTGGCCACTGCAAACCTGACCAGTGGCGAGGATTCATAGAGTACGAGAACAAGTTTGGTACTCAGCAGGCGCTCAAGGTACGGACTGAATCGCTGATCTCTTTTCATTTACTAACGTAGACTTACAGATTCTGCAAAATGAGCAACAGACATGGTCGGAAGTAGTGAAATACATAACCGAAAACAATGTCGACTGCGAGCATTGGACCGGTGACACACTGGATGTCCCCATTACGCCCGAGGCCGCAGAGAGCGCAAAGAGAATATATGAGAGTTACAAGGCAGCGGGCGGCAAAGTGGAACATATCAAAGTTACATACGACCCAGAAAGAGCAGCAGAGGTCTCAATATCATTACATTCACACATATAGACTTGATTGGCATGACTGACGCCTGCATAGATATCGCAAATCAAAGACGCACAAGCATGTTATGCGTGGCCGGCATCAACGCTGCATCCTTGGAAGCTTGCAGCACATATTATGCGTCAAAATGTCAAAAGAGGTGTAAACCTCCAAACAAACACAAGAGCTGTCAAGGTCGTCCGTTCTAGAGACAGGTGGATCGTCAAAACCGAACGTGGTGATATTGAGTGTTCGGAGGTTGTCCACGCATCCAATGCTTATAGCTCTGCAGTTGAACCATCCTTGCGGGGGTTAATCACTCCATTTCCTCACATGTGCAACAAGGTAATTCCTCCCAAGGATAGTGAGGACTTCTCAGGCTTGAAGAACTCGTACGGAGTTTTACTTCCTCAAGAGGGCTTGTTCAGTATTAATCCCCGTATCAATGGAGACGGTGCGGTTCTTTTCGGCGGTCATAACCCAGGCCAAGATGAGTTTACGAGGTGGCTAGAGAAGCACCCACATCGCTACACTGACGATGGCTTGACTGGATTTCACTCTATCAACAAGGCTGTCTACGAATTTGCAGTCACAGAACTGAAAACATGGCCAACACAAGTAGAAGCTTATGAAAATGCTTGGAGCGGTATCCTTGGACTTGTAGGTGCTTCTCTTGATGTGAAAATGCTCGAATGTGGTCTGATTTCAAAGCAGACTGAAGACGGACTGCCGTTTGTTGGGCAATTGCCTGGGCTTCCCGGACAGTGGATTTGTGCCGGACACAACGGACAGTAAGCTCAAGCATATCCCTTACATTGTTTGGGTCCTTGCTAAAACTATGAGTTATCAGTGGAATGGCCCGTATCTTCACTGCAGCGTCCGGCTTGGTCAAATTGATGGGTGGGAGCTCTTGGACAGACACGCAGCTGCCAGAAGTTTTCCAGATAACCGAAGCAAGGGTAGAACGCCTGAGAAAGCTTTTGAGACCATCACCGCCGGTTCTAGTTCGTCTCTGAGCCCCTGCCAACTATTAAACCGTGTGTTAGTGCAGCCTCGACGTCGATGCTCAGCCCGTAGGTACCTGATAATGAGGATTAGGGGGGGTTTATGTGGTCTGTGTTCCATAAATATATAGCATTTTATGGCTCATTCCATTTACTAGTAATAAACCAACACCTTTATGAACAATATGGCCTATCTCCTAAGGTACCTTCTAAATATGCCTTTTATCACAGCTTGAGATAACTCAATACCTAGCAATAAGATGCCCTACGTTTAAAGCATTTACGAAAATTTACATAGTTAGAAATGCTCGAATTTGATTTGTCAGGTCCCGGCCAATGAGGCGACCCAACTAGATAAGCACAGCAAAGTTACATATCGGGAAGAGAACAGTCCAACTCGCACCTCGCCATAACAGAAAAAAATCGCGATCCAGAAAGTCCCAGGGTATCTGTCTCATCTTCTCAACATGCAGGACATGAAAAGGAGACAGTTGCCCCGAGGCGCCGCTCGAGTCCCGTCCGGAAGCAGGACCCTGCTCGCGTGCGCGAAATGCAAAGAGAGGAAATTGAAGGTACATAGGAAGACTCAATTCGGAACACCAAAATTATGTATGTTTTCCTTTTTAACCCAATTATCAAGTGCGACAATAGAATTTCCGGGTGCAATAATTGTCTCCAAGCTGGTTCTGGTCGGTATCCATCTTGCCCTTCGGCTGATGTTTAAGTATGCCTGACAATAAATCTAGTCTGTCTTGTCGAAGACCCAATAACCAAAATATACCGGCCTCGAAATTACGTCGAAATCTTGGAAAAACGGGTTGCTCTCCTCGAGAGCCTTCTAAAGCAATGCCGACCTGATCTCATCGATAGCGATGTGTTCGCCCAATCTCCAGATATTCAGTCAAGTTCTTTGCCTTCAACGCAAGCCATAGAGACACTCAATCCAGGGGATGCTAATCGAACAGCCTTAGCCAAAACCAAGGGAAATGTCGAGCAAGATTTTGGTGTTGACAAGCTGGCGTCAAACGTGGGCCTGCTAAGCCTAAATGCAGCTGGAGCAGAACCTCAGTATCTGGGCTCATCCTCGATCTTCGCTTTTTCGCGCTTGATCAATTCCTCCCTCCGCCAAGTAGTTTCTCCTGATTTTCCCACCGTCAACGTGTACGATCGGGCTAAAAACCGCTCTTCCGTGCTTCCATCTCCATGCTTATTGCCCCCTTATGAATCGGCTGTCAAGCTCAGTGATATTTATTTTCAGAATATTAATACACAGTATCCCTTTTTACACGAGCCAACTTTCAAGGCATGGGAATCGATGTTGGTGGATGAGTCGACGGGGTTGGAAACTTGTGTTCTCAGTTCTACTTCCTTGTTTTTCCTGAACATGGTAAAGACGAAAAGCCCATTATACCATTAGCCATTGAAGGAAGATGCTTACTGCTATAGGTGTATGCTGTCGGTGCTTTACTCCTACCCAGTCTCGGATATTCAACAGAGGTACGCAGGCACCCAGCCCAACTGTCCTGCAGAAAGCTGACTGATCAAATAGCGTTTATATACCTCTGCACTCATGTATATCGATGATATACTAGCTTATGATAACCTAGAAGCTGTACAGGCTGTCATGTGCTGCGCTATATACTCTGTTAGATCACCCACGGGTACTTCACACTGGTATGGATGACACCCAAAGGAGAAGAAAACAATGAACTCTCGCTCATGACATATAGGAAACTAGCAGGATTAGCACTGCGCATGTGTATTGATTTGGGCTACCATCGAAATGCAGAGCGCTTTGCAGAGTCTTCAGATATACTTCAAACAGAGTTACGCAAGAGGGTATTCTGGTGTGCTTACGTCGTGGAAACCCAAGCGGCTGTCATGTTGGGACGGCCTCTGGGTATCCCTTACCAGGAAGTTGATGCCGAGGTATGTTTCAGAAGCCTGCACAGATCACTAGGTGGCCTATTTTGTATATTGATATATGTATTCATCTTAGTATCCGATTGATATCGATGATTCATGCATCACGGCCACTGGACTTGTTGGCATGCCGCGGAATTCCCCAGGCGATGCACCGACCAATATAACAAGAGCGATTCATACATTTCGAATTCGACGCATTTTGAATCGTATCCACACTTGCATTTACTCAAAAGCTGACCCGCGCTGCTCAGGCAAACACGACCAGCGGATTGATGTGCAGAATATCCGCGCCGACATCGAGAAGTGGCGAAGCGAAATTCCGCCCACGCCTTCTTATAATCGCTCCGGTGAGGAGCTTGTCCTATTTACAACTGAAGATTGGTATGGTATGGAATATAACTATACGATTCTACAGCTCTATCGAGCCCAAATAGTTGATCACCGAACGGAGACTCCAGACGGCGTATTCCTTGAATGCATGAGGGCCGCAGAAAATATTTGCCACAGCTATCGTCGTCAGTTCTTAGGAAAGCCGACGAGTTGTACATGGGCAGCTCTTCACGAACTTTTTCTAGCAGGTTTGACATATCTCCACTGTCTTTGGACGTCGCCCGCGGCTCGAGAGGCGTCCGGCCATGGGAAGGCAAACAATACATGTAATGACTGTACAATTGCCTTGGTTATTATGGCAGAACGATGGGATGCTGCTTCTCCGTATCGAGAAATATTCATGGCTCTTGTCAGCCGCACCATGGCAATGATGGGTGATAAAAGTGATGAAAGTGTATCTACAAATGTGGTCTCAGCGGATTCCGAAAGTTGGGTTGAAGAAGATTGGACAGAGTGGATGGGAATCGTGGCAGATGCGGGTTTGCTTGAAGGCTTCAATGGACTTTTAACTGGTGTGCCGAACAGATGAGTTGCAATAAATTATCCATAACTTTGAAGGCATAATGATAACAAACATCCTCAACCTATGACACTGATCGCAACCGCGTAAGACTTAAGCAAAATGAAAGCCAAGACACGTCCCAAACATAACAGGTAAAGACAATATGCATATGCTAGAGGAGCTTCGCGTATTGTCTGTATAATCGAGATTTAGAATGCAGATGTTTGTCAAGTAAGCAAGTGGAAACGAAGATGCGCAGCCATAGCCCTAACCTAACCGGCGCTGAAGAACTCAAGGATTTGCTCGTCATACAAATCCCCCTCAAGGCCTCACTTTAATAATGCTTTTGAATTCCAGGCGGAGAAATAATATAACGACGTCCCTGAAAGGACGTCCAATCCCTACTGCCTAGCTAGCGGCAAGCCGAAAATACACGGGCAAGTCGCAATACATGGTACATATTCGCTAACTCGTATGTATATTATCTATACGTGGTTACGTATCCCACTGCAGAAAGGTAAAGTATCATTGAACATCGCCGTGATAAGCAAGGCCACCCGTTCGCTTCGTCGTTGTCACCATAGGCCCAAGAAAATAGTCAACCAGACTATAAAAACTGCCTGGCGGAGGAAGAGAATGTCCCCGACATGGGAGGAAATTTACGCGGGTTGGGAGTCTGATATATTGCAACAACGCCATTGCTCGCTTGAGATGCGACGTCCGGGCATCCTTCATGGAGGATTCGCTCCTATCAGTGACGAACTCGAAGCAGCTACATACATTTAATATAGACAACCAAAACGGATGCCTACTGCCGAAGATATGGGTGGTGGATCTATGGCAACTAACACCAACTATATTGCGCGTTGATTAGAACAATCGATTGGCAACGAATGATATTGCATGAGCAGGCATCATTGAAATCTTATTCGTAGTTAAGGCCATTCATTGATAACTAACTTACTAATGCGCGTGCTTTTCCACTTTACGATCCTCTCAATTATATTAGCTCTTAGCTCTCGCGAGTACTTTCTTGAAAGAGTAAAAAGGGGAGCCAATGGTAGCATAGTAAATTGCTATAATTTATTAGCATCTAGCGAAGTAAAAAAAAAGAAGAAAAAATCAGATGGGCACTTATTATACACACCAATAATACAAGTCTCAAATAGCAGTAATACATTGAAAGCAGTATTTTTTAATATAATGACCGCGATTTATCTGTATAGTAAACAGTTAGAAGGGTATATGATACATGTCGAGAGGCATAACAGTACACAAAAGGGAAAAAAAGCTAAGAAATAAAACGCCCTTGGGGACCATTCCACATCAATCGTTGTTGTATATACATCATTGCTATCTATCAAAATGGGGGGGGGGGAATAAAAATAAGAAAAATAGCATATCATATCGTATCAACAGAAGATAAAAAAACAGACGTAGAGCTAGAAGCTCCACATTCCTCTGGTTTCGCCGTTTGCGCATCTAGGCTCTGATAAACGAACAAGCACTCGATTTGCTTCATTAAGCAAGCCCCCAATGCGGCCTTCCTGAAGCCGTGTCATTCGTATGTATTGTAAGAGTGGGTATATGTTGCACCGTATCGACGACAGGATGTTGGCTTGAGATACATGTTTCCATGTCGGCGTTAAGGATATCATATTGTAAATGTATGCGTGCGCCTTAGTTGCCTGGTGTCCTTCTAACCCGTCATTTGACGGTATGTTGTCGGGTTCGAATCCGTAGGCCCAACAAATCAAAACACAAATATAGATACCCCAGCTTGTTGGGAGCATGTTTGATGGGTCAGTTGCCACTGGTGTAGCAGGTAACAGACCACTGGTGTGCCACTGAGCGTTTGTGCTCGGCGATTGCCATACAGTGTTGCCCACTACATAGCGCAGAGCCCTCACCGCATGCCATACAGCTTTTTTCACATCGTCCGTATCAGATACCCAATGTCGCAGCTTCGCCTTCGCGCTACGGAATTCACCTTCCTGGACGATTTTCTGATTGAAAAGCCAGGATTCGCCACTGACTGTCAACAAGGTATGCAGCGGCGTATATCGAGCGGCCATTAGAGTGTGGTAACTGAATAGTGTTTGTGAGTGAGGCGACGTTGTTGGGTCATCCTCGTTTCCATCTTGCAGTGCAGTCACTAATGTGCTGAGTGGGTCGTTGAGAATCGAGTTGTCGTCTCCTGGTTCAACACGAGATGACAAGTTGTAGGACAGAAGTAAAAGGGCTTGGAAGTGATCAAATCGGTCGGATCGAAGGCCCTGCAGTCTATTGATGTTAACAGCAGCTGAAGGGAGAGATAGCGATACATAAGTTCGCGCCAAAGTAAGCCACGCGTCAAGATCCCTACTTTCCCATAAGTCCGAGTTACAAGGAAAGGGAATATTCGTTGTTTGTGAAGCCTGTGGCCACATTGTAAATGGAGCTGAGCTGGGCTGCAATGAGACGGATGGCTGGCCAAAAAGGAATGACTGCTGAACGTCCAAAATGAATGCAGCTTGCAAGACTCGACGGCGCGCTTCGTGTTCAACCCAGAATTTCTGTGCCCTTCTGCGGGCTTCCTGCGAACAGTCTTGTGGTAGCGTATTCAGAACAGCCAGAGGGTTAACATGCACCCAATGCCTGTCTTGCATGAAACTACCATACAAGCTGCGAAACCGGTGCGAGATTTGTACATTAGCCTTCCGTGATCTGAACTTTGACAAGTATTCGAGCAGGAAGACGGTTTGAATATCAGTCACACGCGAGCGGCTAGTAATAGCAGGCCTTTTTACAAGCAGCTTTAAGCATGCCTCGAGAAGGACTAAGGAATACTCCTTGGCATTTGGCCGTGTGTCGTACTGCGAGCCAATCGCAACCATAGCGCCGGCCATCAGCGGACTTGGCTTCGTCGCAAAGAAAGTTGGGCGATGGACGATGGGGAATAAGGGGTGGAAATGTTGCCAGTAGCACTCGAGACAATCTTGCCACTTCACAGTGTCAATGATCTCCATGCCGTCGTTTCCTGAAACGACCCCGGGTGCGGAAGTAAGTTCTCTTCGTAGGGCGTACCACTCATCTCCATCCAAGGTGGAGAGTGGTATTGGCAATGTAGACTCTGGAGATAGCCAGTCAGTCGAGACTCTAGATAACTGGTCCCTTGGTGAGAGGAAGGTTCACCTACTGGATGAATCAACTGGTTGCCGTCTAAAGCGAGGGGCATCATATTAGGGGCCGAAGAGACGACATCCAGGTTGTCCCACTCACGTGCTGCAGGGAGCTGCAAAGGAGAAGCGGTCAAATCCGAATAGTGGAACGGCTCCATGACCGAGGTTGGAGCAGAGGAGGGATGCGGTGGCAGCACGTATCCAGCTGCATCGGAAGCTGGTGAGCCACATGTATCTGGAGACGAGTAGAAAGGCAAATCATCTGGAGAGTCACGAATATGATTCCCGAAGACCGTTGGGCGCGGTTGAAGCGGGACCTCCATGCCGTTCCACGGTAGAGAAATATCATTGGCGAGGTCCGGGTGAATTCCACCTCCAATCACAGGGCTGGCTGATGACAACGGAGTTGAAACTTGACTAGTTGGATAAGACGCAGAAGTCACGTCAATTGGCACTGATGTTACCATATTTGAGGGAGCAGAGGTGATAGAGGCAGATTTGCTCTGGTGTCGCCATTGCCGCGGCATTCCGCTGTCTGACTGCCCCTCGAGCTCGCTGGAATATCATGTTAGTCAAGATATTTTCACTTGGTGTAATTCTTGCTGCTAAGAAGAGGTAAAGATACGGATTGAAGCAAAACATACTGTCTTTCCATGTGGCGGGCCAAGAGGTCAGATCGGTGGAAAGCTTTACGGCAACCATCGTATGTGCACGGGAATGAAGCTTCAGGGTTGTGGTTCAGCTCATGGCGCCGTCGGTGCTCTGCGCGGGTGAATACTTTATTGCAGCCAGGAAACTCGCAGGCATGGACTCGCTTTCCCTTCTTCGCTTTGCTAATTCGATGAGTAGTGGGCGTGTATGTGATGGGGAGAGGAATCTCAGCCATGGCGCTTGATCGTCGCATTGTACTAGACACTGAAGAGAAAGAAGGTGAAGGAGTTGAAGAAGGCGGACCAAAAGCAGCTGGTGTTGCTTGAAACTGAGCAAATGGCACAGAGGGCACAAGCTCCGACTCTTGCAGTAGGGTTGAGACCTGAATACCCCGGTTTGTCGACGCTGTCGATGTTGAAGAGTAACTAGGTTGACCCGCAGAAGTGGCGGTAGTGGTGGTTTGATACCTTATCTTGCTGTTGAAATTTGTCGCCGTGTCCATGAAGCAACCCAGCAATCAAGCTATACTTAGAGAAGGGAAAGCCAGGCCACTTTCACAACCTTGAAATTTGTCGATGCTGATGTTGATGCAAAGGAAGTATCTCTCACTAGCGATGAGGGAGAGAAAGATAGAACGGTATGTAGTATGGATATATGTATACAGCTGAGGTCGGCTAGGCGATGATCATAAGGGAGGAGGGCGTATAGCTATATATATATATTGACTGACGAGTGATATTTGATCTGTGCCAAAGGGGGAAAAGAGAGAGGTTATGTAGTAGCAGAACAGACGACTGCCTGACTGAATACGTTGTCGATCACATACAGCCAACGAGAAGCCCGGGCCAAGCTGTAACGAGGGTTTGAAACGTGGGCAGTACGCAAGTGGCTCGAATACCGTGACTCTTGATAATCCGTCCCATACCTAAGTATGCAGGTCACGATACATTCAAGCTAGTTTAGCCTGGTGGCAGAGTCCAGCTGCCGTAGCCCTAATCCGGAAAAACGCGCGTGGGTCTGAAGAAAAAACGAGACGTTCGTAATATAAGACAGCGCTAATACCATCAGCTTGGGTCACGCAGCAAATAGCGTCCCTGCCACAGGGGCTGGATGGTATTAAAAAGAAGCACGATGGAAGACCTGAGTGTCTCCTCCTGGCGACAGCAAGCATGCGGCTGAGTCCAGATTGCTCGGGACCCACTTATAGCGGCTTGTGGTGGGCCTGTATTATACGCTAGCAACACTAGCGGCTGCCACTTCGTGTAACGTATTGTTCCACACGAGAATTACGCACTTGTACGAAGTATCGGCTTACCAAACTAGGCATATCAACGTTAGCAGCAACAACTAACTCGGTGGGTCGTCGTCCACTGGATAGTTAACTTAGCGCTAGGCTAAGAGTGCTGACTGTAAGCCTTCTGTCTCAAGCCGGCGGTTGCGAGACACTTCACACAGACATACCTACGTATGATACCTACATGAAAGCTGAACCCCTCCATTACGAGCTAGCACGAGGACCATTCTAGGCTGCGCTGGCGCTGTGTATGTATGTATGCATGTATGTATGTGTGTGGGTGGG